AATTAGGCAATAAATATATTTGAGCTAATTAGATAGTCATTCAAGACGGCGGTGGCTAGCTTTACTGATGTATTAAAGGTAATTAAGTTAATCAGGCAGTAATTTCACGCTCTCATTTACAACGTCGAGCTTATGATAAGTCTAACTTATCATAAGCTGGGGCATTCATATATCGCAGCCGTAACCGTTGCTCTGTTATCGCATTATTGGATAGTTTTTCTATGAGTCAAATGTGATTACTCATGGTTTTTGACTTATCGTAAGTTAAACTTACGATAAGGCAGAGTGTGCTGAAATTCCTTAATATTACTTGATTCCAATGTATCTAAGCTTCAAATAAGTGCATCAAAGCTTTGTATAAGTACATGAACAAACCTTATATAAAAACAGTTTGATCTCGTTATTACAGTTTAAGAAAAAGCAACTACTTGCTTCTTTGCTTTCATTCAGCTAAAAAATCCCCGCTTCTCGAATAATTCCCACTGGAAGCAGGGAAACGTAGCAAAGCACTTAGATGGAGTTGTTATGGCCGGGCGACAATGTCATTGTCACGAAATAGTTAAATTGTTTCTTTGAAGGGCCAGGCAGCAGGCAACATCAAAATTGGGCATCTTCGCTAACTGACGCAGAAAATTTTTAATCTTAGAGAATTCAAATTGTCAATAACTATTAGTCTTAAAGGAAAGACGGTCATGAGCTAATGAAAACTGACAGTACACCGATCATCCGATTCATGCGGAACGGGACTACAAGTACTCTTTTTCGGCATTGACACGATTTTGCGATTCAGCCTTTTTGGATTTACGCTACTGGATTATTGTACCAAACTTCCTGTGTTCTGCCTGCGTGTATGAATGGATAAACGGGACGCACTAACCGAAAGCGATAGTAATAGGCGGTATCTCCATCCCGGAAGTGTGTCGCTCTAATTGGGGGGAAACTCCTTCCGTTTGTAACACGCCGATTCTTCTGGTATTGCCTATGATACGGATTGTGCCGAATTGTGCGTACTCATTCATGCAACTTCATAATGGCTGCATTTGATGAGTACGAACAGCGGGCGGTCGTCACCGCTTATTACTCTATAGAGTAAAATTGCCGCAGCTGCTGAGTTGTAATGTACTTCCGTTTGCCCCATCACTATCGATTCACTCCACGATCATTCTTCGAATGACCCATGTGCTTCTCACGTTAACAAAACAGAGTAGCAGTTGCAAAGTGCCAAAGTGTATGGCAATCCAAGTTGTAGCAATTGCAGTGTGTTTCTTATTGCCCCATTTGAATTCTTCGTCAGTTGGCTCGATTCGCAATGAACCGCACGGAAAGCGCAGCGAACGCTTCGAATTTAACTAAAACAGACACCGTGGCGTTTACCGCCGACTGGGGTGTTTTTCCCATTCTTGTACTTATCCTAACGTTTACCGGCGCCATAACCAACTTCACCACCCTTGTGGCATTTTGGAAGACGCATGTCGGCAATTCTCCCTTTACGGTTTATCTGATTAATCTGATGCTGACAAACCTGCTGTATTTTTTGCTCGTTACGCCTTTGGACCTGGTCACCATGCTGACCGATAAATGGCCGCTGGCCATGGGTACTGCCGGCTGCACATACTACCTGTACGTCAGTTGCATCATCATATCGGCCATATTTCACAGTCAAATGCTGATCACCGTCAACCGAATCTGGGCGGTGACCTTTCCTCTCAGCTATCGCAACCGGCACACCAAGGTCATCGCCACCGGCATGTGCGTTTCCATGTGGCTGTACATCCATTCACTATTGTTGCCGGAGTTAGTTCGCGATGCGCTGTGGTATCGTTTCATGCTACCGGAAAGGCCATTTTGCATAATAAATTATGATGCACCCGTAGCGCAATGGAACCTGATTGCTTTCAATGAGTTTTGGAGCTATTTATTACCGCAAGTCACGGTCTTTGCCGGCTTTCCCTATATCATGCTACGACACCGGCACAAGCGAAAGCAAATTACTACCGCACTACGAGATACAACTCCTGCTGACCTTTCAAAGACAAAAACTGACAGCCAAAATTCACCGACACAACGTTCGAGCAATAACTATCGAGTTTTCACCATACTGACCGCCACGGCCGTGGTGGGCTGGATTCCCAGTATGATCTACTTCAAATTGACTTTACTGAATGCGTATAATAATGATCTGTTTTACGATTTATCCGGGACTCTAAATCTTTTGCAAGCGGCGGCTGATCCCATCTACATTGCTATCACTTCGCCGCATATTTACAAGTCGCTGAAAAAGATATTTTTCTGTCGAGTTTGAACTAGAATCTTTCAAGCTTAAATTGGTTTACATATGTTTTGTTCAAATTAGTATGTTTTAGTGTCTAGTAAGTACGTATGTTCATCGTCGTGTGGTGTTTGTCGCACTGTAGTTTTGCATCACACATACCGAACATAAAACATCCAATTCAAAGCAATAAAACACACCTCCACTAAGACGAGCACTGATCAAACAAAAACAGGAAAGGTCACAAATGCGAGGGTGCTCAGCGTGAGAGCGGGCCCACACTGGAAGAAGAGGAGTGGCGAGCGGGAAGAAAATCTTCAGGTCTGCACAGACATCTATAAAAAACTGAACTAATGGAAGTTAACTGCAGTTTGTATATAGTAAGTTATGTCCGGCTTGGTCATCTCGACAATCATCATCACCTTCATGTTGGATTCATCATCATCATCTTTCTTGGATTCATCTTGTCGGTTATAAGCAGATTTCAATTTGCCGGGACAGTCAAATCTTTCTCATCATCCAATACATTCCTTGTCGGAAATCGCGCAAGTTACGTCATAGAGAATCGTGCAGCATGTTTGACTGCTGCGTAAACCAGACTCAGTACAACCTTACCTAGCGACAACACTGCTTCCACACATTGAACTTTCGGTTTTTTTGGTTACTATCCTCTTATTTAATAGCATTCTTTTTTTCTATAGCTAAACTTACCGTCGAAAGCATTGGCTAAACATATAATCTAACTTACAGTGCATCAAGACCTAGAAATTCTTTTGGTTGCTTCTTTTTTTCTTTTTCTTTCTTTTGGATTTCTAAAGAACCAAATAAGCCATTGATCCATTCGAAAAGGCTTGGTTGAAGGATTTGTAATTTTCAGGGATAAAGTATAAATCATGCGTGATACTATACGCTTAAATAATGATCTACAACTCTACACGCAGCTGCTACAAGCAGCTGCCGCACTACAGTGGTTAAATCGATACCACGGAGCCGGATGTCCGCTTACGGGTATAAGCGTTGCTTGACTTCCTGTTTTCTATATTTTCTCATGAATGGAAAAGTGGGACGCGGTAATCGCAAACGGTGATTTTATAGTAGCTCGCAAACAGGAACAGCGACGCTTTAATTTGAAATCAGTTGCAGTGCTCACCGTATCTTTTGGATGCGGGAGATTATGCTGCTGCTGCAAAACATAAAGCAAACCGAAGCATGCTGAATCATTATTTTATCCGATGCTACAATCAAATTTCAAGTTGCACGGCAGTGGACGATCAGCCTTTTCCCGTATTAGAAAATAGGTGGCACAGCAAAGTTTCTCTGTTCATTCCTCTTGTGAACGAACACGATGTGAGTACTGTATATTCCTATAATCCTCGTATGATGTCTCTGCATTCGGAAGTCTAGATATGTACGAGGGTCATTCGATCTCTTCTCCGCCGTGTAACTCCTGTGTGGATCCCCTTCAAGATTTAGTGAATAGATGTTTGCAGTGCACATAGACTGCAGAAATATACAGAACTTATGGGAAAAAAGTATGGTAATAGGGAAAAAAATAATGCAGTGGAAAATGGCGCGGTAATGCTAAATACATATTGAATGACCCTCGTATGTATATACTAGCCTGCTGGATGAACGTTTGTGAAATAGACTAATAGTGTCAAAGTACATATTGAAAATGTTGGAAAAGTATGGTAGTACATCGCAGCAAGTAACCAAAGGTAACGCAGGTTGATACAATGCCGAAAAAATGGTGTTATGGTAGCATAACGTGGTAGTATACCGCATGACAGCCTTGGAATAGCTTTTTCACAACATTCCGGAGCATGAAGTAAAGAAATTAGGCGCGCTAATTTAAACTACAGCAAAGTTTTTTTAACTAACCGTGGTAGAAGCTGCTCTAATAGGTGTTCACTTCCTGCTGGTCGATTTTGAGACGCGCTGTTTTAACCGATAGGTCTTATTCCAGTTGTTTGTCTTAGTAGATTTGTACCCGGCACAGAAACTTCTCAATTATGGTACCGGTAAAATCATGCTGTTCACTGAGGATCTCTGCAACTTCATGTCATGGCGCCATCAGCCGAAGAAGTTGATGGCCGCATCGCCAGATCAGTGTTATGGCGTGAATTTACCAGAGCTTTGATTGATGGCTGATGCGGCATTCCCCAATGCTTTTGCACGTTTTCCTTGGACAACCTCTCGCTTGCACTAATTTGGTGCACTACAGACAGTTGAATAATTTCAAGCAATAACTTCACGATTCAAGGCAAAAACTCTTGTCATGACTGAGTCAGTCAAAGAAAAGTAAGGAAACACGGATTGTAATGAATGGGGCTACATTTACTTTTATCAGTAAAATCTGATAAATTAGAGGACAATCTGATAGCAATTTGCAGTCCGTTAGCCGTCACCATTTAAAGGAAGGTTACCAGACGACAGCTAACTTTTGCAGGCGCTGGGTAATTTTAGCGGCAGAAAGGATTTTTTGCCTGACGATTAACACTAAAAACGTTCTCCAAAACACCCAATGCGATGAGTTGGTTGCCACGTTTACAAGAAAGTCTGTGTTTGTGCTTGTGATCCGATGGCAAGATCTTAAGCGCTTCTATGCGATAAGATTTTACAGATATACAGAGTATATTTAAGAATACTTTACCACTTTAACGCGTGATCTGCGCTTATCAGATGCAATTTTAAGTTCAGAATGAATTTAGAATGATTTGTTTGGAATGAATTAAACGTGCTACAACGGTGCAATAAGATCCTGTTAAGATTTTTACAGAATCGAGCTATTACCGTTATCGGAAAACAATCATTTTGCTGTATTCCGCCAAAATAAAATGGCTTGTCAAAAATTAAGACCCTCGCTGATAATACTATTGTTTTCCGCGGTCCTATGGAAAGGTATAATTTTTCAGTTGCGGAAGTTCAGTAAATTTGGTTTGTAAAGTGCTCGTAACTTTACTGCATGTCAGTAATACGAATTCTTGAATGAATTACATGAACGCTATGTAATATTTCAGCAGCAGGGTAGAATATGTACTACCACTTAACAAGTAGTCGGAAGGTTACGGGTAATAGGCAAATGCTACAGCGTTAAACGGACTAAACCATAGCAGCGATGATGCGTCAAGCGTAAAAGCAACCATGGTATTTTCCTGTTATCCTGTATAAAAAATACCGTCTTCACCACCAGATAATTATATCTTGTCTCATTGCAGGTGATGCCCACCGATTTCATTTTCAGGCCAGAAAAGTCGAAGATGCCTCGCCCCTGGCTAACGTATCCCTAACCGCTACTTTACGGAGCAATAACGGTGTTATTTTCCGGAAGCTTACAAAGTCCACCAATATGTTCGGAGAGTTCACCCTGATACTACCAGAAAGTTGCCAGACATTGCGAGATAACAGCAATTATACTATCGTTTTCCAGTTGCCGGACTATCGTGCTATTACGTTGCCCGTGTTCGATTCTGACATAAAACAAAATCGTGATACGTTTCTGGAGCCCTTAATCTTCATTCACAACCGATTCCGTGGTGCTTATTTGGCTGCAGGACAGGTGCTTTTGGAGAAATCAGTGTATGGTAGCAATTTGACTGGAACAACGATAACATTGCGGTCTGGTCTACGAAATTATGATGGCAAGGTCGTGGGTAGGCAGGAAACACGCAATGAGGGAGACTGGGTTATGATCAACCCGACAGGTTACTACACTGCTACTGTGCAGCGGAGAAACTACCGGACAGAATCGTTTACTGTGATCTCAGTTGGCGGGAATTTCGGCGGTCCGTATACAGCTGATGATTTCCAAATGCTGCCTCAAGGTCAAACGAGAAATGACGAAATTCGTATAGTACTAAGAGGAGGACGTTACGATACACAGATGCAGTGTTCTCCGTGTCTGCAGTTAGTGGTGAAAGGGCCCGTTGAAGGTATTCAGGAGCGAAGGCGGGTTGAGCCTGCGCTGTCCAAGATAAGGAACGAGAACCACATGCGAAATGATTTCAATGGCTTGATTGCTCAGAGCATATTGATTGCGAAACAGCTGAGCGGTACATACGAAATCATTGTCTACGACTGAGAGACTCGCGAGAACCTTAACAGTTCGGCAATGAAAGATTCTAGAGCCGTGTTGCAGATTTACCGCGGTAATGAATTATGGGACCGTTTCTATGTACCAAATCGAGATGGCAATACATGGATCGTGGCCAACATCACTGGAACGAATCTGACGGTCATCAACGAGGTGGTATCGGTCATACAGCCGACAGACTGGAAGCCGGTAAGAAAAAAAACGCTGGCATAATGTTACAGACCTTTTTTTTAATACGGTTACAAACGTTTGATGCCGAGACGACGTCAGTCTCAAGCGTGCTTTTTTATTACTTATTAACTTTTTTGCATAGAGAAACACCGGCAAAAATTTAATAACAATTTCAAGAAAACTTACTTTATACGCTTCGCATGGGAGCTACAAAAATTAACTTAAACATGATCACTCATTGCGAAATGCTCCTTATTATGGAGAACAACCACCAGTCTCATAGAAACTCTGCCATTTTAGCAGCTCATTGCAAGTTTTTGTTTCTTTTGTACAACAGAAACACAGCGCGCTGGCTGAATGTGCGCTCCTCGGCAGCGAATGTGAGAACACGCTGGGATGCTGCGGCTACTTGACGTGTACCAACGGAATCTGTACTGGCCGACCCTGGCAAGGTACGGTTCATGTCAGCCCCTAAAATCCATCTTTACATTGAACACAAACTGAAGAAACGGAACATTTTAAAAGAATCTTTCTCGAAGCAAACGCAATAAGCTTTTGCGGCATTGTTTTTGATAGCTTTTATGGAAGAGGCGCCAAACGCTTTAGACATGAGGACGCGAATTTTAGCCACCTGTTCCGATACATGTAAGCATAAACTGGACCAGCCGGACTACTACAAATGTTGCCGAGTTTTTCTGAAAATGAGAGCCAGAAACTTTGTCGGCGACATTGAAGAATTTCCCGGCCAACAAATATAAGTACCTTTAGAACCTTAAGCGCACCATCCTTTTGGCTCTAACTAAAATTTAATTACATAATGCATAATAGCTAGTATGCACGCACCCATTTTTTTAGTTCTGGGCAAAGTCTAAAATTTGTACCGATTGCCGCGACGTGCAAAAATAAAGAAAATTTCCACCTATCTTGACAAAACCTCAGAAAGCGGTGCGAGTTGTGATAATTCACAGCCACCACAATGCATGTATCTGTACTGCAGTGCATTGGTACACTTTAGAATGTCGCTATTTGGCGATTGCAAAATCATTTTTGCAATGATAAATTACAGTCCTCATATTGAAGTACTGTATGTACGTTGTTTTCTCGCTGCGCGTTCCATAAGCTAATCGTTTTTGTGAAAGCCTTTTAATATTACCGTACTAAGGCAAGCACCGTCTTTTCACAGTATGACGCCGATCACTCTTCTTGCTGCAGCCAGAATGTCTGCATTTCTCCACGACCTTTTACAAACACCATGCCACGTGATTGAAAACCCACATCAGGAAAATTCTCCGTCAAAATTTGCGATGTCACTAAACTTAATTGCACTTTATCGCTTTCACTGCTAGAACACATCCGTGCTGCAACATTAACCGTGTCGCCAAACCTGAAAGATCGGCGGTGAATAAAAATAGCAGTTATGGAGGCCGGTCGGGACATTTTAAAAATATATCATGGAAGTCCATCGTACTTACAAACAATACCGAGGCCTGTTGAGACCAACCACTCCAGCTGCACACGTTCCTTTTGGAGTGCATCAAAATCCGGTTAGGTATATTAAATTATTTCGTGTAAAGAACGTTTAGATTGGTAATACCGGAATGCAAACCGCCGCGCAGCCATAGCGACAGAGTGCGTAGCGTTGTTGATCGTCTAAACAATTCCAGCATCTTCGACGCCATGAGGCAAATCTCGCGGGCATGTTGCTGACCATTTCGAACAGGTAGTCCACTAGCAACCTTAAATGTACCAGTAAAACGTAGTAAATCCATATGAAACAAATCACAGTAAATTCAGCAAAACAGCTACATTTCGCAAAAGCAACATTATTTTGCTACAGTGGTACAAGGACTTCTGTTCCTGTTGAAAGCGTAGATGATGCAAAAAGTGGTATATTAAAAATATTGCTTTACCATATAGTGATCGCCTATCGTCTCCACTTTATATACATCGAAGCCGGCAATCGCGGTATCCAGTGTTTTAAAGATATGCGTCAAGATCTCCAGCGAAGCAATCGGCATACATTTGACAACAATCTCGTCGAATCCCATTACATCGCTGAAAAACACGGTCGTGCTCTCGTATTCCTCGGCCATCACATGTTCGCCTTTTCGCAGGTTCTCCACAAGATCCCTAATCACAACCAAAGATATACGTCCCATGCGATCGCCACTCATCCAGTAGAACCAACCGTGGCAGAAGCTGCACTAATAAGCGTTCACTCTTCTCGCGCTCATGGATAAGCTGCGCCGTCTTTGCGGACACCTCCGCCTCCAATTTTTCTGAATACGTTCCCAAGCGCCGCAAAATCTTATCCACAACGTTACCGGAAAAGTCTTTCATTTCACCGAGAATTTCTTCGACTTCCATGCATGCCGACAAAGCCGATGGACGCAGCGTGAAATCAATGTTGAGGCATGAATTCGCCAAGTCTTCAATGGATACGGTAGCAGGAAGTGTTTCCAAGGCAGTGTTACGCCTGATATGTGTGTCAGTCTCCTTAGATAAGACGCCCTTTGGGTGCATATCATACGCTACAAATAGAAGCCGTTTTAATTTAAACGATGTAACGTACTGCTTTTCACACAGCTAATCATTTGGGTTTTGGTGAAATCTTTGAGCAATAATTAAAGTCATTTCAGTATATACTGACCAGAGTTGTCCAACCAGTCATCCGAATGCTGCCAATGCAAAATTTCCAACATGATCTTTCCCACACTGGACATATCGTCCATCTGTGCAGTTTCGACAGTACCAATTTTCGACCATGGTCGACTGAGTGCTGTTGGTGGTGATGGCAAATTCCATGTTTGCTCTGGGTGTTCCACGTGTTTGGCAACGGCATGGTAGCCGAAACCGGATAACTTCAAGGTAAAATGCTGGTCTAGCAGGCACTTCCTGGTTGATAACGATCCGTGGTAACTTATGGCACTTGAATGGATGAACTGGACTGCCTGCATTAAGGGTACGAGGCAAGCGGCAACTCTTTCCCATCGCTTTAGTAAATTACCTCACTTTCCCTGCTGCATCTTACCCGTACGCAGGCGCTCACGTGATATTTGATTAATAATTTTATTCGGCTTCGGCCAGCATACATAACAAATCGCCTGCGCAGGTTTACACTAATTAAAAGCATCAAATTTTTAACATTAAAAAACATCCAAAATCGTTAGTGTCACGCATGATCTTGGGACGTGCGTTAAGTGAACCCAAAACAGCCGCTACGAGTACAATATTTGATTTCAGCCGTTTCACGTCTAAACCGGTTTGCGGCTATAGTTGATTACGCAAACTGATAAAGAATATAGGGGGAAAAATGTGTCTAGCCGAACCAATCCCTTGTACTTCTGATGTAAGCCAGCTGGTGGTTTACGTTGTGGCTGCACAGCGTTTTATGTAAAGCGCTGCTATTAAAGCTGTGCGGCATTGACGGTACATGTGGTATTAGCTGCACCAGGCAGGTCCGGGCTATAATGCAGTTTTAGCCTGTTTACCTGCAGTTGTACGAGTGCAGCTTACCTGTTATCAGTACCTGCAATCTTAATAGCAGCGCTTTACATAAAACACTGTCAAGCCACAACGTAAACCACCAGCTGGCTTACATCAGAAGTACAAGGGATTGGTTCGGCTAGACACATTTTTCCCCCTATATAGAGAAAAGCACGGCAGGCGAGATTTATCGCCGGCTCAGTAAGCGCTGATCAGTGATCACAGATGGATACGTTATCACGTGAGCGCCTGCAGTGCCCTGCACACGGGTAAGATGCAGCAGGGAAAGTGAGGTAATTTACTAAAGCGATGGGAAAGAGTTGCCGCTTGCCTCGTACAAATAACCATGGTAAACCTGATTAAAGTGCGCGATAATCAGCGCTATACTACAGTATACGGGGTCTATACATTGAGTAAATTCTGAATGAACGAAGCACAGAATATCCAGTCCAGTTCCCGTCGGGAGTCGATCACATCTCCAATGGAGCCGCGAGCAGACCATGTCGTTACCGCTCGAATAAAGCAGTGTTCTCTTATTCCTCTGGCGGCATACAGCCCAAGTAAGCGATTTATGTTTGGATGAGCGCATTCTTTGATCTAAAAGGGAGAAAAAATCATTACCGGAGTAGGCAGACTTGAGCAGTAAGCGGTTTAATTTTCTCAGAAAAAATAAAACTGAAGAACACTTATGTAAACCTTTGCGATACTGTACCCAGTCAAATCGCACCTCACGAATAGTCAGTTGAAACGTCGGATTCGTTTCGTACAGCAGGTTATGTGCAGCCTGACTGCCGATCGGCGAAGCATGTAGTGCATCGGTCCAGACTTCCATGCCGTGCCACTTTCGCTTGTACTTGCCTTTCAGCGTCAGCATCTGTAAAGGTGTTGCATGAGGATGTTTTCTGGCCTTAGACTTTCCAAGATACCAACCACACTGTAACAAGCGCTCTCTCGATGTGGCAGCGTCGCCGTAGTGTTGGCCTCATTGCCAGCCACCAGATCCCTTTCATCAATAACCCAGGTTCGGTCATTCAACGCCGTTTTCATCTTTCTCATTCTAAAAATCATTCGCTTCGTCGTCAGTGCGATAAATCAAAGTTGTTACGAACTGCCAAACATGAAGGCCACAATGCGAACTGCGAATTTGCTTTTTCTAACCGTTGTTTGTTGCTTCTAACCATGGTAAGTTCTAACACACCCGTTGTTTCTAACCTGGTATCTATCATCATCAATCCAGCGATCAATGAAAAAAGCGCGAGCAGAGCTCCCATTGTTGCGCCGATTACGACGCTCTTCGACTCTACGAAAATCACGCAAAAAACCCAATATCGCAGTTAACAGAAAAATTTGACCTAAAAATCTGTGCCAAATGACAATTATTTACCGGAGCTTGCACAAACTGGATCGTTTCCAGTGTACCCACAGATCGGTCGATTACGAGGTGGTCCGTTAGGCCAAGAAAAGTTAGCCACTTTAATATAACGCTGTTTCACCCCGTCCCATTGTAGAACGATCTATCGTGCACGGCATGTAATGATTCGGAAATACTTGTTTGTAGACCGATTAGTAATGACCCTCCAAAATAACAAATAATATTACCCGTAGCTCTTGAGTTTCTGGATCGGTGAAACGTAGACTGAGATTAACGAGAATATTTCCATATTCTCCGATTGCCGCTCGCATAACCTTTGTCTCGAATTCCCTGTTAAGGAACAGATCGGCCAGAGCGGTTCCATTACGGAAATTAAACTGGGAGTTGGCTGAGAATGTTTCGTTTAACACCTGAAATGATGAGATGCTCAGTCGTCAGCAAACAAGAAACATTACGCGGATTTTGATGCATAGTGACCACTAATTACTTCCGGGGAAACTGTAATGACGCATTAAAGCAATACATTAAAGCATTATATCTATAGTTACTGCTAAGCGGAATATAGTTTAGACTTTTTAATGGCAAATATCGAATATGAAATATGATATATAATGGCGGAGGTGTCGGAATAATGAATCATGCGGAAGCATAGAATATCTGTCAACATAACGAAATCCGTCAGCATGCAACTACTGAACAATGCAATTCGCAATAAAATCTTTGCATCTACCAGCGTGAACTGTTAGGTACCCGTATATAAATGTATATATTGTAAAACTGATTCGCTTTAGAAATTTGTACGCTGATCTTTACAGAAAGGCCCGTAAAGTACTCTTCTTTACATTGAATTCTCACAACAAAGGTTACTTGTCGTTATGGTTTTGTGCAAATCGATTACATAGGACGGGAATAAGTGAAACAGTAGAAACCATACCTGAGCCAGCATAACGATCGAAGCGTAGGCAGGGCGCAGATATGGTGACTGCCAAGAAAAAACCTTAAAGGTCTTCATCGCACGTGGAAACAGAACAAAAGTCTACCGGTTCAACGTAGGTTAGATTCCATTTGAGAAAGGACTGCCGCCTCCATTCACGCATTATAGGATCCATCTGATCCACTTCGGTTTGATTGTCTAAATGCTCGGCACCCAATAAGAGCACGTTCTTATAAGCCTCGCGGGCAATCTAGATTAACATAAAAAACTGCCTTTATAAAGAATTGAACGAAGATCGTGCTCTTTACCGGATCAAGTGAATCATTAAACCTCCAGGAAAAATTCCCAATGGATGCCGAATGGAACAACGGCTGTAGTCCAATGTAAACCTTTATCGTATACAGGGTAACCGGTGAGATTAAAGCACAGCGATTACCACTAAAGCAGGAAGTAAACATTTGCATACAAACTCGCTCGTTGTCATGTTTAAGCGATAAGCGGCAATCTGAAACAACTCCTTTTAATTTTACATTTGAGCGGAACATAAAAAATTAGATTACCAGCAATTTTCTTAGATGGTTTGAGTGGCCAAAAAACAGCAGCACTGCAAAAAACAAAAACATTAACAAATTACTTAAGTCCAAAACCTCACAGATAATTCGTACCGCGACTCGTTCGCCTGAATTCTTCTAAAAGCGAAATCAGCTGCTCTTTCGTCCCGTTTTGAGCGTTCATGGAGCGATAGACGGGTTGCATCTGCGGCCGATCACGCAGTGCTTTGGAGATCACCTCAGAACTGCCGCGAAAAATCGGGTTTGATGTGGTTTCCCAGACAATAAAAACATTCGTCCAATTGTAATCCAGCAATAACTGCATGTAGGCCTTAACAACATTTGTGAAGCTGCCAGTGGCCAATGAGATCCACACCGGATTCTGCTGCCGGTTAGCGATAAAACCATTGTCTGACGTTCTGTAAAATATTTCTTATAGCTATGTATCCAGTTCCTGCGCGCACATAAAAAAGCATATTGCTTTATACTTCTGCTTACAGGTAACATTAAAATATTTTGCAATTCTAAAGTTAAAAGTTATTATAATCTAAAATTGGCACCAGAATGTAAATTGGCACGATATTATGCTAATCACTTGTTACATAATGTATCGTAATGGTATAGCTTTTAGCATTTGTTACAGACTACCGTTAGCGATGAATAGTTATAATCTTCTTGTTTTGGACTTTTGGTTAAATAATGGGCGGACTAACGTCGATATCTGCAGAACGTTCCACTGTGCCGCGAGTTTGCTGGTGGCTTCAATTTCGTTGCAACCTGGAAGTAGAAAGCACAGAATCAATCTATTACAACATCTCAGCTTCCAGTTTGGCAGTTTCTTGTGATAACTGCGACGAGCATCACGTTATTAATTATCGATTAAGCAGTCAGTGAGCAATGTGTCCCCATGTGCCCAGTTTCCGGTTTTCCCAGCCTGCCTCACATGACACTGTTAGACGGTTAAAAGTGCCGGTATGAATGTATAGTCTTTGATCACGTGCAGCGGCCTTTTCACCGTCTGATTAGAGCGAAATGGGCGTAACAGGTAGCAAAACAGTAGCAACAGCAACACAGGAATTTTTAAATAACCGCTAGCAGAATTACAGTTTTTCAGGCGCAACAAAGCGTAAATGCGAACGACCGGTTGTTAATTGTGACTTTGTGAATGAAATATGTAGAATATACAAATTTGTACATAGTATTCCAGTATACATTACATTATATTTCGCAGCCATTGTCGACGTCCGCTACATTGGTATATAAGCAAAAGTTTGGAGTTAACGAGAATGTACTTAATTAGCTACATGAAAGAGAAGCGACCCTGGATTGTTCCACTGCTCCATGCCGTTTCGAAATACGCGGCATGTGTTCTTAACGGACGTACTGTAAAATCTCTATTTGTGCTGATCCGGGATAAGACACCCGGCGCACGTTCGGCTTAGGCTCATCTCGTAAAATCCGTTCTTTTTAGATGACGGCATTGCCATTTCCGATAAATCTCCTTTAATTTATCTTACATTAATTTCGCTGTTCGCATCCTTGTGCAGGTATTTTCAAGAAAACATTTTAGCGTAAGATTGATAAGCAGATACAAAAAAAAACGATACAAAACAATTACCGTTTGGTTTAAACTTACAGACGTAGACAATAAAACAAACGACGACTGCATGCGGTAGCGCCATTAACCTTTTACTACCTACTTACCTTTTTTACAACCTGAACAATATTACCTGGACTGATAAAAACAGTTAAATCCGCTTCATCCTGTGTTTTGTAGTAGTAATCCGCCATTAGATCTTCAGCATTTTCCACCAATTCTGGATCACAGTTCTTAATGGACCACTTGGAAATGTACGTGTGGTTAAACTGCAGCGTATCTCCATACAAATCGCGCACATCGTCTAGCGCCATGTCATACGGTGGCCCGGTGTTGGGAAACGCTCCCGCCAGAGCATTTTGAAAAAATCCCACACTGCCAATGTTAACGCGCAGTGGCCGTGCACTGTAAACAAGTGCAAATTTTTCTGGCAGAAATATTACTATTAGCAGATTCACAGGTAAGGCATAGTAAGGCGGCATTGTGGAGCGTCAGTCGTTATGCATGGAAAGGTAATCGCAGCGTCTGGCAAGATGCTTGTCGGATGAGATAAACACTGCCGGTGCGTGTGATGCCGGCATTGAATAACAGTGAAGACTGACACGCGGGAGCAATAAATGATCTTGTATAATAATCGCAATAACTGTATCCGATTACGGGTATATTTAACGGATTACCCGTACATGTAAGCGCAGTACCAACACTGGGATAGTACTGCGCTTGCCAGTTGCCGGTATCCTCTTATGTAACCTTGCTTCTTCGAACTTCCTACGCGATTTTTTTTGCTGATGCTTCTCAAGGGAAAGCTAGCATTGTTCGTATTCGTAGAAGTACCACTCGAGCTTGGATAAAATGCTTTTCTATGGCTGAAAGCCTGGATGTGTCAAGCTATTTCTGTTAATAATTAATATTAAAGTTCGAACGATGCGACAGATGTTTGCAATAATGTGTTTTTACCAATTTTCAGCTGTTAAAAATTCTGAATGGTTACGGCGCACTTGTGGAGTACTTATCGGCAAAATGCGTCTCGGCCCCATATTCCATATAAATGTTCCGTCCCATAACGAGTTGTGAGGCGAGAAGCGGCTCACGTAAAGCGACAAAATCTTTCAAAGGATTTTAACGTATTGCGCCGTGGTGCAGTGGTACTGCCTGCGCGGATCTAACGACGTAGCCGGGGTTCGATTCCCCCATCGGCGCCTTTTTCAGCCGTTTCTCGGTTTCCCTCGGATTGCGCCCTGCTTAGAGAGTGATTGGGTTAAAAACCGCGTAAAAATCGCACACAAGTTGCGCCCATCGGACAATTTGTACGAACGAAGCTCATAAAATATGTGTGAGTGTGACCCAAATTTTTAAATTATAGCAGAGGTGCATAAATTCATCAGTCAACTGTGATCGCCGCAGTCATACGTATAAAAATGCAATGGCCTGCATAAAAGTATGCCAAGTTCTTCGCTTGCTAAATTTTGTCACTACTTCTAGTAGTTAACATTAATACAGTAACAATCATAAACACTGCACTTAGACTTCGCGTTTATCGCAAAAGGTAACTTTGCATTGCAAAAAAGGATCTTTTGACAAACATCTTCAAAAACACACGTCGCTGCAGGTAATTTCTTTCAGCACGGTTTAGCAACCGGATTTATCAGGTTTGCTAGTAGGTTCGAAGACGCTCAAAAGCGCTGAATAAAACTGAAAGCTTTCCGTCGCATGGTCACGATCCACAGCATTACTCCCGCAGTCTCTGTCATCACTGAGAATCTTTCGGGAAACGCCGAATTTCCCTTCAGCAATGCCGGGCCGATTGTGCACCTTGTTGGCCCAAATCCAATACGCCGTGTCCCAAGCTGCCGGGTTCTTGGTTACGAGAGCCGGGTTCTTCACCAACCGGTCATCGCCATACAGTCCCTTTGATACTTCCTTGTACAGCGGGAATCCACGCATCATCAGGTATCCTCGTGCGTGGTAATCTCGATTGGGATGCGCCGGGTCGGGAGCACCGGACCACGACGTCCCATCCGTGGTCCACAGGCCGTCGGTTCCCTGGAGGACGTTGGCGATAAACATGGCTAGTTCCCGCATTGAGCTGATCTTGGCTTTGGACTGAGCGGTGACGACAAGAGGCTTATACTGCTGGTACGTGGACATTCCGTAACCGGCTTTTTCTATGGCTTTCTGAAAGATCTCCCGCGTTACAAGCGGGGAGGTGTTTGTGTCCGTCCGGTGGGCAGAGTCTGCTCTGCCAACGAAAACCTAGCGAAATGGAAGATGATTTTTGCTCGTAATTCATGAATGGGAGAAATGAAACGCCATGGTAAAAGCCATGACTTAGAGTCTTAGACAACAATTTGCAATTATCAGTGCCAAGGGCCCAGCACGAAATTATATTTATTACATTATGGTCGACCATTACCGGTTTCGCCCCACATAATGGTACAAAACCTAAACGAGCTAAAAAGCCAGTTTTATAAAGTGAAGCTTCTGCTGCAAAGGAAAAGGAGTACCGAAAACATGGACAAAAACCAAAACTCACCAAAAACATCGACAAAATTACGAACAGAACGTTGAGATTCATGGCTTTCAGGATCTGACAGTGCCACTTTGGCAATATAGTGCTTTCTGGTTAGCAAAAGTACTGTTTAAAATATCTAATTGAGAACGAAGACAAGGCAGCATGATTTCTAAGCTACCGTTGAATTTACACTATTTTATACAATTCACCGGCATTTTTCCCCTCAAGCGGTAATTAATTTCCAGAGAAAATAATAAACGCGATGTCGTCCTGTCGTTTGCGGAAAGTCGCATCCGGTCGGAAAAACTGCAAACAAAACTGAGTTGCGCATTTATAGGTTAACCGCATTCTCAATGACTCGGCTTGTTTTGACAGCGCTTAACATCTGATGGATATTTTGAGAACAGCCAGTCCGTTCATTTTTATCAGTTGCCGTTAGGGCAATATCACTCAGAGTCTCAGACCGTCAGGCGGATGTCAAGACGTGTATGTTTGTGTGTGAGTATGCATTGTCTGTGTAAAAACCTTATAGTTTTGATCAGTGACGTTCAAAAGCCGTTTCTCTTAGTGACTTTTTGTTGTGAATAAAGTATTCATTTTTTGAGCCTAACTATCCAAAATGTTATGTTTGTAATTTTGCCCGCTCGTTAATGCGAAATGCTTTGTTAATAAAGTTACTCATGAATAGTAATAATCCCTTCAGGCAATATCGTTTCCAATTACAGCACATGACGGAGCGTTGTTACACATACAAAATAGGCAGTTTGGTGACGCACTGTCAACACTTTATGATCCAGCTCTTTAGTCGACTAACCATGTATTCCTGGAAACTGTCATTATTTTTTGGTATTACGAGTGTGTCACAGTGTCACTAACGTTGTATTAACGAATCGGCGCGTCTATCAGTATCAACCGCAATTACTGCATTAAGAGCTGCCTATTATTCTAATGCACGATGATTCTTTGGTACATGCCCTTGTCAAAGTGCCTTGGCAAATAATAGATCAACTACTACACTCAAATTGAATACTCCGTTAACTAGCCAAACTGTAAGGAATTCACTCCTGTGCTGTGGCAAATGGGACTGCAAAATATGGCATTTACCGATTAGCGAACGAAACGGCTATACGTTGCCAAAACATCTTGCAAAGTAGCTTCATCCAAACGAGCGGCGGACAAGGTCTCGTACCAAGAGGAAACGAATCAACATGCGGTCGACTAGATGGCAATGGTTGTTTCTGCCAACTTTATCGTTCTCGAAATTCGTGTCATTGTAAATTCCTTGAAAAGCCGTAATTTTTTGGTCCGCTAGTGTGGATATTGCACAGGAAAGCCCTGAATGTTGACTGGAAATTACGGGTTTTTAGTATCCAAAAGTACTTCCAGGGATACTCTAGTATCTGGAATTTACGTACCAATACGCAGTGTAGGACTAAATGGTCGCATACTCACGTATCCACATTCAGTGCGCATGCAGCGCAGTGCACTGTACGACTACGTTTAAATATTCGGCTGTCGTACACTGCACTGTCGCCACATCCGTACGGACGACTCGGTATGGGAGTATGTGACCATTAATTCCTACATCGTACATGGCAGTGAATGCACTAATTGAGATTGTGGTTATATTATGGTTTAAAACATCATTATTCTGCGCTTAGAAGTGATAAAGTGAGTCTTATCCCCCTTTTTTATGCCATTCCATTCGCACCACGTTATCTTCGCTGGCACCATAATCTGGGACATCCAGCCCTGCTGTCAATGCAACAGCGGGTATTCGAACAAAGAGTGCGTCTATCCGACCGATCCAGCAAAAATCATGGATGGCTACAAATGCCAAGTGAGTAGTCTCCTGGATTTTGTCGAAAACAATGACCGAAGAAGACTTTCGCGCACAGTTTAACCGCTACTTTAAATCAGACGTTACCACCATCGAAAACTGTGCATGCCGGGTGGATTAGCGAATTGTTTGCCGATCAAAAGAATCGGTAGCCGTGTTCAAGTGGATGGCGCTGGATAAGGCAGTACCACCAATGAGACATGTATCCATCTGCGATGAAGACTGATTTTTCCAAACAAGTGCTTGCAAGTGTGACGCGTGCAAGTCCAACTCGTAAAGCTGCTGTTGAGCGAAATGTACTGTATTACTAGCCGTGCGACCTAAAGGATATTCCAACTAAACTTCGCAAATCTGCTACAACTTAACTCCCTCACTGTCATAATTTTGTCCGTATCGGGTTCCAAAGGTATATGTATAACATTAATGTATTCGATGCGAAAAACAAATGCCCATCTTACGTACACACTTAGCTACGTACACCCTCTGTATTAAGTATACCAAAACGCGTACCAAAATTACTGTAAACTCATACAAATAACTGTGAGTACCGTACACCTCTACATTACGGACGATTTTTTTTGTACGGTGGTGTGCGGATTAGAGAGATTTTATGTATTTACGAGCAGTATTTCACCTGTTCTGAAGCAGGAATCCGTAAATTCACTGGTGCTTTTTCCAATAAACATATTCTGCGTCCATTCGTCCTGTTTTCGATGAGCACTTAAATACATAGAGCAATCCGGGGTTAAACTGACTCTACTCGTAAAGACACTTAAGTGGGCCACTATGATAAGTGAATGGGCGACATACACTTAAGTGGGCCAGCTTCAGTTATTTTTTTCCCGATCTGTATGGCTGTCGGCTTTTGTCGGACAAGCGGATTCTACTATCGGCAATGCCGCAACTCTAACCGCAACAACCGGTAAACCCACATTCTAGTAGATTTCTCTAATAACACAGAACCTCCAAAACTCAGCAAATTTGTTGTCTCTCGATGAGTTTTTGCGCAGAGAATTAGTGTCTAGATCCAGACAGGAAATGCGGTTTCTGTTCTCTGTACGGTTAGCGACCAGGTTGAGTAGGAAGATGTGCAAGTTGCTTTTAAGTTAGATGAACAGAATGATGTTATGGGTTTTTGTTGCTTGGTTCCTACCGTTAATCTAACTGGAATGAAATACTCGTACCACTACCATAATTTTAATAGCAGAAGACCATCGCCCTTGTTGACATTCAGTGCGGTGTAGTCATGAGAGCATGGGTGTAAAAATCGGCATCGGATGAAAAAAACGGAATATTATTTAATGCCTAGCTTTAAGTTGTGTACAAACTGATAGGCAAACACCAAACTTTAAATTTTTTCCGATATCTGTAGAGCATCCGAGCCGATCAGATTGTGTAAGACATATTTTGTCACTAGCGACAAAGCCGATCTGCTGCTTTACTTGGTGGTCGAAGCGGATATTCTATTTGCGCTGGTAGTACTAGAAATGACTTTGACCATCGCAGGTTTCGTCAAAGGCGTTTTATGGAACGTTTCCACAGCAGTAGCCGTAACCGAATTGGACACCGTTTGCTGGCAAATGGGCTCGTTAACCGAATATTCAGTCTGTGTGTAGTAGTTGATCCATTCCGAACCGAGAGGAAACGGGCCGGCGTCGGGTCACTGGATGGTAAAGGTCCTCCTTGCTGTATTGATCACTGTCAAAGTTAGTGTTGGAATAAGGACCTGCAAAGGAAAACAATTCGCCTGCTTCTGCATGAAGCCGTAACATTTTATTTGCTCGCCACCATGATCGGCACCAAGCGAACTCACAGCTACAGTGAAGAATGCGCAAAAAAGCGCGAAATGGCTGTTCGAAATTATAGATTTTATGAGTGGTATTTGAAGGTGTGGCAAATCCGTAAATGAGTTCACTTGCAAGGCATTAACTGTTGCATTGTAAAATAAAATTTATTCGCAGTCGCTCTGAAGTCGTGAAGTCCACCTTTTGGATGACCATATTGTAACAGTTGTACACTTCAAAATGCAAAAGGTTCGTGAAATACAGCTGTGGTAGCTCAATTTACACTCACCCGGGTGGTGGCTGGTTATGAATGCACAAAAGGATTATCTGACGTAGTGAGGGGAGTTGGCGATCGCAACAGACCCCAGCTTGGCGTACAGTACAATGATCCATCATCCATGTACTTGAATACTTTTTAATTTAGTATTTTGTACTTGTTGATTTCTGTGATGCATGGCAACGGCTGCCACTGCAATGTCCTGTTATATATGTGGTATTTGTGTGTTTGGGTACTTTAGTTGGTTAATTATAATAGAGCACGACGCTCCACGTCGTGACAATTTCACTTCTTTAATAATTACTATTTTGAATTAACCCTCCAGCGGGCGGTACCCGAAGGAGTGCGAGTTTCCTTTTGAAAATTGGGATTTCCCGACGAAAAAAATCAATTAAGTAAGGGAATTTTTTGTGAGCTTGTGCTGACCATAGGTCAGCGGTGCTGACTATGTCGCTTGCCAACGCCAATGCCCATGGACAGTCTACAGCATAAAAATGTTTAATTTTGTAATAATTAGGCGAACAGGAACTAAGTAGAAGCAATTAGTTCATTAAATAGTACAAAAAAAAGTACTTTAAAACAGCAGTATAGAAGTGGTCAACGCATTGACCACTGGTCAGCAAAAACTTAAAAACTACCAAAACTCGTTTCCATGTATTGTGACCACTACTACAGATAAAGAAATAAAATATAAACGATGTTAGCAGCATTTCTGCTTCCAAAAACTTTTATTACAGTCTCATAAGTCATATGGTACTGTACAAAGCACTCTTTATACAGTTCAGCATTACACTGCTGCAGTGCGGCTGCGCCTAGTTGCCTGCATATTGCGCACAGTGGCACTTTTCCTGGATTTGGCCGCAGGTGCCATTATCAGAAAAGCGGTGGGGAAGGTCCAGCTGCATTGGAGATTGGCGCCGATTTAGATATTAGTGGTCACTAGCATTTGTTGGAACGCGCTAGCAACCGGATGTAACCCGGAAGAATGTGCACATCACCAATGAGCACTTTAGAGTTAGCAATCGCTTGAGGCTGGTCAAAACTCAAAACTCCCATGTTTTCTCAAAGCTACCCGGCTGCCTTGCCTTTGTTTGCCCAAGCGATGAATCGCCAGCATAGGTAGAAACGTGGCAGAACGCCCAGTTTTGTGCTGCCCTTTACTTTGTTATATACGCTGTTTGTTGTCCGGAAGCTGACAACTTTTGATACGATTTTGCTTTTTCGTCGACCGCCCGGGGTGCTAGTCAGCGGCAGCGGTTTTAGCCGGCTTGCGACAACCGGAATCGTGTGGCGCATGTTAGTGTGCAAACGCCAAACCGACAGTAATTTTGATCCGATTATGCAATAAAAAATAACTGTCGAAATTGCACCCGCCCATGAATTCGTAACCCTTCATGGGCATTGGCGTTTAGCAGGCGACACAAGTTTTTGGCGGACTGTGGTCAGCTATGGTTCAGCTTATAGAATCCATATTAGGCATATTTGAATAAAGCGTTGTCAATTCTACCTTGTTGATTTATCTCCGGTTTATTTGTTCATCCGCTAATTAGTTAATTAGCGCGACCTACAGTAGTTAGAAAAATTCAAAATTAGCGATTTTCGCGAACCTGTTGTTCTTAATTGACTTGAGACACAACTTCAAATTGTGTTTTTAACGTTGCTTTAAAGTCCCCTGTTGCTTATTACATTAAGGGATAACGAATAAATGTTACCGATCGCTGCGGAAAAAATCCCAAACACCTTGTCGCCTCCTGAACGCCAATGCCCGTCAATGGGTTAAGCAAATATGCTGTCAATAAAGCATTGGATAAACCCAGCGCACCGTAGTAAACCATAGGGCCGATTTATTCAGCCACCCGGTGTTTGGGACAGGTCACCTTCTTTTTAAAGGAATCCAGTTACCGTACAACTGGCATTTGAGCGTCTGTCAGTCGTTCACTGACCGACGCTCTGCTTGATGGTAGACTTGTCGTCGCATTTGTAAATTAACTCAACGGCGTTCTTATTGGTTACTTACGTACGTATCTGTACTTGTATGACTCGACAACACCAAAAGGGACTGCAGCCACTCCATAATGTTCAACAACAGCGAACATAGCATAATTGTTGTGTCTAGTTTATCCAAAATCCAAAACGTTGACTACAATTTTGTCGTTATTTAGAACTCGACTTCTTCATTCATAACTCGTACGTTTTTAATAATAAATCTTCACTTTTTCAAGCAAAATCCTTTCCTTTAGCCATGATGCCCTTAAAAAGGGCGGCTGCTTTTCTTGCTTATGGAACAAATTGCTTTATTGTGCAAGTCGTGATTGAAGATTGGTTGATAACATCACGGTCATCACCTTTCCAAGGAGAAGCTCTGGTGTGCAATGAAGATATTTTAACAACACCTGTGATATTCAGCGCCGGCCGAGGATGTTTGGTTGTAGCGTTGGTTTAGATATTAGCCCATTCGCAGTTGCATTGGCGACTGCATTGATACAGTTTGGCTCATTAACAGAGTATTCAATCTGCGCGTAATAGTTGATCCATTCGGGTCCGAGAGGAAATGGATCGGCACGGCAGTTCACAGGATGATATAGATCTTCTTTAGCGACCTCGCTATTTTCCAGCCTTCTGTCCGAGTAGGGAGCTTCAAATGAATATACTTGGCCGACTTCCGCTCTAAGTCGCAGGTTATGACTGCCGCGCCACCACGAGCGAAACCAAGCAAACTTGCAGCCGCAATGGAGATCATGTAAGGAGTTTCGGAAATTCGGATCAAAATTGTAGTTTTTCTGACTTTCCAACAAAGCCTCCAAAGACAGGATCTGGAGATTTGGCAGGTCAGAGAACGTGCCTGGCTGCATATCAACAATGGTAGTGTTGTAGAAGAGTATCATTCCCAGTTGCTGGGATGTTTTGAAGTCTGCCTTCTCGATAGTCAAATTAAAGCAGTGATACAGCTCAAAGTGCAACAGATTGGTGTAGTTCAGTTTGATTAATCTGGACGTTACGCGGTCTGTGGTACAGTTACTCAGCTGGAGTTTCACGACTTGACCCTGCACTGGCGTAAATGAATATGTGGAAAGGAGCTGCTCTTCAACATGGATGGATACTGGTCTAAGTGGGGGGCCTGCCATATCCAACGCCATCCGTTCCAGTACTGCAACCGATGCGGTCGATCGACACCCAATACGGTAATCGTTCCGTTCGTTACAGTTATCGATGGTGGTCACGTCTGGTTGGCAGTAACGGTTAAACTGCGCGGCACATTCATCATCAGTCATTCGTTCCATCGAGAAATTTATAAAATTCTCCTCGACGTTGGCCTCTTTTTTGCCGGGGCGAATGTTTAGTGGACATTTATACCCTATCATGATTCTTGCAACATCTGACGGACTTAGAGGTACGTTCTGTCCCATACGAACAATGAGCCCCTTTTTCGGTACCATTGTCGGATGCTCGTTTGTTTTGCTGCCCGCCAATGCTCCTAAATGCAGAATGGAGTGGTAGTCATATTTGAGTCCAAAGGTGTACATCGTTGCATCGATTGAAAATAGAGTGGGGTAATCTTCATTGTTCATCAAGTTTCCTTTGCGCATGTCGATGTGTTCGTCGCGGTCGGGGCGCCTGTACTCATGCTCAAAGCCAATTGAGCGCATAGTGTAACGTTGAATGTCCGTTATAGTGAAACAGGAGTATTTGGCCGACTCGTTGAACCGCCCTAAGTCGATTGCTTGCGGTCCGCCCCGTTGCCCAGTAAATGCTCCACACCTACAAGACAACAGTAAAAGTAAATTCTGGCAAAGGTTTTACTAACATAGAATGTACAAATTCGGTTTTTAGTACGGTGAAGTTTTCTTGCAACAATTAAAGCACGGTGTTTGTCGCCAGACTGGAACTCACAGTCCATCATTTCTTGGGCGGAAGTAGAGATAATCTGTTTCCCCTGACCATGTCCGAAAAATGATGCACTCTTCTGTCTGTCTCTCCATTAGAGCAAGAGCTTTCAGAACTTTTTTCCTCTCTGATTGATCTGCAAAAAGCAGTAAAACTTAAAACGATGCCATGTGAAAGTGTGGCTGTGATTTGTTGGAATTGCTTAGTTAGCACCTTGCTGTATTACGATGCACGTCTGCCGCACTCACCAAATTCGGAGCTTAAATAGAACGGAATAGCGGTACGGTTTGGCCAAAGTCTGGGACCGGTTCCCGCAATGACATTAGGGTCCGACGTATTTATCGGGATGTAAAAAATGTCTGAAAACATAATATTTTACAAAATTCGTAGTTCTGCGCTCAACAAAAAGCTATAACTCATTGATATTCCTATCGCTTTTTACAGGATGTGGAAATCGAACATTATTATTCCATACCAATTCTAAACGAAACGACTAACTGATCGTTGGAATGAACAGTGCAGCGATTGCACCGTGAATTTATTTGACACACAAGCGGTTTAACGTTTATTCTTATTACTATAACACAATTTAAAGAGCTTACCTTCCGTAATCCCCACACCTTCGCTTTCGTCTGACACTGCTTTGGCGAAGGCAAGAAAGCTTACAACAACTATTATGTACAGTATGCAGTTGCATGTTTTTTCTTCCATTTTCAAAAACGTTTGAGTTCAAGTTTCTTATGTCTACATTTGTGTAGTGTATCTAGTCTGCTATTCGCTTTCCTGCAGAATACAAATAGTACAGACATTAGCATTACACAAGCAACCGAAAAAATTGGAGATGTTGTTATACTGCTTTGCTGATCCCTATCACCAGGTTGATTATACTGTGCCGCTAGCAATCTATAAAAAATTGTTATCGCACAGTACAACATTGTTACGCTCGCTTATAGTGTTGTCAATCGCAATATCATGTTGCAAACATGTAGGTATCAGACATTGCAAAACACCCATAGGCAATATCGGCAAGTGCTTTATAACAGGAAATGACGACATTTGTCAATGTTGCTGGTCAACGAGGAGATTATGTGGGACTCCAAGAAAACTGCAGTCTAAGCCTCAAAATGCGAAGTCATTGAACACTGCATCGGACTTGTGAGATTCAGTTGGCAGAGTCCAGCCGGTGCTCACCAAAGTCTCAGTATAAGCGAGACGTTCGTCCTATTGTAAAGTTCTTAAGAACCATAATAAATCAAATATTATGTGAAGAATCATTGAATCTTCGTTGATTTTTGTGCTACACTAACTGTTGCCAGTCGTCATCCAATATAAGACCGATTTTGTTAAATTTTTTCGTTGTCGTTATATATTTTTATAAGGCACAAACATGTAGCCATCAAAGTTATTATAACTAGCATTCGCGGTCATACTACAAGTATAACTTCAAGCTTTGAGAATCGTTTATATCTTCTTTTATACATGTTTATAACCGGTGTTATTACCTGTTCCAGTCATTTTTATTATTTAGTTGATTCTTATTATTTCTTAATTTCTAACGGACCCACAACCCGTGTATGCTACCCGGCCCCTCGATTCCACGGGCATGCTCCATGGGACCAGGCTGTAATAGGTTTCTGAGTCCGGCGCAGTTCTGGCATCTCCGCAGCGGCGCAGCCATATTTCAGCAGCCATTTTGTAACAAAATGGATTAACAATCTTTGCGACTGCTGAGTGCATGGCGTATAGGTGTTTTTGTAATTCCTGCTACTTTTTGCATCAGGCAGTAAGGTGCTAAGCGATAAATAGCACTGCTTGAGGCGTATTATGTATAAAGCACGTATATGTTGTAAGTTGTAATTAATTTTAAAGAACAGCGTTTCACAGTTGGGTTTGTCGAGTTAACTCTCATCCCGGCCGCGAATGCCGATTTACTGCTTAAGACGCACTACTGCTGCAGAATGATTCGAACGGCTAAGCGCTATACTATTCACATGTTCATCAAATACTGTTCTTTGGTTTGCGTAATAACTGTTGCAGTTTCTCTCAGCTTCGTCGCAGCAGTATCGGATGAAAGTGAAGATGTCGCGATTACTGAAGGAAAGTCAAAAATTGAACAAGTTGTGCTTGAAGTATTTATCTATGTTGTACTTCTTATGCTGAAGGCAAACCGGATATATTTTGCAATTTCGTTGCTTACTGATAAACCTACTTCAGTGATAATTTGTCAGCTGAAATTTTTGTGTGGTCACTACTGACTATATCCTAGATCTGCCGATGCCGACTACTGCAGTGACACTGCATTTTTTCCCTAACGAATCTAGAACTGAGAACAGTAAACAAAACGTCATATTGTGTGCTTTGTATAATTACAAGTAAGAAAATAATCAGCATGAGACTTGATAACTTCATTAAACGTTATTTTTAGACCTTTTTAACATGCCTGTCAACATTCCGGAAGTCAACGAAACTGCAAAGATTGGTCATAGGCTGTGGCCAAACCGTACTGCCATCCCTTTTCTTATAGACTCAGTTTTCAGTAAGTGCATAGTAAACTGGAGGAATACCCTTACGTAATTCAGTCTCAAAGAAGACAACCAATCCTATTGTCCGTACGTTAAACTTTGTCTGAAATAGGAACGCTAACGCACAAATTTAATCAATAAAACCAGAAAACAGTTTTTAAAAAACTTTTTTAACGTTATGTGACACTGGCTTACGCTTACCATTATTTTTTACGATACTCTTCTAACACTGACAATATCGTGACATCGTCGGAATACCAAATCTTTTAATCTGTAGAATGTCGAAACTGCAACATATTTTGTTCGTTATGGGTTTCGTACTACTAACTGCAGACGAATCCGAACGCGAAATCATTATGAAGGCGTTGCGCATAATGGAAAGAAAGACCAAAGGATGTATCCAGTTTAAAGAAGTTACAGATGAGGATGCTCACATCTTCTTTTCAGACAGCACCACAGGAAAGTAAGTTCAGCTTAGCATTCTAACAATGTATTAGATGACAATTAACAACGTTAATTGATGTTAATGTTAGCTGGAGGATGTGTGCTCCCGCGTTTCCCTTTTCGCCTTGTGTAGGCAGCTACCTGTGTTGGTGGCGCTGCGAATCGCTGTGGCCGCTTAGATCAAAGCAGCCGCCGGCACTCACGCGCCTGCTTTTTGCTCTCGGCACTGTTTCTGTGCCCGCGTTGGGTTCTGCATTTCTGGCCGATGTTCTTTGCATTTCTTGTTCGTGTGCGCGCGAGTGATTTGTTCTTTACCACCCGCCACACCCTGCTGTTTGTGCTGCTGTTATTTCGCGTTGCTCAATAAAGGGGCCTTCGGTTGCGCAGGGCACTGGTCGCACTCTTGCGCCGACCCCCGGTCGGCCGGCTTCTCGCTGACCCAGGGTCACCGCACACAGCCGATCACGAGAGTACCAGCCGCCCAGCAGCCGGGGTTCCAGCACCCCCCAGTGGATTCCGGAAGCGGTAACATTAATTGTAGTTTATGTCTGACATAAACTTCAATCAGAGCAAGTACGATTGCAAAATTAACTTCAAGTTAAAGAAATTAAGTTCAATCAGAGCAAGTACGATTGCAATCTATAGCGAATTCCTACAGGTCGGTGCGCTGTTTATGTCATATGTACGATGTACCACTCGAAACAACCATTATTTTGGCGGCGGCTACTGTGTATGTTTCATTGTTCTCTACCAAATGCAGATGCGCTTATAAGAGAATCACGCAGCTCTAGTGACAGATGCAGCGCGTAGCTATTGCAGCACAGGCTCCAGCAATTTTGGGGTGAATTACTCTGGAGTTTGAACAAATGGTATTAACTGACGCAGTCACGCAGATGATTTACGGTTATTGTTATACTGAAAAGGTTTTTTGTTGAAGTAAATAGGCAATTACTGTTAGTGGACCAAGATTCGAACATAGGATAGGAGGTCGCTGGAATAGGGTTAAAAATGATTAATTAGGAAAGTAAACCTCTAGAAAAACAAAAACAGTTCATCGAGATTGCGACTGCACTCAACTGTACCAAGAACACAGGCAGCGTTGCCCCGTTGTATTTCTAAACTGCAACGCTGCAACAAAAACTGCTTGGTATTGCATGGTTATCACTTACCAAAATTTTTCCATCAGGTGCAGAAACTGGATGATTGACCGAACAACCCGTTACCCTTATGATACGAGTATATTGTATGTAATTGACCTGGGAAAGCCTAACCATACACGGTCCGAATACTGTTTCGGATTAGGCATAATCCAGTATCGGGTTATGCTTGCTCTGGGATTCAGCGGTGAGCAGCAACGCAGCGACCGCGACAAGTATGTCGACGTCCATGTAAGGGACATCGACTACAGTCCGTATGCCGACGATATTCCTTGGCAGATCAATCCAAGCATGTACACTTTTGGGACCAAGTATGACTATCATTCTATTCTACACCTCGATGCCTTCATGGCTTCCCCCGCCGCCAATGCATCTACGGCTCCTTCTATCGTCCCCAAGGAAGGACTTATTGTTCGCATGGGGCAGCAGGCCCGTCTGAGTCCCACGGATGTGGCCAAAATACTGATAGCCTTTAAATGTCCATTAACCATTTTACCCGGGAAGGAAGAAGGCCCTGAAAACGATTTTCCGAATTTTTCGCTTGAACCAATGACGGACGACGATTGTTCTGCACAGTTTAATCGCTATTGCAAGCCAGATGTTAGCATAATCACGAACTGCACAAAGCCAAAATTTCGAGATTAAAGTGTCGTCTGTCAGTCGAATGCATCGGTTGCGGTGCTGGAGCAAATGGCGCTGGCGATGGCCGAACAGCCATTACGACCAGTAACCATCGATGTACACGAACAACTACTCTCCAAGTATTCTTTCAAGCCGGTAAAGCGCCAAGTTGTGGAACTCTGTATGGAGAGTTGTATCAGCGACCGTGTGACTCTGAAATTACAAAATCTCAACTTTACAAATCTGCTGTACTTTGAACTGAACAACTGTTATAACATGGTCATCGATAAATCGGATTTCACCACTTCAGTGCGGCTGAGAATTATAATGTTTTACAACAGTACGATTGCAGCCATGCAGCCTGGCACCTTTATTAATTTACCCCATCTTCAAATTGTCTCATTAGAAGCCCTGCCAGAAACCGAAAGGTTCTACCCTTTCGAGCCGGTATTCCAGAAGTTTCTACAGAAGCTTCATTGCGCGTGCGAATTCGCCTGGTATCGATCCTGGTGGACAAACAATAAGAATCTGCGGCTTCGCGTTGATAGAGGCGAGCTTTATTCTTTTGGTGGGCCATACAATGATTCATATTTAGAAAGTGGGGATTACAAGAAAGAAGAATTGTACTATCCGGTGGACTGCCATGTTGACCCCTTTCCTCGCAGTGTCGAATGGATGGACTATCACGCTCAGACCGCATACTCCGTAAATGAACCAGAATGTCCGGAAACGTATGCTGCTAACGCAGCTGTAAAAGTAGCAACAGGTAAGCCACAAGCAGATGCCATCAAATCTACGGACTTTCTTTTGATGTGTTTTATCGCATTTTTCACAGAGGCTCCTACTGGTAAGGTTCGTTCGAATTCTACAAGTAAAGCCAAGAGATTTGCCCTGACAACCAAGAAAATTACCGGATACACTGTCAAGCATTCCCATTAGTACCAGCTAGACATCGAGTACTGTCAAAGCACCACACAGTCCGCTCCCCCGGAAATGGATCATTCTCTCCAATCAGTCGATAAATTCGTAAAAGTGCATAAGTTATACTGTGAGGTGCAGATACATCTGGAAATATGCAAGTACAGTTATATTAGTAGCAAAGAGATTAAGAGTTTGTGTCAGTTTAGCACTCTAGTATTTGTTGGAAAATTTTCCCTTTGCCAAAACAATAATAATACTGCTCGCCAAGGAATTGTACGATAAAGAAATATCGTTGATACGCTTACACTATCCGTAAGGCGTAATGAATATCGGGTTTTAGCCACTTTAATAATACTCAGCTAAGAACTAACAAATAACAAGTAAACATAGGCTTATATAACGACCTAAGCCTGAAATAACAGAACATCAAGGGAGTCGACCTAATATCAGACAATCACTCATTGTCAGTACATCTGGCTCACAAGGGCATGAGAAAGGCAAAACATGGACTATGACCATAGGACAAACGAACACATGACCATAGGTGCATGACCATAGGAGAAAACATATATGACCATAGGTTAACGGCGGTACATGACTAAGCTAGTTATGTAACATTGCCCCCTTCCCAGACGTCGCAGGTCTCTCAAGACGTCAAGTCCCGTAATTCGTACGGTGTAGCGGGATGAAAATCCGTCCCTCCTCCTTGTCCGGTGGGTTAATCGCTTCATATCCGGGATCCTCAGGAGCGCTGACGTAAGTTACCGGTTCCGCTACCACAGTCGAACGTCGATGTCTCCGTTCCGCCAAGCGATTCGAAATCCGCTTTCCGCATCCAGCTATCGGTCCACGACACTGAAATATGACCAGCACAATCAGCACTAGCACTACAACCGTAGTGATCGACCAGAACATCGTTTTGAACCAACGTATCTTAGACATTAGGTCAGGTACACTTGCTGACTGCTGTACGTTCTGGACGAACGATTCCACGTTCTCTACTCCGTTATGTTCCATTGCCCCGGCCAACTGGCCTAGCAATTGGAACGTCATCGCATGCTCCTTCTCGGCGGCTGCTTCCAGCAAAGCCCCAGAAAGGTCAACAGTCTCCTGGAAAGGCGCGAGTAACAGCTGTCGGTCAGCATACTGCACCGGCTGCACTGGTCGCCAATCTCCGTCTCTCCAGACGTGAGGAATCCCACGGAAGTTCACCGTATGCGATTGCCAGTAACACTCTTGCCACTTAATCGCCGTGAATCCGTCGCGAGAAATCGTGAAGTTTCCTGAACGAGGTTGTACGCCGCAGTAGACGGTGTTCTGCGCTTCGAACGTCAGGTTAAACGGTCGGCACTGCCGCAAAATTCCCATGCTCCCGAAGCGCTCCAAGCTCTGACACTCTGTAAAGTGCATAGCACGCGCAGCCAAAATCCCGCTCACTTTCGACAGTGAATGAAGATTTTCGATTTTAAGTCTACTTATCCGACAGTCGACGGCGTTAACAGCTTCCGCAAGGTGGTTCTCCTGCTCCACCACCGAGTCCATAATCCATTGCAGATGTTCTGGTAGATACTGTTGTAGCGTCATCGGAGGTTCAGTGGTTGCGCCTTCCGCCTCCGGCGTCTTTCTTCCGACAGTTGTAGTAGCCACTGTCACAGGCAACGGCATTATGGTGCGCGATGATCCCGACGGAAATCCGGGATGTGTCCCACCCGCGAACCCCAGCAAGTTCCTTTTGCCTCTAAATGCCGAATCTTTGCCTCCCCCTCCCGAGGCACTGCTTCCGGCGGTGTAGTTGAAATCCTGGAACAGGATCTTCTCCGCACGCGTCAGCACCCCCAGCAGCATACTCGTTTCACCGACAACACGGAATGCCTCCGTTCCGGTCTGTCCGCACAAGCGCGCCATTGCGCCTAGAACAAAATCCATTTGCCGGGCAGTATCGCGGATTCTCATCACACCGTTTGTATCGTTATACAATTGACCGACTCGCCTGGTCAGCCGAGCCGTCTCGCACGGTCTCTGCGTTTGCGAAATGTCGTTCCATACCACGGTCCGGTGTGCCAGAATCGCGTAGCCTACGGTGCGATCCGTCGCTACCTCACCGACGATACTCATAATTGGGCACGTTTTGCACTCCTGTTCCAAGGTCAACTCCTCGAGCTCACAGTTGTATGTAGTGTACGTCTTTGTAGAGTACCAGGCTCCGTCGCCCTTCGGCTCTGCTGTAAAAGACAAGACACTACCACGCTTTACCATCGAATTCACACCGCATTTGAACGTGTTAGCCATGACCCAACAGTCTCCCGCTGCTAACGGCTTCTCCTTCGAGGACTTCGTCGTGTCCCTCCAGCCCAGAAATCCTTCCTCGATGTGCAAGGTCTCCTCCCAGGCCCGACAGCTGAAGCCTTTGAACACGGTCCGGGCTTTATCTTCTGTATAGATGTCATACTTGACCGGGGTGAACTTGACGGACGACATGTTGGTCCGGCATTGCTCGTAGCGCTCAAAACTGACGACACCGACATGTCGTGGTGAAGAGCAGTCGCAGACAGCCACCTCCAGTGCTGCGACTTAATTGCATAAACAACAACACCAACAGCAGCAAGCCGTAAAAGTGCTTGTAAGAGCATGGGTCATACCGGTCCGGTGCCCTGCGCTCACGACCCGAACGCCGCTGTTCCGTTTCCGAGTTTTCCCGAGTCACCGGCGCGAGCATCTCCGCCTCCGCCGTTGTCACTACCTCAGTCCCCACAGGGGCCTGTACCGCTGGCACCACAGGGGCCGCCATTTCAGGGGCGCCCATCAGGGTGGTAGACGGCTCCTCTTCCGCTACCGTGTCCGTGCCCTCGTCGCGGTCCGCCGGTTGCTTGGGACGCGCGACAGGAATCCATCCTTCGCCGTCCACATCCTCGGAGTCAACGAACATATCGTTGCGATCCTTGAACAACTTCATCTTTGACACGTGGGTAACGAAAACGTTCCTTCGCTTCCGGATCCCGCAAGTTTCCACTTCGTAATTCACGGGCGACGTTTGCCTAAGCACTCGGTAGGGCCCATAAAAACGACTCAGTAACTTGGTCGCCTTACCGCGCTTTCCAGCAGGGTTGAACACCAAAACGTAATCCCCGTCTTTGTACGTCACTTCCGGGTGATCGTCGTGAGCGTAGAGGTAGTTCTGCTTCCCCTCAATGCGCGCATTCGCCTTCGCGTGAAGCGCCTCCATCCGCTCTCCGACATCATACACGAACGCAGCCGCTACTGTCGGGAACGCGATGTCGACCGGCAGCGTCGGCTCCCACCCGTACAGTAACTTGAATGGCGACTCTTTCGTGGTGTCATGCTTGCTGGTGTTTGTCGCAAACACCACAAACGGCAGCACCTCGTCCCAGGTGCGCTGTTCAGCGTCTATGAACTTCGACATCATATGCGCAAGCGTTTGGTTGTACCTCTCGCATGATCCGTTGGTTTGCGGCATATATCCGCTCGTCGTAACACGCTTCACCTCCAGTACCTTGTAAAGGTCACTGGTCAGCTGGTTGACAAACCGTGTCCCCTGATCGCTCAAGATCCTCAAGGGAAACAAATGCTGCAGAAACACTTCAAAAACCAAGAATTTCGCCACCGTCATCGCACTTTGGACCGGAAATGCGCCTGCCAATACATATTTAGTGAAAAGGTCAGTCACTACCAGAATGTATTGGTTTCCACGCTTGGATCTGGGCAACGGCCCCAGAAAGTCCATGGCGAGCATCTCGAACGGCCGCTCCGGACAGAACGACTGGATCGGTCCGGCCGCCTTCGTCGTCAACCGGTTCCGCGCCTGGCACGGTGCACAAGACGCCACATACTGCTCCGTAAAGTTGATCGCTTGAGGCCAGAAGAACCGCTTCCGCACTCGGTCCCAGGTCCGGGCAAAACCGAGATGTCCTCCCATCGGGTCATCGTGGCAGAACGCCAGTACCTCAAAACGTAACGCTTTCGGAACGGCTAGCAGTAAATGTTTTTCACCTTGACTCTTCCACTCGCGATAGAGCAACCCGTCCCTTCACGGCGTACACCTTCTGAACGCTCTTGACCGAGTCCATCTGCTCCATCACCTCCTGAATCCAAGGGTCATTGGACTGTGCATCCAACATTGCTTGCGTGGTGGGGCCCGTCTCCTCACGTACCGCCATCACCGCCAGCACACCGGTTTCCGTAGCCGGTGGGTACCGAGACAGACAGTCTCCATCGGCATGCTTCGCTCCGCTCTTGTGTCGAATCACCAGGTCGAACTCCTGGAGTTGAAGTGCCCAACGGACCAAGCGACCACTGGGAGACTGAATGTTCACCAACCAACACAAACTATGGTGGTCAGTGATGACCGTCACAACACGACCTAACAGATAGTAGCGAAACTTATCTGCGGTCCAGACGATACCCAAACACTCCCGCTCCGTGGTGCTGTAGTTCCGCTCCGCGGCGTTCAAGCGGCGGCTCCCATAAGCCAGCACACGCAAGACACCGTCGCAATCCTGCTGCAGAATGACCACTCCGATGGCGTATTCACTGGCGTCCGGGTGGATCTCCACCGGTCGCGATACGTCAAAGTGTCCAAGCACCAACGACGAGACGAGACGGTTCTTCAACGCCTCGAATGCCCCCTCCTGCAGCTGCTCCCAGACGAACGGCACGTCCTTCTTCGTCAGCTCGTACAGCGGACAGGCCAGCGCCGCATAGTCTTTGATGAAGCACCGGTAATACCCGGTTAGACCGAGAAACGCACGTACGGCTTTAAGATTTGCGGGAACCGGAAAATCTGTAATGGCACGTACCTTTTCAGGGTCGGCCACCACGCCTTCCCGCGTTACCGTGAATCCCAGTACGTTGACTGTCGCTTTTAGAAAGTGACACTTCTTCGGTTTGAACATTAACTCGATCTCCCGACATCGAGAAAACAGCGCCTCCAATACTTCTTCATGCTCCTCCAATGTAGACGTCGCGATGATCACATCATCCAAGTAGACCGCAACGACGCCCCGCACGATGAGGTCCCCCACGATTGTTGTCATGGTACGCTGGAAGTACGATGGAGCGTTCTTGAGCCCAAAGCACAGTTCCTCGTACTCGTAGAACCCCATTGGCGACTGGAAGGCTGTCAACGGCTTCGACTCCTCCGCTAATGGCATCTGCCAGTAGCCGGAAACCAAGTCCAACGTGGAGATATACCGTTTGCCAGACAACGCCTGCAAACAATCGTCCACACGCGGCAGAGGGTGCTTATCAAAAATCGTTATACTGTTAACACCCCTGACGTCATTGCACAAGCGCCAGCTGCGCCCATGATCCTTTCGCGCTAAGACAATGGGACTAGAACAGTCGCTGCGGGACGGTCTAATCACCCCCTTGTCAATCATTGCGCTAATTTGCCGGTTAATCTCCGCGACTTCCGGCGGTGCATACCGGTACTGATTCCGAAACTTCGGCTTCGTACCCGGCATCAGGTCAATACGGAACGGCTCTACCTTAGCCTGACCCATTTTACAGCCCTCAGTATGAAAAAGGTCACCGTACTTCTCAATCAACTTAGTTATCCGACTCACCCCGTCGGTTGTATCAGCGTTTCCAATGTCAAAATCCGAAACGGGACGGCGTGGCCAATCGTACTCCCACATTGCCAGCTCATCCTCCGGTACATCCGGATCGCCATACTTCATAAGCTGATTCACTCGTGGCGTCGTCAGCATGGATTCCTGATCCGCGGTCATCCGGGCGCACAGGGCCGCCGCCGGCATCATGACCGCCTCCCGGGCGTGGCCGCAGGTATCCGTCACCACCGTGTCACCACATCCTCCATGCGTGACCGTGGTACCATCCTGTCCCACGTACAAGAGCGTCGCATTGCACACATCCACCAGCCAGCCGGGTTGGCGCAGGAAGTTGCATTCCAGCACGCACTCGTATCCCTCGTTGCTGACATTGTCAAAAACACAAAAAGCCACCGGCAGCTTCTGGTTTGCTACCGCAACATCGAGTACGATCTTACCCGTTGTACGGATCGTACTCCCATCACCCAGTTCCACCGGCATCATCAGTGGATCCGACATGACATCCAGCTTCCGCTCCAGGAAGCCTCGATTCACAACGGAGAGGTTGGCACCAGTGTCCACCAAGGCACGTGCAGCCTGTCCGTTCAAGGTCACATCCACGCACATGTGCGTTCCGAGCACAGCGTGACGACCTTCGCACCCATCGCCAGACGTACGCATCATCGTGTACAGAGGGCGCTTTCGTGGAATCTTTTCCCACAATCCGAAGGAGTCCTTGCCAATCTCATACTTGTATGGTAACAAATCACCGTCCCGAAGCGGACGCAACGTCTTACCGCAATGAAATTGGACATCCACATCGATCAATTCATCTGCATCCTCCGCTTTGACTAGCAGTAAATTATTAGCTTGCACACCGACACTGACTGTACTGACCGTTTGTATGCCGGCGTCCGTTTGCGTGCTTGCATGCCGTGCATCTCCGTTAACTGTAGCAGTGCTGTCAGCTGATCCACGCCGATTGCGCGGTTCACAGACTGAGTCGGCATAAATGCTGATGGTATCGCTAGAATCATCCGATGACTGACCTTTGTCCTCCATTTCGGCCTGGTACACGCGCAGCTCATGCGCCGCAGTTGTGTCCAAAGGTCGGCTTCGGAATGGCGTGGATTCAATACAGCCAGGACACGTACCTGCTAACAACGCAACCGGGTATCCGTCTATCATACGGTACACATACCCACACGCCGTTGCCCCATACGCCGCACAGCCGGCATCCGCCCCGGACATAGCGGCCAGCGTGGCTGCCGCTTCCAGTGTCTGGTCGTCCGTGCCTGTGCGGTCCAATGCGCTTCCGCGCATCATCCGGAGTCCCGCCCTCGGCGCAGCTCCCTTGGCATCCTTTGCCCGCTTCGGACAATCCCGAAGCAAGTGATCCGTTGATCCGCAGTTCCAGCAGGACTTATCTTTACGTGGTGTGGTCAATGCGTTTCCGGTGCGTGCCGGTTTCGATGCGTCGCTGTGGTTGGAATCAGCAGCGGTTAACTTAGAATGAAATTCTGGCTTACCGCCACTTCGACGGAAATGGTTGTTGGCACGCTGATCCGCCGCCTGCTGTCGCTGGTTGGCTTGCTCCTCTCGCCGCAAGGACTGCGCCGCCTTCTGCAGGTCCGCGAAGAATCCCTGAGGCGTCTTGGCTGCGGAGGTGACTAGCATCTTGTCGATCTCCGGGTAAAGTCCGTTCCGCAGCTTCAGCAGGACATCCAAATCGTCCATTTTGGTGTCGTATTCGTAACATAGGTCAACCATGTCGTTATAATAGTTTTCAACGGATTCGTTCTTTTGTAACTTACGTTGACTAATCTTCAGCTTCAACTGCAACTTCCAATCTTCCGTGAGGAAGCGTGCCAGGAGGGCGTCCTTGAAGGCCTTCCACGTCGTGTAGGGCTTCATCCCGTCCTCCGACACATTGTTGTACCACTGACCCGCGTGGCTAGTCAAGTACACAGGGACTTGCGTCAGTTGCTTCGCATCGTCCCACTCCAACGCCTGCGCAACCGTCCGGAACCTACGAACCCACTGCGCAACGTTCTCACCGGCTTTCCCGGTGAACACCGGCGGTCGCACGTCCGTCGCCACGGCTAGCGATCCCATCGCGTCCGCCAACTCTCGGGCATTCACAGAGAATGCCGGAGCCTGCCGTCCACCTGATACGTCCGGCTTCGACATCGTAGTCTCCACAGTCGGCAAGTCGTCCACAACCGGTTTATCTTCGTCGTCAGAAAATAAGTTGCCCAGGGAGTCAATCTCCCCCTTTACTGACATAAGACTACCACCACGAAACGAACGTACTAAAGGTAACGGTATCAAAAGGTTTTCGGCACCAAATGATACGCTTACACTACCCGTAAGGCGTAATGAATATCGGGTTTTAGCCACTTTAATAATACTCAGCTAAGAACTAACAAATAACAAGTAAACATAGGCTTATATAACGACCTAAGCCGGAAATAACAGAACATCAAGGGAGTCGACCTAATATCAGACAATCACTCATTGTCAGTACATCTGGCTCACAAGGGCATGAGAAAGGCAAAACATGGACTATGACCATAGGACAAACGAACACATGACCATAGGTGCATGACCATAGGAGAAAACATATATGACCATAGGTTAACGGCGGTACATGACTAAGCTAGTTATGTAACATCGTGCAATAAATACATGTAGTGCTGATTAAAGGCAAAACGCCCGAAATCATTGCTGCAACAAGTTTTGAGTTGAGATGTGTGTCAGGCGGCTGGCAGTATATTATCATTATTATGTGTACTGCAACAGCGCTGGCTCAGTCGAACCAGTGCAAGTCAATGAAGAAAACTAATGCCATTGTTTTAACTTGGTCATTCTCTCGCGACGGACAACAACGCGACGGCTTGAATTAACGTAATTCTTCTACAGAACGTTTCTTTTGGAGTGCTGTAATCTGCCAGAGTGTAATCAAATGTCAGTACGCTTGCGCAGATTTACACTAATTAAAATTATCAAATTTTAAACGTTAAAAAAACACCCGAAATCGTTAGTATCACGGGAACCTTAGGATGTCTATTCAAAGTGCCCAAGACGGCTGCTGCATTTCCTCTAACCACTGCTAGACTTAAACGCTGTCTTAAAAAGGCCGTCGATCGAGGTTCTCCCGTAATCTTCCGGCCGGCGAAGCGGATCAGCTCTGCGAAAGCCGTACCGAATGTCCCAAACGTTTCAACCACCAGAGGATAGAAAAGGTATCCCATTCCTCGACAAAATCATACTTCCGGCGTTTACTGTCCTCAGCTAGCTGTACAACACTTCCGGCTTTCATAGAGCTAGCTCGTATATGAGACACGGCCACAGTGTCCCAGCACGTTGTGTCCCACACCACTGCTTTACCGTCGCGCACAGGAATTAGAGTCATACCGTCAGGCCGTTTACCATGTTTGTCTGACAGCCCAAGCGGCTCGCTTTGGCAAGGATAGCCTGCGATTTCCAAGCCAAGTTTGGTTTCGTTGTTCAGCTCGACGTGGCGCGACCATCTGCCCTTACTTACTGCTTGCACAAGACAATCCATGGTGGTCATTTACTTCTACACGACTTCCACAATTTACGCAGGCGTGCTGTTCAACCACGTTCAACCCAAAACGGAGTGCAACGCCAACTCTGACTTCTTCGTCACGCAAAAATGTACGCAGGTTAGGTGCAGGGAGGGCATTCAGCTGCCAAATGACAATTTCGGTTCGTATACTATATATATCAGTTCGTATATATATGTGCAGCCATATGCAGTATACTTTATCTGATTTACCAGCAACTGGCAGAAGATGATTTTGACAAAGTTGTAGATTTTCAGAAAAAGCCGCTTTTCACGATTCAACAATGTCAAAGAGCGTAAAAAAGAGTATAGCACAACGACGGACTACTAACAACGAACAGAATTTGACCAAATGAAAACATGAAAAAAATGACATTTTTCGCAGTTTATAATTTAAATCTACATTTCGAAGAAAAAATTCTCTCGCTGCGCAAATTCGTTTGAGGTGGTCTGCTACTCTACTTGCTGTTCAAGGCTAATCGATTGCTATTTCTGCCGTTTCGAAAGGCAAAGTAGCAGTGCGCGGATAATAATTTTAGGCAGATGTTGTTGCTTGCAACGATTTGGACGTTACTTCATTTAAGGTCCCGTTAGTAGCGGCATCGGTACAGTTTGGCTCATTAATGGAGTATTCAGCCTGAGTGTAATAGCTGATCCACTCAGGACCGAGAGGGAACGGATCCGCGTTACAGTTAATGGGATGATAGACATCCTCGTAAGTGTACTCATCGTTTTCAAGCCTTGTGTTTGTGTATCGTGCTTCAAAAGAGTACAGTTGGCCGGTTTCGACTTTCGCCCGCAACTTTTTGTTGTTTCGCCACCACGATCGATACCAAGCAAACTCGCAGTCACAATGCAAACGGCGCAAAAAATTCCGGAACGGTGGATCAAAATTATAGGTTTTATGAATCCTAAACTGTGATTCCAAGGACACTATCTCGAGATGCGGCAAGTCCGTAAACGTACCCGGTTCTAGGCTATCAATCGTACTCCGGTAAAACAATATTATTCGTAGGTGCCGTGTTGTTTCAAAGTCCCCCTTCTCGATAGTCAAGCGGTTACAGCGGGAAAATTCTAAGTTCAGTAGATTGGTAAAATTCAATTGGACCAGCCTGGACGTCACGCGATTTGTGGCACATGAGCGCAGGAATAACATAACGACCTGAATTTGTACCGGTGAGAACGAATATTTAGCTATGACTTCTTCACTGACATAAACAGACACTGGCTTCAGTGGAGGGTCTGCCATTTCCAGCGCCATATGTTCCAGTACCGCCACCGATACATTCGACTGGCATTCAATCTGGAAGTGGTTCCAGTCTGCGCAGTCTGCGGTTGTGGCAACGTACGGTTTGCAGTAGCGGTTAAACTGCGCACCGCACTCATCCTCCGTCATTTGCTCCATCGAAAACTTTGGAAAATCTTCCTGAGTTTTCTTTGTTTTAGCAGCCGGGTGGATTTTCAGCGGACACTTGTAGGCGATTTTGATTCGCGCAATATCTGTCGGACTCAGGCCGCTTTGTCCCATCCTAACAATCAGCCCTTGCTTCGGCACAATGGAAGGGCTTTTGCGCGATATGGCGTCGTAGAATGCAGGAAAGTGTAAGACGGAATGGTAGTCATACTTGGTCCCAAAAGTGTAGATTGTTGAATTGATTTGGAAATCCGAATTATAGTCATCTTCTGCGGCGATGCTGGTTGGTATGATATCAACGTAACAGTCACGGTCGGGACGTAGGTGCTCCCAATCAAAACCCAAAGAACGCATTACGAGTTGCTGAATATCAGATGTACTGAAACAACGCCTGAATAATGACGAGTAGTTTTTTCCTCCCAATGCGATTTCTTGTCCCCCGTACAATCGCCCCGGCCCGGGTAAAAATCGGCATCTGAAACAGCAGAGAGCAGGCAAGCGCTTATACGCAAGATTTTCTTGGTCTTTTTGCGAAGCATGGCACATCGGTTTATTAGTTTTACGACAGTTCTTTAAGTTATTGCCCAATGTTCACACACTCGCCGTCATCAGTTAGCGCAAAATATAGGTAATCCCTTTCGTCAGTCCTTTCTTTGAACAGAATGCATTCTTTTGTCTTCTTCTCCATTTGTCTAAGAGCTTTCAGCACAACTTTCTTATCCGAATCATCTGCAGAACACAACGTGGCAAGAAGAATTAAAAGGTGATCGGTTTTTACAAACTGAATGTCGGTAATTAGTACTGCAGTTGCCGGGTCGCTGCATGTGCACTGCAATACGTTACTTGTACCATTACCCATCAAGTTGGGGACCTCAATATTAGGTACGATAGTAACGATTATCATGTTGTAATACAGTACACTACTCACGAGCTCCGACCCAGTGCTCGCACTATTAGTGGAAATCTTGTGAAAATAGCAAGAAAACTGGAAATCCAAGACTGAAGAGCAGTTTCCGTTAATCTGCTATGATCTGTGGCAAATTTTAGACGAATCTGGTTTTTGCAGCGCCGATCGCAATTTGCTCCGTCGGTTTATTACAACATAAACATTTTAGAAATACTGTAATACATATGCATTATAACACCCTCACTGGTATGCTCACCAAAATCATTGCTGAAAAGATACGGGATGCCGGTGCGGTTCGGCCACAATTTCGCGCCGGCTTCCGCCATGGCATTGGCGTCCGAAACATTGAGTGGTGTATAGAACAAATCTGCCGACAGAATGCTTTAATAATTTTCTGCAAAATCACATTCCGCAATGTTTGCGTGATACACTTAAGGTCGTTGCTTATGCATTTAACACTCTGTAACCAACGCAACTCCAGAAATATTGTATTACAAGAAACAGCCTCGGCTTCGCCTCCGCGTTTCTTGGGTTCTAAACTCCTTGGCCGGTTTGCGGATTGTTAACTTAGAACGGATAAATCTGAAGAGCCCGATAACAAAAATTTTATAAAAAAAATGGATGTTTTGGTTTCGTGCAGTCGAACGCAATTACTTTGACTTTACAGATCATTTTTTGTTAAATTTTCTTAGCGAAAAACCATCCGAATCTAATCACCCACGAGAATATCACATTACAAACTAAAAGGACGCTAAGACTGGACAGTGGTGCTAGATAGGTCACCCATTAAGAACTTAAAGCAGGCCCTGCTCTATTTTGCTCAGTAAAATTGCAGTTTGGTCATACGTTCACCTAACGGGCTCTGTGCACTGGACAGTATTGGTAGCTCGGTCACCCATCTACCTAACGGGATCTATGCACTGGACAGTATTGGTAGCTCGGTCATCCATCTACCTAACGGGATCTATGCACTGGACAGTATCGGCAGCTCGGTCACCCATCTACCTAACGGGCTCTGTGCACTGGATAGCTTTGGTAGCTCGGTCACCCACCTACCTAACGGGATCTATGCAAAGGACAGTACTGGTAACTCGGTCACTAGATCACTTAACGGAGTTTCTGCGCTGGACAGTAGTGGTACCTCGGTACTAGATCACTTAACGGAGTTCGTGCACTGGACAGTAGTGGTACCTCGGTCACTAGATCACTTAACGGAGTTCGTGCACTGGACAGTAGTGGTAGCTCGGTCACCCATCTACCTAACGGGATCTATGCACTGGACAGTATTGGTAGCTTGGTCATCCACCTACCTAACGGGATCTATGCATAGGACAGTACTGGTAACTCGGTCACTAGATCACTTAACGGAGTTTCTGCGCTGGACAGTAGTGGTACCTCGGTACTAGATCACTTAACGGAGTTCGTGCACTGGACAGTAGTGGTACCTCGGTCACTAGATCACTTAACGGAGTTCGTGCACTGGACAGTAGTGGTAGCTCGGTCACCCATCTACCTAACGGGATCTATGCACTGGACAGTATTGGTAGCTCGGTCATCCATCTACCTAACGGGATCTATGCACTGGACAGTATTGGTAGCTTGGTCACCCATCTACCTAACGGTCTCTGTGCGCTGGGCAGTATTGGTAGCTCGGTCACCCATCTTCCTAACGGGATCTATGCACTGGACAGTAGTGGTAGCTCGGTCACTAGATCACTTAACGGAGTTTGTGCACTGGACAGTAGTGGTATCTCGGTACTCTTTCACCTAACGGGTTCTGGGCACTGGACAGTGGTGGTAGCTCGGTCACGTACTCACCTAGCGATTTTTTGACGCACTCAATCACTAGGTGAGTGACTGACCGAGCTCAACCTGTCCAGTAAGAAATATCGCTAGGTAAGGAGAAAAATCGCTAGGTGAGGATGTGACCCTGCTACAACTACTGTCCAGTGCACAGAGCCCTTTATAGGTGAGCAGAGCAAAGCCCGCTCGATGACTCACTCACCTAGAAATTCCGCTCAGTGGGCAGTAATGGTGTTTCGGTCACTCACTTGTCTAGTGATTTTTCTTACTGGTCAGTGGTGGTAGCTCGGTCACCCACTCATCTAGAGATTCCGCTCAGTGGTCGGTGATAGTGTTTCGGTCACTCACTCGTCCAGTGATTTTTCGTATTGATTTTATATTTGATATTTTTACATTTTATATCGGTTAATTTTAAACTTGTTTCGAGCTCGGCAACACCGGCAGCAATGTTTGAATAACGCGAGTGTTTGAATAAGTACAATAACTTATTTATTTTTCGGTTTAATTAGTGTGATAATTATGTCAATTGGTATTTTGTATTGTATCTAGGCAAATATTTCTAAGTTTCAAGGTGACCTTTAAGATGGGTTGGATCAATCTGGTCTTGATGCCGGCTTGATGCCGGCTCGATATTTTCATAAAAAAAAACACATGCCGGCCACTTCTGAACTATTACGGATCTGATGGCGTTGTCCGTTTTTCCAGAAGTTTTATGGTTATAGAGATCTCAAAACTATGGGGCGCCGCGCGTAGTATAGATCTTGTACTTAATAGTGCTATTTTATCAACACTTCACAATGGAAGCGCTTAACAGGCATGCAAAACAAATTTCAAAATTACATGGTATTCTAAAAGCAGGAGAAGTTATCTCCGTTAATGGAGTTTGAGTGCTGCAGTTGAACACTAATAATGTTATATATAATGCCAAAAGACCTGCAACGGCTTTTTTTACAAGAATGATAGCACTTGCCTTCCGTAATAAACACTTCATCGTTTTCGTTCGATACGGCTGTTGTTCTGCATAAAAACACTGCAGCCGTCACTGCGTATTGTATACAGCAATACAAGTAATTTCCCATTGGGATTATTTAGGAAATGTCCCCACTCAGTAAATGTCCCCCGTCTATCTGGAACGCGTAACGTCGTGCGTCGTAACGTCTCGCCTCGCCTTCTCGGCAATGCAACATCAACTCTTACTACTAGTTAAAAGCATGGAATGAGTACCGATAAACGCTTTTACTGCTCATGGAACTGGTGTACCTTACGCCGCTAGCATTTGTAACTTGTCATTTGCAATGTTCAAGAATGTAATATGCCATGTACTCGTATCAGGAAAGCTTACCTCATGCAATACGCAAGCAGATTTACGAAAATAACCGCAGGCAAAGCTGTTCGGTTTTTTGTAACCGGAAATGACGACAAATGCAGTCGCTGTTGACATGTTGTTGAACGAAGGCGATTCTTCTCTTACTAGTACGTATATAAAGATATTTTTTAATGAATTTCCTCTCGCTCTTTCTGCGTTCGCTGCACTACAAGTTCAACAACTGCGCTTTTGTCGTTGCAGGAGTTTTCAGGAGAAGAAAAGACGTGCAACGGTGGCCGCTAAAATATTACTGTTATACGTAATTTTACAACGAAAAAGTAAATAAGAAAAAGGAACTTTCGTTGCCTTGGTAATGTCCAGCAACGTCCAGGCATACGAATTTCCCGTGTCCCCAAAGTTGAAATTTGTTGGCAGTCTATTGTGCTGGTTTTTTTATAACAAATAACCCAGTTGGCTATTCTGCAGTCTTGCAGTTGCAACGATCATTATTAGATGGTGTATTTTAATTATCATGGTCTTTATCTTTATCGTCTTTATTGAAACAAATCACCATGTGCCTCAACCGATACTGATGAAGATGATTTCCGAACTGCCAACGTAAACGAATGTATAATAATCACCAGCAGACCAAGAAACAGCTTGAACAAGCAGCATGCGTTAATCGTGTATAGTGTATACTTGATAACAATGCATTGTTATTACGTATCAGTCCGCAAGCACCTGTTGCATTGTGCGAGTGGAAAATCTACACCAGAGGATACATGGCTTCGCTAGCGATGCCGCACTGGTTGTCCTTATTGCGCACCATCTTAATGTAACCATCTTCGCCCCATTCTTCACCCCAGCTGTTCTTGACCAGCCAGTAATCTTTTCCGTTCTCGTTCCCGTATCCAACGATTAACATGGCGTGTTCCCGTTTGCTTCGTTCAGAACTGCACTCACCGTCATCGTAAACGCCTACACAAGAAAACTACTTTATGATTTGGTTTTTAAATGAAATGCTTATAGTAAATGTATGCTCTATCCTGCCGCAATTCCGTAGTAAACTGTTCACTGCGGCGCTAACCAAACTGTAATAAAATTCCTGCCCGTTGGAAACGACTATTAAATACTATGTTTGCTCCGCTTACAACGAGATTGGCATTTTGCCTTATACATTAGTTACCTCTTTTGGAAGCTTTTTAGAAAATTTTCTGTGCTAGATTCTCACCAGACGAATATTTTGCAAAGGTGTCGAGGCTGGCATCCACGGCGATACTAATCGGCCCTACAGTGGCCACGGCTACTCTTAAGATCTCTTCGTTACCGCTCGGCATCACCTCCACATAACCATAATCTGTTGCTCCCACTGTGTCCCTTCTGAAGCGACAGGTGCCATCCTGCAAAGAATTTTAACTTTTTCAGTTATAATACTATCAATGCGCAATAACTGCTTGGTGGCTATCTACCCTTGCTTCATACGAGTACGACGTTTCCGTATCCAGACCATGATTGTCCTTGATGTAATCAAACGCTGCAAAGATGCATGTGTAGACGGTCAAAATCGCAAGTACCGACGTACAGTAAGTAATTTGTGCGGCAGTAGCCAATAAAAGAAGTGCTTCAGTGCAAAGGGCACTGTCGTTGCAGTCGCAAGTCGTAAGGTTTGGCGCCAGTATTAAAATGCAATCGCTATTCGCAAGCGCAAAATTATGATCAGTCATCAAAACTACGTGGCATGTGGTTTTAGATGACTCCAAGTCCGCTTGCCAGCCACAGGTTTGGCGCAAAACTATGAGTCAACTGGTGAAAATTCACGTCCACACAAATCTGATCAGATTGTCAGTTACGAAGCAAAATAATTCCATAATAAACATCAACGTATGTAGTAAACAAATTTTTCTGTAATCGCAGTTGAAGATCGTTTCAATTAGGAAATTAGCAAATTCATGGGGATTACGAAAATCTCGGACCAGGCTCAACCGCCGGAAGCGGTGCCTTTGTTTGTTTTGTCAGTACCGAGTACGTGGATGATAACTAAAGATCCAACCCGATGACTTAATCTTATGCGGTGATTTACAGTAAAAAAAAGCTTTACCTAGGGAAGGATTTCCACCCTCGCAGCCGTTATTCTCTCGGGAACAGTCGACCAGTTGCTGCTCACTTAACGAGATCAGTCTTCCCGTCTTGCGGAAATGTTGCCCCTCCAGCGCTCCCGTAGTGCTAAATGCCCAACACGATCCACAACGCGAGCCCCAGTCTGAGGCTTGATTCTTGACGGGGGTAACATATCCCCATTGCCGCCAGTCCACCTCATCTGGAAGGTGGACATTTGACGGGGCGAGGAACACTGGGTTTCTTGCAGTCTTATCGTTGCTTCGAGATTTTACTCCATGCGCCATCTTGTAATATTCTTCGGGTTTCATGTCGGCAAAATGGTTAACTTTAAGTTTATAAGAATGCAGACCCCTCGCGTATTCCTTATTGTGCTGATCGACTCGTTGGCTGTTCTTCATATATAGTTCGCGTCGCGTGGTATCTTCGGCTCCATCGTATTCTTTCCCTGTAAAAATACAGCAGACGATACACATGTGCAACTCAAAACCAGACAAGACTTGGAGTTGTTACCGTGAAAAGTCTTGAATTTTCTCCAGTCAAACAGAATGCCGTTTTCTCCGGTTGCATCAGTTGGTAGTTCGCTAATGCACGCTGAGGAGCAAAAGGCATACAACCCGGCGAACGACAGAAAGAGTAACTCAGAAGTATACATTTTCGATTTTAGTTTTCTCGACTGACTCAAGATCAACGATCCTAAGTCACCGAAATTGACAAACAACAAAGCTTAGTTTTATGCATATTAATACCAGTTTTGCAAGGAATGCACATGAAGCACCCGGTCTCAACCAACGCCTTAGCTGTCCGGATATCTCGCTTAGAAATGGAAAATTAGAATCACGATCGGTTGGCTTGTGGACACTGAATCAGTCTTCTCAGAGTAAAAGCATCCATGAATGACGTTAGTACTGCTTACGAATCAACGCGAACCGAGTGAATCCTGTCAGAAATCGGAAGCAGCGATGCGATCAGCAAGGATCGCCTCTTCCGGATGGGGCACATTTTCGACATACTTCTACGTAGTGCTAACCGGCAGTGCTTATCGCAATAAAGAAGTGTTCTGAGCGCTCCGTGGCGGTGACGACGGAATGTTCGGCATCGTCACTTTCGAGTTTCGTCACTTCCAAACTGCACCCAGTTTTGAAAGGATCTGAATCATACTCACTAGCGATTTTCTCAAAATCGGGCGAGAAATGTTAACTCTGCTTTTTTTGGATAACTGTGATGGTAGCACGTCAATTCGCTGACTGTGAATTTCTTGTTGAGCCGTTTCCCTGACCAGTGAGCTGGAGGCATAACATCCAAGTATATTATGTATTATATACTACTTTATTCGAAATCTCAAAGCATGTTAAGTTGGCTTGACGTAATCAGAACGCTGTGCTGCATGCGAACCGGTGCGATAAATAGCTGAACGGTGGACATCGGAAAATGCCATCATTGTCCCAAGTTTGTGTCTTTCTGTTGGATGATAACCACAATAACCGGTATGTCTAAGGCGCGTTGGAATCCTCGCAGGTCGTCCAAACGGTAGCTCAGAAGCAAACAAATTATGTTACCGTCGTTTTACATCCCTGTACTGATCTTTTTGTCACTGGACGTTATGAAGTCCAGAAATTTCATGCTTTTTATAATTTGGCTTAATTTGATAATACTTACCAACGCTAGACATCGTATTAAAAGTACTGTATTGTAAAAAGGTCATCAGATGCTGGTTCCTGTGCACCCAGATTTATACAATATAGATATAACCAAACTCAAGCCGCATTTACATGCTGAGTTCTACACCTACGGTACATGTTTCTACAAAAACTGCGTTATGTTCTCGTTATGTTCTGATCGAAGGAGGTATACCTCATAAAAAAATTTAGTATCTCAGTCTATGATGTGCGGCCATTCTCTGATTATTACACGTATGGCTAAAATGCGGAATCATACGTACAGAAATATTATGCAGACTAAAAAGTAAATTAATTTAAGACGTAAAGAAGCTTTGATATTCAATATTTACGGTTTCCTGAACTCGCGATCATAAGAATTCATTATTCGCGATCACAATATTTTGTACAAGCACTGAGCTAATTACCATCCAGAAATCTTCATTTGTACTCGATACTTGGAAAAAGACGGAAAATAAAACCAGTCACAGGAAGCCCGACCAATAAACGTCGCTATCAAGCAAACGCGGTTTTACTGTTCCCGGCGTTCGATTTCATAAAGCCGAGAACGAACTAAGATGACAGAACAGAAATTCCGAAAAAACCAATAACAAACACATTATTTTTGTAGTCGTAAACCGGAAAGCAAATAACTGCAAAGCTAGACCAGTGGATAACTGGCAGCAGTGGCGATGCCGCACTGGTTGTTTTTATTGCGCACCATCTTGATGTAACCGTCGTCGCCCCATTCCTCACCCCAGCTGTTCTTGACCAGCCAGTAATCCTTTCCATTCTCGTTGCCATATCCAACAATCAACATGGCATGATTCAGGCTTCTTACGTCTGAACTGCACTCATCCTCATCGTAGACCCCTATGCATAAGATGAACGCTTATATTTGTCTATTGTAAACTATATACAGATCCCGATAGGAACGTTTATTATTGCTGCTATCGCCTAATTGGTATATTTTGTTAAGTAGAAAACGATTGTGCACTAACGAACTCTGTGATACCGAGCCGGCTTCTCTTTCTATGGCTTCTGCGCCCCCACAGTTATCAAGCAATTAAGGTCTTACCAGATGAATACGTTTGAAAAGTCTCGTGGCTAGCGTCCATGGCAATGCTTATCGGTCCTACGGTAGCCACGGCCGTTTTCAAGATCTCTTCATTTCCTTCTGGTAGCACATACACGTGGCCATAATCTGTTGCTCCCACCGTGTCCATCCTGAAGTGACAGCTGTCCTCCTTCAGAAAAATGCAACGTGAACACGTTGTGGGATTAGGGTGCCGTGTACGTATACGAATCACGAAGAACAACCGTTTTACCTTTGCCTCGTAAGGGTAGGAAGTTTCCGTATCCACGCCGTTGTTGTCTTTAATATAATCAAACGCTGCAATGCATATGAACATATTACAAGTTTGTTTGATTAATCATCGTAAGTACGTAAGTAACGTAACTTACGGATATCGATAACAATCGATCAACCATCTAACAGCATGTACAGAAGTCTGTACGATTGTACATGCCGCTTTGGCGCAGTTTTAATGAGTCATATACTGTTACAGTCAGAAGTATTTGAGGCCTGGTCGCCCTTCCGGCTAGAGCGCAAAATGAAAATAACGCTCTGTAAGTGGCGAGTAACCAGCGCCCTTACCAAAAACTGTACCAAACATGGCACCTCGCTAACAATTTTTGTCGCCCACCTTGGGTCATAAAGCCGCCACTGCAGCCTTGGTTACCATACTGCCACGAACAATCCACCAGCTGCTGCTCGCTCAACGAGATCAATCTGCCCGTCTTACGGAAATGCTGTCCTTCCAGCGCTCCGGTCGAACTGAACGCCCAGCAGGATCCGCATTGGCCTTGATTCTTCACGGGAGTGACAAAACCTCGCTGTCGCCAGTCGATCGTCTCCGGAAGTTGGACATTTGACGGGGCGAGGAACACGGGATTTTTGGCAAAACTGGTATCGTTGTTCCGGAATTTTATTCCGTGCATCATCGTTCGAAATACTTCGGGTGCCATGTCAGCAAAATGGTTGATTTTCAGTTTATAGGAATGGAGACCTTGTAAATATTCCTTATTGTGCCGGTCGACTCGTTGGCTGTTCTTTATATATGCTTTGCGTCGCATGGCATCCTCGGCTCCATCGTATTCTTTCCCTACAAAAAGGCGGTGACGAGTAAATTAAAATTAAAGAAATTCTGCCGTTATTACCGTGAAAGTTTTTGAATTTTCTCCAATCAAAAAGAATGCCGTCTTCTGCGGTTGGATTGACTGGTTGGTCTCCAGTGAATGCTGAGAAGCAAAAGGCATACAAGCCGGCAAACAGGAAAAAGAGCAGTAAATGCATTTTACTGCTTCTGTCCGGGGTGATTTTCAAGTCACTAAAATAGACAAGCAACATACGCGTTAACACTTTTATTAGCTTTTATACCGACTTTGATATCTTTGCAGGAAGCCCAAATGAGTCAGCCTGCTTCCTGTATAACGGTGACAAATCGTTTAACAATTTTGCAGATATCCGACCTTAGGTTACATTCAGCCGATTTTTGATTTGATTTGACTGGTTTCCGCTCCCAAGATGAAATTAGTCTTTACGAAATTTCTGCTTCAACATTAGCGAGACCAGTAAATATCTATGGATGTGTCAATGGCCCTGACTTCCTGCGGACGTCTTAGTCGCCCGGATGGACGTCTCATTAAGTTGGGATCGGCCACTCGTAGACGCTGAGAAACAATACATTACGTTTGAACGGCACCTGGTCAACGACTGGCCCAATCCTACCGATTGGGGCTTCCTAGTACTCGCGAACATTGATGCAAAAAGCAGAAAATGTCTCCCCTTTCCGGGATGGAGCACGTAGGAATAAATTATAGTGGCTACTTGAACTTCAGTGAACAATTTTTTGAAAATTCTACAAAGCAGCCAGCTAAGTTTTTTTGTTTCCCACGAGAATAGTCTGAAGCTGCTGGGAAACAGAAAACCTGCACAAGTAAAGAAACTTACTATTATCATTCGTTCATCCGATATTGGCAAATCATTACTTGATTTTGGAAATACAAATGTCAGTAGATATGAAGGGCGCATGAAATATTTATCGGAAGCTTACCGGCAGTTCCCCATTTCCCGCTTTTATAATACGATTAGCAAACTATCCTCGTTGTGCATCAAGAAAATTATCGCTTCCGGTATGAGGTGTTAAAGCGCGAAATTCTACAAAACTGTGGAGCATGGAAAGTAAAAACCAATAATTATTTTCGTTTTGTTGGTTCTGTAGACGTACGCAAGATTAATATCCGATGTGCTCGTTGCAGTAGCAATACTGCAGTCTTGATTTTTTTAAAAATTTGAATCGAAAATGCTTTTCTGATGACGGATAGTGGATTTGCATACACTGATACAGACTATTACAATGATAAAGCACGTACGCATATGCCGGCACAACGCTAAAGTTTTAATCGTCTATTTACTACTGGGCACGCATTTTGTTCTGCATTTCCTCACTTTTTTGTTGGTCAGTTGATCATCAGTCATCACTACAACAAATGCTTTGTTTTTACGATTGAGTAGTCACGTTATCAGTACTGTACAGTCTGTATTGGATGTTTACTTTAGGCGTTTACCAGCCGCGAGCACGAGGTTGATATTCAGCCCGCATAATTAATCTTGGCCATAGAACAATTGTGTATTACAATGTAAATACAGATATTTTATTGTGTAGTCGCTAAACAAACACCAAACCTATTGTGCATTAGAAAAGATGCAACCCAATTCAAATTTCAAATGACAAATTTATTCGCTTAATTTTCATTTGTCTTCATCTCCAACACACATTCTGCAATGAAATATGCCCCTTGGATCAACAGAATTTTTGATATTCAATAGCCGGTCATAGTTGTGTCCCCACGCTGCCGTCTGCCAGTTCGGCTCCTCCGGAAAGATTTCATTGTGATACGCTCCCGTGTCCGGATACGCATTCCGCCAAACTTGCAAGCCGCTGTTCAGTGCCGCCTTTTTCATGTTGACATCCTCTTGGGATGTGGTCCCGTCCCAGCCGGTAAACAGGAAGGCTAACCATGCCGCAGAACGCCAAGCCGGTGTGACCGAGGTCTCCTGTGACGTTGCATCGCGATTGCGCATTCCCGGTCCGGTAATGAGGATGATGGTGAAACCGTTGGCCAGATTGTTCTGTGCCGCGCCGGCAACAATAATACGCGCGGTGTTTTGGGGATCCAATAAAGAATACATGGGAATAAAGCGCGTGCCTAATGCCGTCCTGTATCCGGATTGAAAAGCACCGAATGCTGGGATCGTAGTCGTCCACATGCGCCAATCCTGTCAAAAAATCAATTAAATAAATAAACAATAACTTCAAATTATATACCATATTAATTCTTCCAATATCATATAAAAATTGTATATACGTACGGTGCAACAGATACATCTACATATGTAGTACTATTAAGGATTTGCGCATATCTTTAAACACTTTATAAATAAAATTAATATTTAACTGAAGACACAGCGTATAATAGTGAGTCACATTTTTTTACAAATACAGAATTTATCATACCTCGAAATTCTCAAAACGTAGCAGATGTCTGCCTCCCGCTTCGGTGATCGGCTTAACAAGAAATTCGAATTGCTCTTGCATTTCGACATAATCCTGCTTTAGCACTTCCATCAGTGCAGCTGAATTAGCGCGATCAGCCGGCACCAAGAACATCAGCGTTACTCCTGCGTTAGGGCTGAAAATGAGGTATCCACCCCAGCCAACCTCCCCAAGGCGTTCGGTGTGTCGTGCCAATACCTCCACAATATCCTTCAGCTGAGTGGCGCTGAAATTCCCCGTGCCGGTTTTGTTCGTAATCATCAGCGAATATGATAAAAATCCTTTCGAAACTGGATGCAGTCTATATGTGACGGAAGTGATAATGCCGAACGTTCCACCGCCACCGCCACGCAGTGCCCAGAAGAGCTCTTTATTGCAACAAGCGCTGACGGTCAGTAGCGTGCCGTTAGCTGTCACTAGCGTGAATTCTAATACGTTGTCGACAGCCAAGCCAAAGGACGTGGAAAGGACACTCTGACCGCCTCCCAAGGTGAACCCGCCAGCCGCACTGACGTCCGGACAATATCCACCGACGATCCAATATGTTCCGTTGAAACACTGGGTGATCTGCCAAAAATATACAACAAATTTTATTTTTAATTATGACGCCTTTTTTTCACCCAGCAATCTTTGCTTCCAACTCTTTTACCAAAATTTACAAGGTTATAACTAGCGAATCAAATCTCTTCCTACTCGCAGTAACTATTTATTGAGCGTTAGTGAGAAATTAGACTACTCGAGTACGGCCAAAAAATTCTGAAACAAAAAATTATTATTTATTTAGTGAAAAATGTTGAAACTGACTCCATAAATTCGAAGCCAAATTTTATTGTACTTCATAGCTAAAAATTCAAATAATATCATTCAAAGTTAGCACTACAGTTGAATTAGTCGGCTTATTAGCAAGTGCGAACGTTATAAAATTTAATTATTTGCAGGTGTGAAGCGCTCACAGAGCCTCAACAACACAAATTGCCTTAATTTTATTTGAAAAGTGGAATTCAACATTGCTCCCTTCCATCTAAAATAATTGCAACATAGCACTACATTTTTTCTCGAATAAGCGAGCGCAGCACACGTGACCTTACTTTGGCGTATACGTCATTCCACACTTTTCCAGCCGGTACCGTAATCACAGGATCTGGATATCCGTGACCAGCGCCGCAGCCGGTTGGAGTGAGCGATGACTTCGTCTGTATTTCTCCGCGAAAGTTACGCATCCAAATCAGCAACGCGTCAGGCGCGGTACTACGTCCGACATAATCATGCCCGGTGCTCTTCACCACGACGCGCAGATTGTGGTTGGTGGCAAACTGCAAAGCCTTTTGGATATCACCGACATCATGCGCTTCCACAGCATACTGTGGAACACGCCCAGTATGGCAAACAGCGTTACGGCGCAAAGCTCCTTCAAACGTGCAGCGATCTTCGTTCATATCCTCCCAGTTGGCCATGTACATGCTTCCGGGTTTGTTGATCAGAAACTTCGACTCGTGGTAATTCGCCTGGACATTCTCACATTCGCTGGTCTTTGTAGATTGTGGACCATAACACGGAAACGCTGTTCCGTACAACTTCATTTAAGGCGCGATTCAAGTATTACGTAACGGAATTTTAGACCCTTTTCTACCACCCAACCGTTCGAGATAACGCTGGCATAACGAATTTTTTCACCACTCTACCGCTTACGTAATGGCCGGTCTGACCCCCCCCCCCGTACCAATAAAAAAATTTATTTTTCAAGTTTCCATTTATATAGCGTACACGGTGGTTAACGATGGTTAAAGTCGACCGTGCGACAGGTCCACAGATAGCATAGCAGCACAATCATACTTTCTGCAGAAAACACGCTGATACTCACAGAACGCTGAAAAACTGAACACAATCTAGAATAAGAGAGTAAAAACTACAGAGTGTACTAGATATCTGTATGTTCTTCGAATATGTTACCTAACATACATAAACTCTGGACTTTTTTCTAGAGGCAAGTTCGTGCTAAAGCAGCTTTTGCACAGCGAGAAACAACGGACGGTACCTGTTGGTACCGGAACGATAAGACGGCCGGATAGTGCGTCATTAAATGTCTGCCACTGGTTTTCAGTTGGCCAACACGCGTCTTTTGGTGAGCAGTAGCAGGGCTTCGTTTGGCCAGTGGTTCTAGGAAAATCCTCACAATTCTGCTTTTATCCTCATTCCGGTACTGCATTAAAATTTCAAAAAGGCGGGTTGACAACGTACCTTTGACATATTTCGGGCGCTTTGGTTTCGGTACTTCCTTGCGCCTCAACTATTAAACGCATTGCAACCTGTACAAACCCGAAGAATATATTTGAAGATGTGTTACCGACGTGACATCAAAATAGCCAATCAAATGAAATTATATTTTCGGAACAAGAGCATGCAGTAATTTTTAATGAAATATAAATAATTAAGAAATGGCAGTTGCAGCACGTTCGCATTTACTGCAAATTGCAGTTCGTAATAAAAATAGCTTGTCAATTGCAGTCTGCAATTGACAAGCTATTTTTATTACGAACTGTACCTTAGAGTGCATTTGAACGGTGCTATCAAATAAAACAATTATGTACATTCCTCACCAGAATCACCAGCGTCAGCAGGATATCCATGATAAAAAAATTCATTGCCGCACGAAACTGACCTACTACCACGAAATTTATGAAATTAAATCATAAATATGGTCATAATCTTAAATATCATTTAACATATGTCGAAATGTTTCAAAACGTAGAATGGTTTCCAATATATACTTGGAAGTAAATAGTTCTAAGAAATACTTGGACGTGCATGTCTCGCATACAAGAGAATCCATTGCAGCAGTGGAGCAGAGCGATGTAATCTTCAGCGCAAGCCGATACCACAGAAGCCGGGACTAACTAATAAATGCAACCCGCTGCCCAGCCGGAACCCAGATTGGGTCACGCAACTGACAACTAAGCGATAATCAGCCTGGGCGGCTTACTCGTATTATGCTGTCCCTCTACAGATCATGCTAACCCCAATCGCCTTAGCATTTCTATATTGCACTGATATTTGCATGATTTCGCTCGAAATTCACCGCATACGTTCTGGAAACTACTTGCTAGCTGCTTTGAAACTTTCCGAATACAATAAGATATACTTCTTGATCAGGAGGCGTTATTTGCATTATCAATAACCGTGTACATAACCCTGCTTTCCGGATTTCAGACAGCAGTTTGCGCAATAATAAATTGACACTTTGATATATTTTCGTTTCCGTAAAGATCTGTTCCGGTTTCGTGCTGCGGCCAAACGGCTTACGGCTCTAATGCTGGATCCGACTGTGATCCAGATACGGAGACCTAAACGGAATAGATCCCGTGGAGTGAGCTATGCGATCAGTATAGCGAACTACGCGGAATCGCGAAACGTCGCACCGCTAATAGCTGACTTTTAATAATATTGAAAGTCTGGAGACCAGAAATCAACAAGTGATCGGCGCAGCTCGATCACAAATCGTAGAGCCAATTCAACAGTGTGTAACACTGTGCAGCACGTGCTAAGCCGCGCCCACTAATAAAGCGCAAGCCAATCAGAAGCGAGACACAACACAGACCGTAATCCAAAGGCGTAGCGCCTAGCGCCACGGACGTGAACGCTAGTGAGCCTCGTCTCACATGCCTCTGGGGGGATGCCGAGCTCCGTTGAGGCTGGACACACTCCCGAATCCACGAAAAGACGGTCGCCGGTGTCTGTGCGTGCTCAAAAACATCAAATTCTCTTATTCCATTTATCACATCAATTCCATAAGGCACAATTCCATTTAATACGATGTGAATAAAGAGATCCATTTATAAAAATACTATTCCATATCAATTTTAATACAAAACAGATCAACAGTTAAAAGATCAACAAAAGTATTAATCAAATGTAGACTAGGATCCTCCACTTCTGACTCGTAAAGGTCACAGGTCCTGTCCACCGTTTTCCGCACTTTTTGGCCTATTCCGCTCTGTTGAGCGATCCCGCGCATCCGTAGTGCGACTTTTCATCACAATCCGCTTGAGAATCAGGTGCGTATCCAGTACGACTTAGGAATACTGCTTCAATCTTTGGAATACGGTGCGTATCAATTGTACGACTTTCAAATGAGATCCGTTAAAAGTCACGGAGGGACGTCGTATAGACAAGCGTAGTTCGTTTCCTCCCTGGTAAAGGTCATCCTTTGTTGAGATGATCCGTTGTGATGTGCGACTCGGTTTGGGTTAATGGTCCCAAAAGGTCATGCGACTTAAATTCTGCTACGGTGACTCTCTTGGGCGGTAATGATCCCAAAGGTCATCCAACTTCTCTTCAAACTTCCATCAAAGGTCATGGAGGAACTTAGCCAATTTTCTGCGGCCGTCAAGCATTTCTTCGCTTGCCTCCCTGGTAGAACTTGCCGGTTGACCTTTCCGTCGCACATCCCACTTCAATATGCCTCGAGCGGCCAGAGTGCCGGCAGAGTTTACCGTAACATCTCTGATGGGGCCGGCTAACTACCGCATTAAATTTACCCCATGACGCTTCCACATCCGATCTTGGACTCTTGTTCGCCGCCTGTGGCCCAACTTCGGTACGAGAGATCCGGCTTGGTTACCGCTATTTCTCTCGTTAATTTTCAACACTGAATCGCTCGGAGAGATTGCCGGCATAGTTTGCCGTAGCAACTCTAATGAGGCCGGCTGACTGCCGCATCAAGTTTACCCCATCAAAATTTCCACCTGCTGTCTTTCTCTTTTTCGCCGCTTGTGGCCCACTTTCGTATGCAAGAGATCCGGCTTGATTACCGTAGTTTCTCTTGCCAATTTATGACACTGAATCGCGTAAGGAGGAGAGCCGGCTAACTGCCGTAGCAACTCCTTTGGGGCCGGCTTTATAGACCGAATCAATTTCAACCCCAATCGATGCTCCACATGATTTCTTTACCCTTTCTGATTCTGTGCTATAAATGCTGAAAACAACAAATACACGAATACGGTTTATGTGAACAAGTCATAACGCCCTCATATACAACACCATTTTTCATTTGTGTGACGTGCCGACAAAATGCCGTAGACGTCCTTTTTAATAGTGTGATCCTAACGATCAACATTATTCCATTTCATTTGAGTCGCCTTCGCCATCTCTTGGCGGGCGCCTCTTAGCGTTTTCCGGTTGATTACGGTCAGACGTCCGGTCAATTGGTTCCATGGAATCAACTGCCATGACCTTTTCGGGGTCAACTTCTCGCTGACCACGGCCTTTACCTTGGCGACTTCTTTTAACCGCCTCGACTCGATAGCGTGCGTCATTTTCCTCCAACCGGAGTCTCCGGTTGTTAGGGTCATCCGCCAATCTCCGTTGCACGTCGGCGAGGTTATCGCGGAGTTGCTGGTTCCGTAGGCCACGTCGTCCAATCTGGTTAGGAGCGCGTTCTGGGCGCCGATCGCTTTTCTTTACAAGGAACTCGTCGATGTACATTTCAACTCCGTCAAAAGGTTCGACGTAGTCACTTCCCATGGTGTCTTTAATCTTATTAATCCTCTCTTCCACTTGGGAGGCATGGCGTTGTGTAAGATTGCCCTTTTCCATTCGTATCTTGCACTTTTTCAACGCCTTTCTTGCCGTATGGGCTATCCCGACATGTTCCATCGGTTCTCCCAATTTCGCCACGTGAGGTCGGAAGAGCGGTGGGATATCGTCCTTCATAGTATTTGACACCAACTGGTTCTGTGTCTTATAGTGTGCCAATCTCGCAGCGAAGACCTTCTGCCCCATCCTTCTTGCGGCATGGTCTTTAGGATCCAAGTGTAATCCGATCGATGCTCTTGCTGCAAGCAACTTGAAGGCTGGATTCACGTGTCGTAAGACAAACTGAGCCACATATTCTTGTCGTTCGGGATAATCTCTATAATAGAATTGTGTCATCCCGATTGGGTCAGTCGTATCCAGTGGCACGTCCAACAAATTCAAATCCAATAGGCTATGTAATCCGTTTCGTCGGATAGGGAGGTAACAATCCCTTGCTGAGTCGCGGGGAATGTATAATTGACGGAAAATTCCTTGTTCCACTCCCTCTTTAATTTCTTTCGCATAGCCCGAATCGAATAAAAATTGACGCAGCTGATTCAAAATTGTGTGGATCTTATTCGCATCCGCCGAATCGTCTTCAATCCCCATATATCGGCAGATTTCCGTCTTTTGTTCATCGGTGTCGCGCATATCGTATACCATGTCGATTGTGTCGGGGTGTCGGTTATTGAATCGGGAAGTCGTTCGCCGACCGACTTCGCGACGTTCATCCGGTTCGCGCCGACTTTCTTGTTCGCGTCGTCTGCTCTGCGGCGGTTCAATACCCGTCGATGTGGATGGTTGGGGGTCACTGTCAAGGACCACATTTCTTCGGTGTATCACGTTATCTTGGGACGCTTCTGCGGCTGAACCGAGCCCTTCCATCATATCATCTTCTTGCGCCGCAGGCGCTTCTGCGACTGAGCCGGGCCCTTCCATCGTGTCATCTTCCTGTACCGCACTCACGATGGGATTCACTACATGGACTGTCGATTCCATCCGCTGATACTTCGGGGGTGAATCTTCCCGTTCTGCGCTCGATGACCTTTTGCTTGCGCCAGATTCAAAACCCGCATAATACCTGGCTCTTTCCTGCCATCGTTTATCCTGTGGGTCTGGCGTTCGATTTCGCGTGTGTTCGCGCCTTTTATCCCATGACCTTTCGGGTGTTGACATTCTAACATTGCGGTTACGGAATCCAACTTCCAACGGCACCTGATGACCTTTCTTTTCAGGCTCTGTACGGTAAGTCTCCGCACGCCGTTGTTCTTCACGTCCTCTTGTCGCGGCCAAGATCTTTGCCGTATCGATTTTCCGCTGAATACTTGTCTCGGTTATCTCATTTCCATGGCGCACCCATCCTCTTCCGCCACGGTAATCGCGATCACGGGAACGTTCGCGTGACCTTTCGCTGCGGTAATCCCGTGTCCTTTCACGAGAATGTTCACGTGACCTTTCGCTCCGTCTTTCAGAGATTCGCTCGTGTTCCCTTGAATGTCCGCGTGACCTTTCTCTATGCGGAGGGGAACGGGGCCGTGTGAACACGTCATCTCGTCTGAATCCTCTGAGCGCCTGTAGAACATTACTCTCGTTCTGACGGGATTTGCGCAGTCTTCCATACGTTCTTCAACTGCCTTCTTTATGTATGGTGCCGGAGCGAAACCCTTCTGCAGTCTCAACTTTTCTCCCGCAACAGCGCATCAAATAGTTCCTGTTGCATAGCGGCCGGATCACTCGTCAGCGTGTCAATCTGGATGATAAGAGACTGACGTGTAAGTTGCGCTTCTTCTTCGTTGAGGCTGGCTGTCGGTACAGTTGAACTCGAGGGTTTTGGCATCGCCTCTCTTGCGGCCTGTTCGCTCGCCTTTTGATTCGCCGCATTAATCTTTGCCCGGAGTTCGTCCTCCAGCTGTTGCCGCCGCATCTTTTCCTGATCCTCTTCAAATTTCTTCCGGTATGCGTCCGTTTGTGGGCATTTTAACGGCTCCAAGGTCTCGTCCCAGCCACTTTCGTTATTCCGGATCGCTTCCCGATAACGATCCTCGAGTAGCATTCGCTCTTCAACTGGGATACTGCCGTAATTCCTCGCACTAATGAGGTTTCGAAAGACATCCATGTTCCCGCGTTTAGCTTCCATAAGTCCCACGAGTGAGACGATGTGTGGGTCCCCCAACTTGTGAACACATGTGTAGCACGGGAACTTCTTATCAACTTTCCTGTTATTCCTTAAACAGTCCGGACACTTTGGGTTATAGCCCGTAGATCTGTTTATCTCCGATGCGGATCCTGAGCTTTTAGGAGTGGCTTGACCTTTCTGTGCCATTTTCTCCGTTTTGAATCTGCAATCAGAAAACAATCCATCATAGTAACTTTTCCACGTTAATCTTTCCATCTTATCCATTATCAAGGCTTCTCTATCATTTTTACGCCTATTCCGTTACTGAGCTGAGACTTTCCTAGCTCCTGCTGCCCTCTCTATCACTGTAACGTGGTGACCTTTCTCACGTTATCAGTACTTTCTGACTACTGTGACCTTTTCTATTAGTCTTATCAATCGAATTGACTTTTCACTTTCATTTTTCCGTAAAACTTTTCTCATTCGTTTTTAACTGTTTTATGCTTTTTATGTAATATGCAGGGTTCATTACTCGCTGCATATTACACTCGTCCCATTCACTCAGACTCTTTCGCCGGCGGGTTATACGGTTTGAAGTCCACTCGGCCGTCCTTATTAATATGCAGTGCATTCTCCGCGATCAGAGCTTCAACGGCGTTTTTGATCCACTCTTTATCGTTTTCAATGTTCAAATCTCCCAGTTCGTAATGGACGGCCATGAAGTTCGAAAGGTCATTCCAAGACGCTCCATTGGTACCGCCAATGGCGTCCAAAGCCACATCTGTGATGGCTATCTTCCAGGCCTCCAGCTCCATTTTAAGTCTCGGTGTACGATCCGTGCCCTGTTTCGGAAGGTAGTAAATAACTTTGTTGTCCTTGCTATATTTGCATCCCAACTTTCCTTCCTTATACGCCCGTTTAAGGACTCGCTCGCTCATGCTGAGTGACGATCTTCCTTTAGAATTTTCGGCGACTTGTCTTTTCAGTTCCGTCCCAAGCATCTCGTGTTCTCTGGTAATCTGAATCGCCGCCTGGACTTCGTTCCATGTCCGGTTATTAACATCCAACGGTGCTCCTAACGTGTAATCTGTCGGCTCTTTCGTTTTTGTACCGCTATTCTCCGTTTTCTGGGGGGATATTGCCGAGTCCGTTGCTTCTGTTCTCTCCATTTCGTCAATCCTCAATTTCGCCATTGAACCAGATGATGACTGTGCCGATTTCGGTTCATCAGCTTTCTCCTTCTGTGGTAAAGTCTCGTGACCTCCCACTTCATCTGCTGACTTCGGCCGCTCTTTCTCAAAAGCCTCCTTCAATGGTGTGAACAATGATTTCTGGTACACCTGTCGCGCAGATGCAGCTTCTGCTTCTGCCGCTGCCTTGTCCATTGGGAGCATGACCTTTTCTTTCTCCCGTTTTTCTGAAGTCCCATGACCTTTCGGTTGAGTTTCTTCCGTCACAGTTCCAGATGTCTCTTGACCTTTAGGCTTTTCTGTCGCCGGTTCCAAAGGCGTTGGGGCTGATTTGTCATCGTCACTTTCTTCCGATTCAGTATCCATGGGTCCCTTCTTTTCGACACTTTCGGTGCTTGTGCTTTAACCCGAACTGTTTCTTCCTCCGCTGTTAACTGCGCGATCCGATTCAGTATGGGAGTTGTTGGATCTCCACTCGATGGCACCTTATCCATCTCCTGACTCTCGGACATATGACAGTGGACTTGTTTTTCCGGCGGTATCAGGCCTACTCTCGTATATCGAATCGGGTAACCTTTATGTGCGTTTGTTGTAGAGAGGATGTTCTGTTTTATCATCCTGGGCAACACGCGTTCAGTGGCCGTGTCGATTTCCTTTATCAGTCCCTTTCCGTCATTCCACACGGCGTTAATGTATTGGCTGATCCGGTGACTCGTTGACCCCAACGGGCTTGTCATTCCGCGACTGCCCTTTCTACTCGCATTGAGGTGTCTTCATTTGGAGTCGTCAGCGACTTGTCCGAGCTTGACGGTCTGAATAGTTTAGCCTTATACGCGAAATTCGGATGTTTCTGGAGAAGTTTTCCCGCATTCCGAGCGTATTCCAATACCACATCGAATTTCTGTTTGGTAAAACTACGGTGTTTATCCTTCCTCAGGTATTTCTTTAAACCCGTTCTGAATTTGGACGTTACTGATGTGGTTCTTACTCGTGTAAAGTGCTTCTCCGCTCCATTGAACGCATCAATAATTTCGTCAATCGTGGTCATATTATCACTGTCTGGATCTTCGAATTCTGCTTCATCTCCCGAGTAATCGAGTTCACTTTCTCCATCCGGTTCGATGTAATTGGCCATCGCCAATGCATCAATTTTCCTGGCCTCCTTTCCTTTCTTTTTCGGCTTTGTGGGTTCGCTCTTTGCCTTTTTCCCTTTTTCAAGAGCCTCCGCTAGGCTTCCTGGCTCCACGGTTCTTGATCTTGTCGTTTTCGGGTCCGTGTGTGACCTCGTACTAACCGTCGAAGTACTTGGAAGGCTCACTTCCGATGCTTCCGATTCACGAGACGTCTCTCGTTTTGCTTTTTCTCGCGCTCCTTTTTCCCTACGCTCTTTCGGAGTAGATGCCGAGATGACAACTGGAACAATCTGTTTCACAGCTATGACCTTTCCTTTGGATGTTGACGGCTCAGGCTCGGTGACCTTTGACTTTGATGCGCCGATTCGATAACGAATTTCTTTGGGATAATAGGTACGGATGACCTTTCTTCCGCTTCACCGACTGATTCATCCAATATCTCGACATCATGGGACGACGGTTCGTCTTTCTTCTTTCTTTCTCCCTTTTTCTTCCGGGCGCTCGTACTCTCGCTTTCATCACCACTCTTTTTCTTCTTATCTTCTTCTTCCTTCCGTTTCTTTAGGAATTCACCTTTCTTGACCTTCTCACGGTTCATGGCCTCTTCTAGTTTAGCCGCTTTCCTCGGTTTGACGACCACTTTTGGGGGCTGTTTATCTTCCTCGTGCTCCTCGCCCCTGTCGTCGTCTTCGTCGGCCTGTTCCTCTGCCGAATCATCGTTAGCTTCCTCCTCTTCTGATTCTTCCAGTTCCGATGGTCTCCGGGTACTCTCCGTTCCTGCCTTTTCGGCTACAGAGGCCTCTGCCATCTCTCCGGCTCCACCTTCTTGTGCCGGGTCTAGGGCCTGACCTTCCAAGTGCGGTGTTTCTTTCGTTTGTCCCTGTGTGACGATCTCCCATAAGGGGTTTTTCTTTGCGTCATAAAACACCGTCTTGTACGCTCCGTTTTCCATTTTTCTTGTGAGTCGGAAATGAGCTTCGTCTATCTCCGCTCGATGTCGCATCATGCTGATCAGCGTATTCGCTTGAACTAGAGGATCCTGACGTTGGCTTACTGGTATTAAGTTCCACAACTGTTCAAGTGCTTCCCGATTGGCGTGCTCGGCGCTTTCTTCTGACACGTCCCATGGAGCGTATGGAATCGGATCTCCTGTGATCGGATCAACAATTACCGCGGTTATACACTCCGTTGTCCCATCGCCGTAGTGGATTGTCAGCGTCACTTTTCTGCACGTTCCATCGGTATATTTCAGGATCGGCTCGTAATCGTCTAATGTTCGCTTGCTCGGGTCTGGGTCTGCTGTCGGTTTCGGCCGAATTCTCTCTTTCGTCAGCAGTTTCCCGTCCACTGTGTATGTATATGCTAAGTGGTCGTCATTTGTGCCCACCTTAATACGGATCCATGCGTTTTCTTCGACCGCAACTTTGGACACCACGTGCTTCATCATCTGAATGAGGACTCTCGGGTTATGACGTTCCTCCGGGGGAATGAACTGTAATGCCTCATTAACTTCTGTCTTCGCTCTTTCTCCAATTTCAGTTTTGACTGACTTGTCCGCGAGGGGATTGTATGACTCGATCTCCTTATTCGTTCTTTTATCAACGATCCGAGCGGTGACCTTTCGTTCGTTATGGTCAGTTCCAGTGTATTTAACTGTAAAAGTCCGGCACTTTGGAAGTCGAACTGAAGCAGCTTCAGGGTCCGGCGGCGTGGGTGGTGCACTCTTTCTACCCACTGGGATCGGTGGTTTACTCGTCGTGACCTTTTTCGTTCGCCGCTCCTTCTTGTCACTTTCCTTTGGACTTGTCGTCGGTGACCTTACTCTTTTTCCGCTTTTCACGGTCCCGCTAGATGGCTCCGTGACCGAACTAGTACGTCCGCGTATCGACCCTGCAGTAGAGCTGGCTCGTGACCTTTCTGCTCGTTCGGTTAATTCTGTCTCAATTTTTCTCTTTGTTTCAGGAGGACGCTATCCGACATCTCCTCTACGGGTGCTTCGAACTAATGCCTGTGATGGGCCCCGCCACGCTGCTTGTCAGGTGTCCCCTTTCTTTAGGAATCGTCTTAAGGAATATCTGTATCTTCTCGATCATCGGCGGCCATTTCTGTTGGTTAAGGCCGGATGGTACTGTTTCATCGAGGCGATTCTGATCGCCAACTCTTTACGTTTGACTTCGATGACTTTAGTTTTTTCCTTCATCGCGATATGGACTGCTTCAATGATCGCATCCAGGCTCATTAATCTTCCATAGAATGCATGTTCGTCCTCGACTCGCATATGGATTCTATAAAGATCCCGGCACATACGGTTGAAATCCTGGATGGCCGCTGTATCAGCCGCTGTCAATCCTTCTTCGGTGCTCACTATCACGTTTAATCGCGCATCATCGTCTTTCATATCTAGCGGAAGGTGCGGTGAATTATCATGCACCGTTGGTTCACCCGGGGGCGTTGCCCGTAGACCATCTGGTCCGACCTGCTCCAAATTTGGGCCCAGCGACGGCAGTACGCCTCGCAGTCGTGGTGAATCGAACCGGTTTCCTCCTCGCCTCCCTCCTTTTTGTGGCGAGTTCCGATGAGGTCTTTGCGCTCCCAATTGCTGTGGCGTCCTCAAACGCGGTGCTCCAATGTCCGATAGTGACAAACCTCCTGTTTCCGGGAAGGGTGGCAAGATCGGCGACGCCCTTTGTGACTGCACTGGAGTCGCTAACATTCCGCCAAATCCTCCGTGTCCCATAAATCGGCTCGGTGTAGTCTGTTGCGGTGGCGGCATCAACATTCTTGCCGATCCCATCACTTGCGGTGGTCCCATCAGTGGGGTATACGATCCCGGATGCGATTGATAAGGGGCGCTCGTTATTTGTCCCGAATACTGGGTTCCGGCAGATAAGCCGTGGTGCACCCAGTTAACCGTGTCTTGATAATTCGTTGGCTGTCCTGGATCGTTATACACATAATACCCCGGGCCGCCGTAATAACCTCCTATGCCTGGTTCGTTCTGTGCCGTTCCAACTGACGACGTCGACCCTTCACCATATGAGGTGTCATACTCATATTCGCCTTCCATTCTCTTTGGAGTCGATGTCTTTAATGGGTTTCCGATACTTTCCGAATCCGAAATCTCTGAATTCTGTCGTTCCAATCTGTCCATTAACTGAGCTTACCTTCTGTAACAATGAAACAACACTGGTTAGCTTTTTAACGGTGGTGACCTTTTTACACCTTCCCAACTCCTATTTTAAGTGAGGTAAACCCCTTATTCGTATTTATGTGGGTTAATTTTCTCTGCGTCCTTTAGTTATCCGATCAAGGAGTTCTTTGTCGGCCGCATCTTCCACTTCACCTTTCTGGGTCAGCAATTCTGTAGGAGTTAATTTCTTTTCTTCTGTTTAACCTTTCTCTCCTCAATGACTTTCGCTATATCGCGGCCCAATTGTTCAGCTTTTGATTTGACCGCTTCTATCTCCTCCTTTATCTTTTTTATGAGGTCATTCTCATTGCCGGTAGCAGTGCGTGGTTCGAAAAAATTCGAATCGCGCTCTGATATCTCGGCGCCAGTTCGCTGTTTCGAAAGGTCATCTTTGTCTCCGGTAGCGGTGCGTGGTTCGAAAAAAGGATCTTGGTTCGGTTCGAGTTCTTTTTGCGAAGCGCGTTTGGCTACTTCATCTTCAGTTCCTGGTGACCTTTCTGCCAAATTCCCAGCTTCTGCGTTCAACTTGATTGTAACTGCTGTTTCAAAATCCTTATCTTCTTTCCTTTTTCTTCCTCTTTTCTTTATTGGTTTATCTTCGCTTTCACTCTTGTTCATCCGAGCTTCATCCGTTTCGGGTAGGGGAGGTGGTTCGAAAGGAGTCTCTTTTTGGGGCTTAAGCTCTGCGTCTTCATCCGGCAATGGCGGGTGCCATAACTTCAAGCGATCGATCGAGACCACCTTCAAGTCCGCTCCTTTCTTTGGGTTTTGTTCAATAACCTCCGCTTCGTTTGCTCGCGGGAAGCTAATGATCTTCCATACCTTGTCATATTTCGATTTGAAGTCCGATTGGTTCTCTTTCTTTCCTTGTTTCGTATCCTTTGGAAGTCGTATCAACACAAGGTCGCCGACTTTGAAGTTCGGTTCCGATTTCTTCTTGTTATAGATTTCCGCGTTCTTTTCGTACGCATCTTTGATGTTACATCTCGCCACTTCTTCGGCAAAGGTCAAATTCTTCTTCATGGTCTCTACCCATTCGTCTGGAGTTCCATAATCATCGGGTATATTCGTTTTTGTGACCACGTCTTCCGGCATTGTCATTTCTCTGCCGTGCAGCATATAATATGCTGAATATCCGGTCGTGGCGTGTACGACTCTGTTCATCGCCGAAATGACATATGGGAGGTACTTATTGAACTTTCTTTCATTCCCCGCTTTCAAGTATTGCGCCAAGCCATCCGCAATAGTTTGCATCTGTCTTTCAACTTGGCCTTGACCTTCTGGATGATATGCTGTTCCGAATGTGTGTTTGATCTTAAACACATTGGTGACCTTTGCCAATACTTCAGCTGTAAAGTGTCGTCCACGATCCGTATGTAGGATGTGCGGTGCTCCGTGCACCAGTATCACGTGCTTGACAAACACTTTTGCAAACTCTTTCGCCGTTGCTGTCTTCATTGGTACTGCTATCACGTATTTCGTCAGCTGGTCGATGAATACTGCTATATACTTATATCCGCGTTTCTTCGTTGGTAACAACGGTCCTTTCAGATCCGCGTAAACTCGGAAGAACGGATGTCCCACTTTAATCTCTTGCAATTTCCCGGGTGGGCATTTCCTCGGTGTCTTACGAAACTGACATCCTTGACAGGCAGTTATATAATTCTTTACATCGGTACTCATTCGATCCCAATAATATCTCAATCGGATTGCTGTCAATGTCTTCTCGAATCCCAAATGTCCCGCTGCTCTCTCATCGTGCAATGCGTGGATTATCGCTCTTCGCATTGACAACGGTACCACATATGTCCTTTCAAGTTTTCCATTTTTATCCTTTACTCGGTACAGTATGCCATTCCATAACTGGTAATGAACTTCAAATTTCGATCGCGTTTCGGCATCTGGTAGATGTTCCAATTCATCTATTATCATCGCCAGATGGGGATCCTTCAGCTGTTTATTCCGCAACTGCAAGTTCGAGTCATCTTCTTCCTCCTCGTCACCTTGAATGTTAACAATGCGGACTGTTGCCGTACTGAGTTCGTTCCAATCCTTGATGACCTTGCACCGCGGTAACGGTTTGTACCTCTTTTTGTCTGTTTTGGGAATCTCAACAACTTGATCGGACACTCATTCAGCGCTTGTGTCACTTTGTCCTTTTCCCAAAGGTCATTCCGACTTTCCACCGTTTCGTCAAGTCCGGTGACCTTTCCATTTTGATCTCCGAATTCCGCGTTAAGTCCGGTGACCTTTCCATTTTGAGGTTCTGGTTCCACTTCAAGTCAGGTGACCTTTAGGTCACTCACGGTGGGCAACCAACTTTTTACCCGGTTCACTTTTGCTTCCGTTTCAGCCGACTCGTTTGCCGTAGCTGAGGTGACCTTTAATCGTTTTTCTCGTTGTTCCGCCATCTGTAAGAACAACTGACCAATTTCAATTGCTGGTTCTTTTGTGTCAAATTCCTTCTTATAATCCTCGAAGTTCGGGATCTCATCAAATTCCTCTTCCTGACACGTCGGACCTTCGATTGGTGCTCTCGATAACGCATCCGCATTGTCGCAGTATTTTCCCGGTTTATATTCAATTTTGAACTGATGACCTTGTAATGCCATCGCCCATCTCGTCAGGCGCGGGTTCATTCCAACTTTATTCGTTTCCGACCTCAATAGGTTGGTCAGCGCCTGGTGATCCGTTCTTACGGTGAATTCCGCATAATCAATAAACGGCTTGAATTTTCTGACAGCAAACACTACCGCCAGACATTCCCATTCCGTTACGCCGTAATTTCTTTCAGCTCCATGTAACACGCGACTCGCATATGCGATCGGGTGGCCATCTTGAGATAATACCGCTCCGATTACCTCTTTACTCGCGTCACATTCAATAACGGTCGGCTTTGCCGGGTCAAATTTCGCCAATACTGGACCTTCGCATAACAGTTGTTTCAGACTGTTGAATTCCTCTTCGTGCACCTTTGTCCAGTCCTTCTTCACTTGTTTATCTTGTCTCAACAGTTCGTACAAATGGCAAGTCTTTTGTGCATATCCCATTATGAACTTGCGGTAATAGTTCGCCAGTCCCAGGAATGACCTTAATTGTCGTTCAGTTTGAGGTCGTTTGAATTCGGATACTGCGGTGACCTTTTCAGGATCCATTCGAATTCCATCTTCACTAAGGATATGTCCCAGGAATCCCATTTGTCTCATTCCGAATTCGCATTTGGTCGGTTTGATCGTGAATCCCGCTTCGACTAAACTCATTAAGACGTTTCTCAAATTCTGCATGAAGATCGCCCAAGTTTTTCCGGCGAAAATCACGTCGTCAATGTACCCGAAAACGCAACCCTTTCTTTTCGCTTTCGACAGTACTTTATCCATACACAATTGGAATGTTGCTGGTCCATTACAAACTCCAAATGGCATTCTTTTAAATCGATACATTCCGTCTTGCGTTACAAAGGTCGTCTTGTTGATTGACGCTGGATCCATTGGGATCTGCCAGAATCCACTTTGTAAGTCCATTTTTCCATAGTATTTGTTGCCTGCACACGCATCAAGCAACTCGTCCGGATTCGGTAACGGGTAGTTATTCTTCCTCGTCAACTTATTCAGCATAATGTAGTTGACGCAAAATCTTGTTCCCATCGTTCCGTCGCCGTTCTTTTTCACAGCCAGCACGACTGGAAAGCTCCACTCGGCGTCTGACGGTTCGATCACATCTTGTGCCAACATCTCTTCTATATGCTTTGTTAATGAATTCACGGCCTGTCCAACTCGTTCTGGCCGGGTTACATTTGACTGGTTTCGCGTCTCCCGTATCGATAACGTGAGTGACCCTTTCACATCTCCGTACGGTTTCTTTGACGTCGGTAAGACTTTCCAGAATTCCCAGAACGCGTTGTACACGTCGTTCTTTTGTTCCTCAGTTAGGTCAGGTCCTAATTTCAGATTTCCAATTATTTTTGTCAGTTCCGCTTTCGTCGTGTCATCCACCTCTGGGTCTTCGAGCACGTTCTTTACTGTCCCAGCGTTGACCTTTACATTTTCCATATGTTCGTACGGTTCAACGTATCCGAGAAGCTGATTTTTCTTCACGACTCGGTATTTGCTACTGTGATTCGCAATGACGATTTCAAAGTATTTTCCCCTGTGATCCGTCACTCCTGCCAACGGTTGCACTTCAGTTTCCACTTGTGGGACCGGTGTAAACATCAACTTGCTCTGAGCCGGTGCATATTTTCCCATCTTGACCTTTACCCGTGTGCAGTTTGACGGTTTCAATTTGATTCTTTGATCACTGTAGACTTTGATCACATCCTTCGACATTCTAGCCTTTTCCACTTTCAATCTTCTGACTTTAATATCCTTTTCTTTTTCTTCATCCACCTCGTCGTCTTCATCCAAATCTAGTAAGTCCTCTTGTTCTGAAAGGTCACTTACACCCGAATCTTCTGAAGTCGTTGAGTTATCGCTTGAACTCGTCCATTCCGAGTCAGAATCGCTGCTCTCATATTCTTGTGCAGCGGCTTGACCTTTGTCAGCCTTTTCAAGTGGACGCTCATCAACTCCTTCATCGTCTGATGAAAGGTCACTTTCATTTTCTCGTGAATCACTAAGTTTTTTCGTTTTTAAATTTTTGAGCAGAGGTTTGTCCGTTTCCTTTGCTTTTCTTCCATTTCGTGCAGCGACTCTTGGGTGACTCCTTGCTACCCGGATTCTCGTTGATGACCTTTCCGACTGATCAGAGTTTGACCTTTCTTCTGCCTGCTTTGACCTTTCCAAATCGTCAATCTTTTTAAGGCTCATTAATGGCTTTTCGGTCGACTCGACCGGCGGGCATTCCTCACCGTTATCGAGTGACCTTTCCCCGTTTTTTGCTTCTGTTACTGGGTTTTGCTGTTCATTCGATATCCTTTCAACTTCCTCTTTGAACTTCTTCCACATTTCTCCTCTGTCCGTTAACATCTGTGCAATGTCGAAGGCTGATTTTGGACTTTCTTCCGTCTCTTTCGATCCTCCTTCAGCTGTCTCTTTAGCTGTTTCTTCCTTCTCCGCTTCTTTCATAGTCTCTTTATCAACTTCATCCTGTCGGACCGTCTCGTAACCTTTAGGCCGTTTGGGACCGACAAAGACACAATTTGCCATCAGCTCTTCAGTGACCCAGTCATCACTCGGAATCGTTTCGTACATGTACCAAGTATCACCACCTCGTTCTGGGTAGTCGACTCCATCTGGATCTGGTGCAAAGGTCACCTTTTTCTTCTCCATTAATCCCGGTAACCTTCTTTTCCGGGTTACTTGCAATTCGCGCATCTCCTTTGCGTCGAATATTGGGATCTCCGTTTCGAATTTCCTCCAGTATTTGTCGAATATCTGCCAGTTATCATCTTTGAGTGCTTTACAGAATACCACCACCGATTCATAAACCGGTGTACCGAGTCCTGTTGGGAATATGACTGTTCTCCCTTGACCTTTGTACATATGATTTATGCGAAAGTCCCAGAACAGTTCTATTCTCGCTTCTTCCCATAGCTGTACTTCTTCGTTCATTACGTCAATCTCTCTTTCGAGTTTCCGTTCCGTTTTTACCGGGTCAAAGGGATCTTGGATTCCGTTATCCGCACGTTGCTGCCAATGGTTTAGCCATTTTCCTCTCCCCGTAATGAAATTTTTCACACATGACAACCAAGTCCGGTATCTGTTCCAATGGTACCGTTCAATGTGTGGTTTCCACATTTCATTTGTCCGCATGATGCTTTTCACTTCTTTTTGGACTTGACCTTTAAGATCTGCTATTGCAGCGTTACATCTCGGCCATTCTGAAAGGTCATCTTGGGAGGCATCTTGGCAACATTCAGTGCATTCCCATTGTGGTTGCACTCTACACGGGTCCTCGTAGTAACCGTGTCCGCAGCTCCCCCTTCGTTCTTCTGGAGTTAATATCCTCCGATTCGTTTGCGGTTTGATGATCTCCTTCTCCTGTGTTGTGGCTTTCTGCTCACATTCGATTTCTGTTATACTCGCTTCGTCGGAGGATATTTCAATAATCTCTGTTTCATTGTTCAGTTGGTGACCTTTCAACTGTTCAAGCGCTTTGTTGCGGATTTCGCTCGCGAACATCTGTTCTTCTTCGGCTATTCGTTTCAATATCCGCAACCTTTCACTCTTTTTATCCTTCCCGACTTTGGCCGTCTTTATTCCCAGTGCCTCTGGTACTGGGATAGGCTTTGCCCACTCCATGCCAGGCACAAGCGATTGTTTCGCTGCAGCTGTCGCTTCTTTCTGTGTGGCAGCTATCTCTTCAAGTGTTGGTGACCTTTCGTCATTTCCGGTAGCAGATCGAGGTTCGAAAAGATTCGGGGTACGCTCTGGTACTCTCTGCAAACCTTTTACTTCGGTTTCATTTTCGGTAGCAGGTCGTGGTTCGAAAAAGGTCTTGCTGACGTTTTCGGATCCAGCTCTGGCACAAGTTCAACTGGTGACCTTTCATCTTTCGTTCCCAGTGCCTCTGGTACTGGGATAACTTTGTCAACACATTCTTTTTCTGTGGCTCCTTGCTTGCAGTTGTCTGCGATCATACTTCTCCCGTCCGGGAGAAATATGATCGCCTCATCCGTGTCTGGCGCAAGCGGTTCCTTTTTCCTCTCGTTCGCTTTTTTAACATTTCCACTTTCACTTTTCTTCTCCGGTGCCTCTGGTACCGGGATTATTCGTTGGGTAATTTCGTTCTGCTGCATTCTCGTCATTCCCGGTGCCTCTGGTACTGGGATGACCTTTTCTCTTCCCTTTTGTGTCAGTATTGTCCGGTTTAATGTATTTTCAATTTCCTGCTGGATCACTTTCAGCTGTTCAAATGTTGACAATTCTTTTTGCACCGTCTTTTTCTGCTCGATTCCCGGTGCCTCTGGTACTGGGATTAGCGTTTTATTAGCCGTTTGAGCATTTCCCGTCTGTTTTACAAGTTCGGTGACCTTTCCGACTTGAACTTTGGCGACTGGTTTCGGGTCATCTTCTTTCTCTTCTTCACCTTCGTTATCCATCAGTACAAACTTCTTCTCCAAGAAGTCAAATCCCAATAACACCTGGACGTCATCACATTTCGGTCGGACGTAGAATGAATGTTCGCTAGTCTTTTTCCTTAAGGTCACTGGTGCTACGCAGTAGTGCGTCACCAGGAATCCTGACGTTCCGCTAATTCCGTTTATCTTCACCAGTCTGTCTGGTGGCAATGGGAGCATATGAAGTCCATTCTTTTCGCAAAACGGTTTGCTGATCAGCGACGTCTCAGCGCCGGTGTCCAACATTGCGTTGACCTTTATGTCTCCCACTTTCACTTCATGAGTGTACGCTTCAATTCTTTTGGGTAATTTTCCGTTTTGAATCTTCAATGTGTGTATCTTGCATTTCACAGGGATTAGAGATACCGGTCCCGGATCCATGTCGGGAAGCACTTGTCCTTTCGCTGGAGTACTATGACCTTTCAGTATCTCCCTCAACTTGTCAATCCTGTGTGGCACGTCAGTTCGAACATCGTAGAATTTCTGCGGTTTTTTCTTGTCTGCTTGCTTCTCTGCAGCCATTTTACCGCTGGTGACCTTTTCAACATTCTGCACTTGCGGATTTGCTTTTGTGCTATCCCCGTGACCTTTAGTCACTTCATTTATCGTCTCGTGGATCAGTTCCTCTTTGCGGTTTTCATTTCGTTTATCCCGCAGCTTCTCAATGACTTCACTTGTTATTTGGTCAGCTTGCTTCAATTCGTCTGCTTCGCTGTCTTTCATCTCATTTGGTGACCTTTCATATGTTACCATATCATATCCCTTTTCGGTCATCCATTCAATCACCTTTGCAGACACTTCATTGTTCGTTTTCGTCGGGTCGATTTGCGAAGACATCCCGTCTGTTCGGGCTGGTGACTTGTCATTGGCATCCTTTTGTAGTGCTTGTGAGAAGTCCCGTGACCTTTCGACAGCGCTAGTCTGTTGCATTTGCGCCATCTCATTTGACCCTCCTTCCTGTTCATTTTGCGCTAAGTCCTGTGACCTTTCATTGCGCTTTATGACAAATCCGCCGTTTGACAGCTTTTGTATGGGAACTTTTTCTCCATAATTCGACGGTTTATCTTTCGGTGGTGCGTTTCGCGGGTTATTCAGGTCAGCTTGTGCATTCTTGTATTCAGTTGCGTTGAATACTGGAGCAAGGTTCGGTGACCTTTTAACTTCTTTCCCGGTAACCAATTCTTCCAGTCGTTTTCTCTCATGTTGCGTTCGCAGTTCTCGCATGTCCCAGTAATCTTCTTGTGACATTCCACTTTTGTTTCGCTTTCGGTGTCACGGGTATCCACATCCCGTGATTCCCATTCGGTCTGTAGGCCACTTTTGCCATATTTCCTTCCGTTGCAGCGTTACTGCATCCACAAGTGAGTCATCGGAGTTCTGCTGTGCCTGTTCGCTATTCTTTGCTGCGCTGTTCGCAGTGTCAAGTCTGTTTCTTGACCTTTTAACACGACGCTGTCGCCGTGACCTTTAGCGTTCGCACTTGCTCCTTTACTTTTCACTTGGACTTTTCCTACGGAAGGTGACCTTTCATCTCTTCTGTTAGCAGTGACATTCTGCTCCATCCATTTTTGCCTCATCAACTTCTCATCTTCGTCCTCCGAGCAATTCCAGAACTTTGGCTTTGCATCTCCGTAACAGTCACAACATGACTCATTCGCTTTGTCGTTTTCTGCCAAGTATTTCCGGAATTTCGCATGTTGCTCATTTTCCTCTTGTGTCGTGCCATTCTGTGGTTTCTTCTGGTTCAACAACGCCTGTTGAATCTTCGCATTGCGTAATGCACGGCGTTCAGCTAACACCTTTTCGCTGCAATACGGTGACCTTTCATTTTGCTGCGCTGTTCGCAGTGTCGCGCTACCGTCACGACAATTTCCACTCGCAGTACCATTCTGCGGTGACCTTTGGTCTCGTTGCACATATCCACTCGCAGTACCGTTCTGCGGTGACCTTTTATCCGCTTGTACTGGTTTCCCGATAACCAGTTCTTTTTGCTGCTGTGACGGCATCCTTATAGCCGTTTCCTGTGGTTGCGGCATCCATATAGCCGGTCCATTTTCTTTTCGCGCTGACGGCATCCTTATAGCCGTTGCAGTGGTCACATTCACTGCAGTACCATTCTGCAGTGGTGACCTTTCCATTCCCTTTTTATCCGGTGGTTTAGGGTCGGGGCGATCAGTAGGCTCACCGGTGCCTACTGATCTTGCCCGTTTCCCTGAACCGGCGCACCACTTTGTTGCGCGCCCTGCACGTTTCCTTGCACGTTTCCTTGTCCGCCGTTATTTACCGGGACATAATTTTGTCCGCCTCCGTTATTCTGGCCACCACCATTATTTTGGCCACCACCCTGTTGGTAGTTTCCTTGGCCACCTCCGTTTCCGCCGTTTCGGTTGCCGCCATTCCAATTGCCGCGGCCGAAGCCCCTATTCTTTCCTTTGAAGCCGCCTCGGAAGCCGCCACGGTTGCCGCCGCCTTGGCCACCATTTCCGTTTCCATAATTTCCGTTTCCTTGCTGAAAGTTCGCTTTCGCCTGATACCATTGAGCTATCAGGTCATATCCGTTTGCTACCGCCTGGCGCCAGCCGCCCGAATTGCGCAGCCGTTGCCATTCTCTAAAGGCGAACAAGTTCGGGTTCTGATCCGGTGGCGTATTCGCGAACTTGCATCCCTGGGTCTGGTGGTTGCCATACATGCAGTATTGGCACATCTGCACACCATTTGCAACCCATCCGTCAATCATTTGAAACTTGAATTCCGTTCGTGACCCCTGATTCTGCTGGAAGTTATTCTGATTTCCTCTATTTGGCTGGAAGTTGCCTTGACCTTGACCTTGATTCTGGAAGTTCCCTTGACCTCCATTCCAATTTCCATTACCATATCCGTTTCCACCGAAATTTCCATTGCCCACTCCTTGTTGTGGTAATCCTGCATTCATAAGGGCCACATTCTGTGGTGCCGGTGGAGCCACATTCTGAGGTACCGGTCTCACTTGAGCCGCCGCCTGTATCGCAGCTACCATTGCGTATGTAAGTGGCTGTCCCGTCTGGCTATCGATAAAGGTCACCTCCTTTGTGACCTCTTGCACCGGGGCTTCTCTGCGGTATTCAACCGCCTGTTGAACCGGTGCTGCCGCAATCCTTTGTTGTGGCACATTCTCAACTTGTCCTGTGCGAATTGTGACATAGTCCTGGTTGCGTTGACCTTTCGGTGCTTTGTACTTTTCTTCTCCAGCTGACCAATGTCGGAAGAAATCTTTGATTTCGGTTGGCGTTCTACACTGCTGTGTGCGCAGTGCCTTATAAAGGTCACTGTCCGCTCTGCATCCTTCGATAAGGAAGCCGACTGCTTGCTTCTCAGTAATGATCCTTTTCGCCTTGTATTTCATGATCGCTTGATAAAACTGGTCAAGCGATTCTTTTCCAAGGTCGAATTTCCTTGCCATGGCTTCTCGTAAGCCGAGGACTTCTTCATCACGGTCACCATATTCGTCTTTAAATTTAGTCATCCATTCTGTCACCGTATATTCGGTCTCTTCCTGGAGTGCGATTTCTCTCTCTCCTTCGAACCAGGTTTTTGCCGGTCCCTTCACCGCGCTAGCTATTTCGATTAAAATTTGATCATCCGTAAGTCGGTAGGTTCGCTGTGTATCTCGGACCAATTGTGTCCAGCCATTTACCGCATCGCGACTTCCGTCAAAGGTCACTAATGTCGTTTTCCTAGCCATCGAATTTAGCGCCTTTGTCAATTGCGCCGCTGTCGATTCCGCTGTCGGGTCATCCTCCTCTTCGCTATTTTCATCGTCATTTTGTTTTGGTTTCGCCTTTCCGTAACGGGACTTCCGAGAGCGTTCTTGTCGGCTGGAGGGTCTGTCCTTGAGCCTTTCGTCATTATACACATTCGTTTCAATATGCGGGGGAAATTGGGAGGGATCGCCATGACTCGTGTGCGGATAGCCTCCTGATGGTGGCTCTTTGTCATCTTTGACCTTTTCACCATCCTTTTCGTCTTTGACGTTTCCTCTGCCGGTACCAGTTCGCAGCGGCATCTCAAAGTGGAAGCTTTTGCCCGTGCCCGTTTCATGTGCTTTACTGTAACTGGGCGGGGGTGATTCCACTATTGCGGTTCGAACTCCATATTGCAGGAGCTGTTCGTCTTTATGTTTGTTGGACATATTAAGCGTCTTATTTTCGTCTTCGAGGCGTCTGATTTTTAACTGAGATTCCTCCTTCTCGGTCTTCAAGTTCTGATTCTCCTCCTTGACCTTCAACATATGCTGGTGGAGTTGGAACGTTTTCTCCTGGATGACCTTTTCAGTGTCATTCTCCACCTTTTTTATGTGTTCCACCAACTGGGTCACATCTCTTTCCAGTTTCGTATATTCCTCGGCTGCTGCCTTCAGCTGATTCTTCGTTTGGGTGAGCTCATCCTCCCCTGTCATTACCGTTTGGGTCATATCTATCAACTCCGTGTTGAGTTTGATGATTTCCTGTGTCTTCTGGTGAGCCGCTTGTTGCCACTCTTTGTCTTTCAATTCGAGCGCGGTGACCTTTACATCTAGGAGGTGTGCCTCGTGCTCCCATCTCAGACCTTTTTCGGCGATTGTCTTAGCGACTTCTTTCAATTCAATGTTCTCTGCGGTGACCTTTTTGTTATCTTCCTTCAACATCTGGTTCTCGTCCATCACCTGTTTAATTTCGTTGCTCAACCGTGCGCCTTCGGTAGCTGTGAGGTCTCTCAGATCTTTAGCCGCTTGGACGGCTTCATCAGCTCTTCTCTGATGACCTTTCGATTCTCGTTGGAGTATTCCGATATTCTCGTCCCGTTGCTTCAGATCGTTTCTGAGCTTGAACACTTCAGTAGTGTTTGTTAACAGTCGCTGGGTAGCTTCGGCGAGTTTGGTCGCATAGTCGTCCCTCTTTGCTTCAGCTTCGGTAACCTTTTGTTTCAATGCGTCGCATTCGTCCTTCAGTTCGGCTAAGTGTTGTGACCTTTCCGCTGATTCTTCTGACATACTTTCGTTAAGGTCACTGACTGCAAGATGACCTTCCATTTCTCTGTCATCGACCATTTTCAAGTATTCTTCCGCGAGTTCTCTTTGGCGTTCATACTTAATCTTCCATTCGTCCGCCGTGCTCTCCAGGTCAACCTGTTGTTGTTCCAATACGTATATTCGGGCTTCCAGCGACGACAGTTTTTCCCGATTTTCTTTTGTTCGTTTCGTTGCCTGACTTTCCTTGGCTTCGAGTTCGCTTTCCAACTCCCTCACACGAGTCCTCAAAGTCGTTGTGGGACTATTCGGTGATGGTGGTCGTACATTAATGACCTTTCCTGTTTTTGTCCGTTCAATGAGGTGCTCGGGTATTTCCTTGAAGGGTGTCATCCCTTCAGCACGGTCGGCTTCTCTTATCGCGGTTTGGAAGGACATATTCATCGTCGTTTCATCATCCGTGAAATACGATTCATTTGACTCGTCTGAGACCATTGGAGTTGCCCAAAGGTCATCGGCTGAAGTCCTGTCGTTCAGTGAAAGGTCATCCAGTCCCAGTTCGGCAAGTTCCTCTTCGGTGACCTTTGTCTTTTCCGTTTCCGATCGAGTCAGGTTCACATTTTTATCCTGCTCGTCAGTTCCGACAGTGGTAGCATCCAGTTGTGATGCCCCGACTGCTTCCTCTTCCTTCTCTGTGGTTCTGTCCTCCCCAGTGACCTTTTTCTGGTTCATCGGTTTTCCTCCCGCCACAGACGCGGGGGTTTGCTTTCCGTCTCCGCTGGAGCTCTCTTCGTTCTGTGTAGCTCCCAGCGCCACTTGGTATGTGCTATCGCTGCCTTTGCTGTCCTTTCTTGCAAAGGTCACAGCCGCTCGGGTCTGTCTGTCGTGGCCGACTGGACGTGCGAGCGACTTGTATTCCTTTTTATAAGGATCAGCTGCACCTTGCTGTGATCCTCGGGAGCTCCTGCTTCCCTGGCTGTTATTTGATGTCGGTTCGTCGTTGTCTTTGTCCATGTTGATCGGATAACTTGGACGCTCCTGCCAATTGTTCTCACACACGCGTTATTGTATGGTTTATTCAGTTGTCCTAAAGGTCACTTTGTACTTTCGAAATTTTTCTAAGTCCTTGCTAAAGGTCACTTTTCGATTGAAAAATTTCGGTTAAGTTCCGTTTAAAGGTCACTTTTTCAATAAAAAGTTCGAGAGATTTGCCCTAAAGGTCACTTTTCAGACAAAACTTCGAGAGCCTTTTTACAGTTCAGAACACTTTTACGAATAAAATTCTACAGCTGCTGATATCGCTGTACTACTAACTGACTCAATTTCAACTTCGTTAAAAGGTCACTTTTTGGTTCAACTTAATCAGTTCCAACTTTTTGGTAAAGGTCACTTCCAAACTCAACTCAGCTCAAAGGTCACTTCCCAGCTCGATTTTAGTTAAAGGTCACTTTCCAGCTCAATTTAAGTCAAAGGTCACTTTCCAGCTCAATTTTGGTTAAAGGTCACTTTCCAGCTCAATTCAGGTTAAAGTTCACTTTCCAACTCAATTTTAGTTAAAGGTCACTTTCCAGCTCAATTTTGGTTAAAGGTCACTTTCCAGCTCAATTCAGGTTAAAGGTCACTCTCCCTTTCAAATATCTCGTCTCAATTCAAATTTCCCTTTTACAGTTCGAGTTCAACGGAAAATCCCCATTCGGGTTGTTTACTTCGTTCTGATTGGTCCGCTAGCTCGATTTACTCAGTTCAAATTTCAACCAATCACAGCTCAGATAACTGACCAATCACGTTAGTCCGCTTAAATTTTATATCAGCCTGACGTCACGGTCAACGGCCAGACTTGCGCACCGTGTGCAAAATCCCGCCTACGTCTACGCTCAGCTCAGTATCGGCCAATAGAAATTGCAACTTTTACCGTCTAACCAATGCCGTAATTAATAACGGTTTTCTACCTGTTGACCGTCCGTTCCACGGGGGAAGTGATCCAGATGATCCGATTTCTTCTCCAAAATCCGCTCCCGCGTTGCCGCTTTTCCGTAGCGGTTGTGCCGCACGCTTTTAATCTGCTACTGTGCCGGCTGACTGCCGTAGCAACAGTAGTAGTGCTCTACTCCAGTTTGGAGGAGTCTGATCTGGTCTTTTCCGTGCGCCCCTTTTGGCGCTTCGCCGCTTGTGGCCCACGGCTTAGGATTCGCTGAATCCTTGCCGAGTATCAGTGACACCAGTGTAGGTCTTCGCTGAAGACTCTACACCGAGGAACACTGACGACTGAAACTCTTGCACTCTTGCACAGCTAAGGAAACAGCACGGTTCTTCGCTGAAGATACCGTACCGAAAACCGAAGCTGGAAATCCGCGTCCGATGGGGGAAATTGCACCGCTTGTGGTGTGCGCTTTGCTGTCACACAGACCTGCGCCTTGCTGGTCGCGGGTAACACGTCAAATAACAGGCCAACTTTGCCTGACACCAGTCAAATCAGATCAGATCAATTCAAATCAGAGAACCGCTGTCGGCTCTGCTACCATCTAATGCTGGATCCGACTGTGATCCAGATACGGAGACCTAAACGGAATAGATCCCGTGGAGTGAGCTATGCGATCAGTATAGCGAACTACGCGGAATCGCGAAACGTCGCACCGCTAATAGCTGACTTTTAATAATATTGAAAGTCTGGAGACCAGAAATCAACAAGTGATCGGCGCAGCTCGATCACAAATCGTAGAGCCAATTCAACAGTGTGTAACACTGTGCAGCACGTGCTAAGCCGCGCCCACTAATAAAGCGCAAGCCAATCAGAAGCGAGACACAACACAGACCGTAATCCAAAGGCGTAGCGCCTAGCGCCACGGACGTGAACGCTAGTGAGCCTCGTCTCACACGGCCTTAAAGACCGGCAGCCGCTTTTCGAGCTACGCGTATAGTACAGGTGCTCAAAACATGTTATTACAGTATTATTGGATGCCTAAAAACTACAAAATCGTTATGCAACTATTGTTCGATGTTTGACTGATTAAAGGTTTACAGGTCAAGTGGTTTCTCGTTTTTATGATATGCGTTGCATAAGAAAGACAGGAATCACTGCAATTAAGAAACTTTCCGATGTCGTGTTACAGTTTACAGTGGTATCGGCTGATCTGAGAAACTCTATTTTCGATAAACTCGATCGCGTTCAACTGAAAATACGTTAACCTGAATACAACTATGCGATATTGTGCATACATACATGTCATGTACGCGTATAATGCATACATGTCAGCCGAAAATGCCAAAAAAGGCGGCGTCTTGAAGCCTATGACTCTTTAAATTCTGACATGAAGGAACTAACTTTATTGCAAAATTATGACGAATTACTAGCCGATTCAGTCTATAAAAAGCGACAAGGCCATAATTTTTCTAATGGACACGACACATTCGATTCTGAACATCCTCCTCCCACTCTTCACTGCCCACACACATTCTGCACACAAAAATTCCATTAGGATCGACCGCCTTTTTAATCCTACGCAGTCTGTCATAGTTAACTCCCCATGACGCATTCTGCCAATTAGGCTCCTCCAATGCTATTTCGTTAGAATACACTCCCGTATCCGGGTAGGCATCGCGCCACACCTGGAATCCCCGATTCAGCGCCGCCATCTTATCTGTGATAACTGCTTGCGGTGTCCTCCCATCCCAGCCGGTAAACATCAGCGTGATCCACGTTGCCCGTCGCCAGGCTGGGGTAAGGGAGGTCTCCAAAGAGTCTGGATCGAAAGTACGCACGACGTTACTGGTCACCACCATGATCGCCAGTCCGTTGGCGACACCATTCTGTTTGACACCCGCCATGATGGCGGCTGTTAACTTTTGGGGATCCGCCAAAGCTGATCGTGGGACGAAGCGAGATCCCAATGTCACACGGAATCCAGAGTAAAACATGTCGAAGACGCCGATCGTATCTGTCCAAATCCGCCATTCCTTAAAAAAAGAGTAAAAAATAAATACGATGAATATACTCAACCATATATGGAATATACTACGTATACTTCGTATTCCATATGCTCAACCATATACTCAACGCTTTGCAACCAGAAATTGCTAACGTTTTGATTTGCGTCATAGACTCATAGCGTAAAAAATATACATTCGGAAACCTACTTCGAAGGAATTAAAATGTTGTAAATAATTCTCGCCAGCTGTCGGACTTGGTCCCACGGCAATCCCCACTCTGGACTGCACCGCAACCAATCCCTCCTTGAAATCTATCATAGCGTCCAACGCATCCAGACGATCCGCCGGTCTCAAGAACATGAGACTAATTCCAAACTGTGGTAGGTAATTTAAATACCCGCCCCACCCAGCCGCTTCCAGTGCTGTAGTATATTCCGCGAGGACTCCCACAACCTGTCCTACTTGCTCCGTTTCCAGCTTACCGGTTAGGTTTGCGTGGAGCACCAGCATCGTGTACGCAAAGAGTCCCTTAGGAATGTAGTGCAGTTTGTAGGTGATGGAGGTGACAATTCCGAAAGTCCCGCCCCCACCGCCGCGCATCGCCCAGAGGAGGTCTTTATTCTGGCAAGCGTTGGCGGTCAGAAGTTCGCCGTTTGCCGTTAGCATTGTCACTTGTAGGACGTTGTCCGCTGCTAAGCCGAATGCCGGGGAAAGTGGACTGTGCCCGCCGCCAAAAGTGAAACCACCCGCTGCGCTAATGTCGTAGCAGTACCCACCAATCATTGCGTAGGCTCCGTTAAAGTCCTCCTCTAGCTGTACGTACATGAAATCTTTAAATACTCATACGACTACGAGTGTTAAGTAACTTAATATGAATAAGACTATTTAATTTGCTGAGGGGTTTATGTAATTCAGCTTGACTTTAAAAGAAGGATTACTGTACTTTTGGGTAGACATCGTTCCATGTTTTTCCAGCCGGCACCGTAATAACTGGACTATTAAACCGATGGCTGCTATCACAGCAGGTTGGCATAAAGGTTAAATTCGTTTGTACGTTTCCTTGAAAATTCCGCATCCAAATCATTAATGTTCCGTATCCGGTGCTCCGTCCCAGGTAATCATGACCCGTACTCTTCACTACAACGCGAATATTGTGCTGTTCCGCAAAGACCAGCGCTTTCTGGATATCGGCAACCGTGTGGACATCCACAGCGTAATACGGTGTACGACCCATCGAACACGTTGTATTCCATACACTGACGCCTTCCAGTGAACACCGCATCCCTCCCATGTCTTCCCAGTTGAACAACTGCATACTACCCGGTCTGTTGACCAAATAGCCTGGTTTGTTATAGTTCTTCTGTATTTCCGCACATTCACGTGGATTTCTGGTTTTACCCGCATAACATGGAAAGGCTAAATTCATAATAACATTAAATTTCAAACAAATACTGTAATAAAGCTGTGTTTGTAAGCAACGTATTTCAACAATACCAGTGGGCTTTGGGAAGATAAGCCGGCCGCCGATGGTTTCATTGAATGCTGCCTCTTGCTCTTTGGTGGGCCAGCATGGTTCACCCGGGAGACAACGACATCTGGCTGTGTCCGCTACTACAGTGATGGATAATGAAATCTACAAAAATTAGGAAGGATGGTGATCTAAGATTTTTACTGCGAGGTAAAATAATTTTACCAATAGAGCCAAGGCGCTGTGTGTAAATTTATTGTAATCCATGTATTGTAAGTTTTAATGTATTTCTATTGAAAAGGGTAAATTGCATTAACAATTGTTCCTATTTTAAAAATGCCGAAATCGCAAATGGTTTTCACAATGTTTATTCGAAAGTTTAAAAGCGGGACTTTGGTAACATCAGCTGAATTTTATCAGACAGCTTTGATCTCACAGTTGGTCGTTTTGGTTTGAAATGGCTCAAGATCAAAATATTATGATTAAGGAAAGAGATTTCTAAAGAGATATTGCCCCTAGCTCAATGGTGATATACGCTCAAGCTTGAACCAGACGTATTAGTTTATAACGATAACGCAGGGTTTCGTTTAGAGAAAACAACAACAATTAAGTAGAGTATTGTTTACAATAAAACAATTCCTTCGGTCTGCAGGGCCTTAGTTAACTCCCACTTTGGAGGTGCTTTTCGCTTTCTTTTTTGGTGCATGCGCAACAAGAGTTTACCGGCTTTCTTGTCTAAATATCGGTAATCTAATATTTATCTTTATGAAAGTCACCGATGATCTACGTATGTAGATATCGTAATAACAAGTCATGTATATGCAGCACTGTGGTATACCACACTGATGCATAAATATGACTTGCCATTAAAATTTACGTGTAATGTAACCAGTAAAGGATTATTTATTATGTTCGGTAAATTTCGCCGCTGCCCTATACAATGACGATATAATTCAGCAACGAAAACGAAAGCCGCGATACCGCTGTAACAAGGGCGCAGAACAGCGCAACAATTTTTACGTTAAAGGCCATAATTTCCGGTCGTTGTGCGCATTAAATGCGTACAGCATTGTGTCTAGACGCGTGATTCACGCATCAAATACGCACATTCTAATGCAAGATAAATGGTGGCTTGCTGCAGGGCACGAAAATGCAGACAAGCAGGCAATTTACCGAAACAGGCAGAATGTGACAACGGAGAAGTAAATCAGTTATCTTCGCAACTGGAAATTGTGTGCGCAACACACTGCTATCTATTGCATATGCACTCCGTCATTTGAATATCGTTTTAGCTACACTGATACAATTTTTTTCTAAATATACAAATTGAAATGGCCTCTTTTCCCCTGTGGATGATAACGAAAATCGGCGGAGCGGTTAAAGACAAAGTTATCAAAGCAGCTGTAGACAGCCTAAACGAAACTCTGGAGAAGCACGATCCTGATTCCACGGCGGCTCGACAGGTAGCCATATGGTATCTCTTGACATATGACGAAAAAGAGGAATTACGGAGAATCGAGCAACGGCTGGAAGAAGCCATTCAGGCAGCAGAAAACTCCATCAACAGTGAGAATGCCAAGTACCATGCACGTTGTGCGTACCAGTCCGTTGATCATCGTTTGCATCTATTGTGGGAGGCATTACGGAAATTCAATACAGCCGACAAAGTTACTCGGCCAGGAAGACAAGAGAAATTCCTTCAACTGTATAAAGAAAACGATCCCGAGCAGCTGCTCAGCATCCTGTGCCGGGACCTCACGGAAACCGGGGTCAATCAACCGCTGCTAACTACGGTCTTAAAAGTTTATGCTTTTTCCAGTTTTGAGAAATGGTGCGAAATCGTACGGTTTGATGTGATGAAGATGTGCATTTGTATGAGCACCTACCTGACGATTATGACTGCAGCTGCCGACGAAGATCCTGGAATCATTCGGATTATTAAAAAGACATGGAGGATGCGGCACGGAAAGTGGAACAGATTTCCGTGTCACTGGAAGAAGCCAAATTCACGGCTAGTTGCAAATTCTTTCAGGGCGATAACTCAGAGTTGATGAGAGCCATCGACGCGCATTTCGTCAATGTCTGCGAAAATGAAACGAACAGTCAAAGATGCGCTGACCAGTTGGGCGAACCGCTGAGCGAGAAGTATCCATGCAGGATGGAGTGGGCTGTGATTGTATATACCAATCGTCCCGGAAGAATGAGCAACATTTCCATACAGTGCTCTGGTTTAGCGGAGCATATATTCCTGGCGGAATCCGCGCACTTCAAGATCTTTTCCACGCCCGACGCGATGCATGCACCGCAACACCGGGTGGTCTCAGCGGGAAACTACTGCGGATTAATCATCTGCCGACGTCAATATCGGTATTCCGTGTCATTTCGCCGACAGCATCTCTTGGCCGTCTTTTGGAGAAGGCGGCACTATAACCGCTTTCCATTTCATCCAGGACTTGACCAGAAGTGGATACGTCTGGTAGTGGAAAACAAGTTCCCACCCATCGAGGGACTGCGGATTACCGGTGAACTGCTGCGAAATGTCCGCCCGGGAGTGCAGCTATGCAGTGATGGCCATTACCAGACTGTGGAATACCCGGCGGCGTACACGCAGCACCATCCCACGTTGAAACTGCAGATTGATGGGGAACCGTGGTGGGAGCAGCTGGGAATCTACCCCCTGTATTCGTGGTCCGCTCCCGGCTCGCTTGTGCTACACCACCACACCCATACTTTAACGCTTAGTGCTAGCGGTGGAACTGGGCGCACTGTGTAGCTGGGATTAACGATGCCCGGCGACAATTTACGTAAGTTACCTATCTGTACAGGATAATAAACTGTTAGTTCCGGCACTATTTATTTTCTTGTGAACACTATCTGCGGTACAGTTTGTGCGGACAGTAAAAATTACACATTGAATGGATTCGCTATGTTCAGTCATATGACATGATTGTATAGAGAACACTCGAAATGCTTAGCTCTTCGAGAGATTTTCTAGCTGTTTAAGGTAGAAAATGATGTGCATACTCATAAAATTACTGAACTGACAGGTATCCAATCGAGCTTGCACCTTGTACGATGACGTCACGGTAGATAACCTGCACCATGCGTCGGAGTAAGCAACCCCTGCGGGTTTGGTACTTTTCGAAACTCTCAAATTCCTACAACTTGTTCGTACTATGGCTAAAAAAATGGAGGAAACAATTTTAAGTTGTCAATGCGAAAGCTGGCGAGTAGAAAGTTATCAAGAAAGCGAAAACTTCACGATTATGTAATTCTCGTTTAGCATTGAGGTCTAGTCTACGAGGCAGCTTGCCATAGACATTAATGCTAAACAAAATCACTTCAGTTGATCAAAAATCTAACTGTTTGGTTGTTTTAATTGGCTGATTAGAGTTCTGGATGTTTTGTTTTGATTAAGTTATTACAATTTAATTGTTTTGATTTGATCACAATGACAAAAATCAATATTTTTGTTTACCGTAGAGGTCTATGGCAAACAGCCTCATAGACCGCAGTGCTAAACCTGAATACATAAATCGCAAACTTTTCGTTTCCCTGATAACTTTTTACTAGCCAACTTTCGCTTCACAAACTTGAAATTTTTTCCTCCATTTTTTGAGCCATAGTACGAACAAGTTGTATGAATTTGGGAGTTTCGAAAAGTACCAAACCCGCAGGGGTTGCCCACTCCGACGCACAGTGCAGGTGCGCTGCCGTGACGTCATGTTAGTCGATTGGATACCTGTGTGTTTAGTAATATTATGGTATACTGTATACCATCAAAGCAGCTACAATGGCGTTTCCCAGAACCAGGAAGACATGAAATACCAGGCTCGGTTTAAGTACGTTAATATTGTCTCATACATAAGCAAACAAATACTGCTATTACAGCAGGATTAAAACCTGCTTCTGATAATGTGTAGTCATGCTGTGCCCATCGAAAGCCGGTTAAAATAAGCAGGACAGTGGACACGCAAGTAAACCGATGAGTCAACACTACTTATTTTTTTATTATTAAATATTTTATAAACTTGCGTGTTAGATCTGGATCCGACGTCAGATGACTACCAAGTGCTGCTAAGGACAATCTACGGGCAGTGTGACGGTAAAACCCAGGCTCTTCAAATGGCCTTAGCCTGGCTGATCAAGAACCGGGCGGACAGACGGGGCACCAGTGTGTTTGAAGTGTGCCGTGAGTTTCCGTGCTGGACTGGAACAGATGATAACCAAATAGACGAGTCCCGGCGTCGGTCCATCGAGAACTGGCTTTACTGGGTGTACGAAAATCCCGATCCGACGGAAGGAGCGCTATATTTGTACGACAACACCGAGAACAGGTGCAGCTGGCCAGCAGTCTGCATAGGCGGGCAACTTTTCCGAAAGGAACCATGACCGATAAAATCTAGGCACGTCGTGCACTGTAACCTGTGAAATTATTCCTTTATTGTAGTGTCAACTCTTTAAAAATTTTATTTTCACATTTTATATGGCTGACATTTTGGCAATATTTTGCAAGAGGCTACTATGGTTCGGCGATCACGCTGAATTTTATTCTTTTTACGCCGACTTGTCGGCGGTTCTACAAACTCTTCTATAAGAAAACGCACTTCAGGAATAAACATGTTTCAGTACTTGAGGTGACGTGGAATAAGCAAGCGTCTTTCTTTTCAACTTTTTCTTCGTAGGCCCAACATTACTTGTTTACCAAGAAACTTTTCTTTTACTACGAGTGCACGTCTCCATTACCCAACGCCACCACTGTTATTTAAAGATATAGTTTGCATCATATATGTTAAAAAAACAGATATGTGAAAAAGTAAAATAGGTGACAGAATTGTCGTTGCATCCAGCATTCACAACAAATGATCCTCTACCAATGAATGGCGGTTTATGAGTGCAAAGTCTTTCCTGTGTACTTTTTAATCAATTGCGACGTATACTGGGCTGTTAAGAAATTTCAAACATATTTATGACTCATGTACAAATGGCTTTTTAAAAGCTATTTTTAAAAAATAGAATAATAACAATACTAATACTGTAACTTTTGGGTGGGAACGTTCAGCTGTACTTCCCGAAAAAGGAAGAGGCCGCGCAACATCGGCATACTGATATACAACACTTCTACTGGTACACAATTTTGAGTAATATAGTATTATTATTTTACCGAGGTCCGAAGTATGTGCCGGACGTATGTTTTTCGTGGGCGTACAATACGTACAGGAACAATCGGGATACCGGTACCCACAAGTTAGGTGATACCACTTGTTCGGTAATTAATTATACCAGTTATTATTTTGGAGGTGTACAAAGTAACTGGATGGGAATATAATGGAAATATTTTAGGGCAGGATAAAATTCAGGCATTATGATAATGTCATAAAAATTCAGAAGAGAACTTCATTTTCTTCCCCGAGTTTGCGCCAGTGCTTCGATTCGATCCAGAAGGTGTTCCTTGTCAAGCTCCGGGTAAAGCTCGGAGTCGTATTCATCGTAAAAGGCGAAGGCGGAAACGATGAAAAGTGCAACATTAGCCATTCCAATGCTGTTCAGCTCTTTCACCATGGCCATGTACAGCTCCTTTCGCACTTCTTTTGCCATGGTCTTTTTTATGACAGCGTTCTGAGTTTGCGCCGATCTCATAGCTCGTTCATAAGCATTGTTAATGGTAACATCCGCTTGAGTCCGAATAAAAATTACAGGAACGCCCTGTTGTTGGGCGCGAAGAGCCAGTTTTGCATCGACTTCCGTAAAACGCACGGTGTTACTGACGATAAACAGCAAATCGAAGGCAGACAATTTTTGATCGGAGAAGTACGTGTTCATGGGATTGTCGACATGGTTTGTGCCAGGCATGTCCCAAATGGCAACATGTGGATACTTAGCTGGTTTATATGCACGGGCATGCCTTGTTCCGACTCCGTAATGTCCGATCGCAGCTGCAGGCGCTTCACCCTCTTGGTAGCCACAGACAGCGTTAACGAGAGTCGACTTCCCGGTGCCCGTTTCGCCGCATACCCCGAAGTTGTAAAAATTAACGCAGTCCATGCCTAGGCTTTCCTGTAGCTCCCTGCGCTCGGCGGCAGAAAGTCGAGGTGGTGCAAATGCAGGGCCGAGAAGGTTACCCATAGTGGTGCAGATCAAAACAGAAAAACGTTCAAGTAGTGTGGGTGGTAATACCGTGGTACAAAAGCTGCTTAAAGGATGAGACCGGCTAACCGCAAAAGCTACTATGAGTAGAAAGAAAATGAAGTGGTGTCTTGCTTTTATTTACTGTTTAATTCTACTTGTTTCGAAAATTGTGTAAGTAATGCAGAGCCAAAAATAGAAATAGACATGCCCGGTTTGCTGACTTCGATAGCCGAAAGTCAATGCGTCAGAAAGCCCATCCTGTATTGCAAAAACCGTCCCACATATTTAGGATATTATTCATTCAGACTAACTTGACGAACACCTTAGATTGTTGATCAATATGACTGACTAACGTAACGTCTTCAGCTGCCGTTTCATAATACGTAGTTAGGCATTACCTCATTTGCCGCACCTTGCCTAGCCCTAGCGTTTCATTTGGACCAATAACAACAGTCCGCATTTCCGGCCAATGTTAGGGAAAAGTAACATTTAGTATTTAACAGACTCACGCTGTCATATCTGTACACATAATTATTGATTTTCGATGCACTTGAAAACGTTTTATTAAAAAATTTGTGGCCCAGGCTTTTGCACAACATGAATTTTGCAGCAGGATTGCCAACAACTACCGGTAGCGAAAGCGTAAACCCGGCTGGTTTGAATGTGCGGCTTAGAGAGCATATAACACGACTATTCCGTGGCGTCAATCAAAACACCGCTATTGCACTTTACGGTTTTCTTGACAACTGGACCGCCATTAGCGAGCAAAGAAACCTATTGATCAGCTTGATGGAATCTGGAAAAGATCAGGAATTTATAAGCTATGCTGCTGTATTAATTTCTGGCGAAATGGCATCGAAAAGTCTTACAAGGTACGGACGTTTACTACGAGTATTCTTATTGTTACCTGCAATAAGACTGCAGAGGAAAATAATGTGCACTCAGTTTACAGCTTAGGACAAAATGGTCGCATACCCAACATCTCCACATTCAGTACGTATGCAGCGCAGTGCACTGTACGACTGTGTTCAAAATATCCGTTTCGTACAAGTGCACTGCACCGCTTGCGTACAGAATGCTGGGTATGGGGCTATGCGACCATTTCGTCCTACATTGTATATTAACAATTCATATTAGAAAATGTATTACAAGAATATCAGTTAACAAAGAAAACACCATTCATCCTTTCCGTTAGTGCATGTGTGCATGCAATAGCTAGTAAATCCAAAATGCTATCTGTACTTGGTGGTAGCAAGCAGTACGTGTAGAGACAATGCAGTCATTATTTTCTGTCACACCATCATCGCTTTCGAATACAGAATACACAAGCAGATAAATCAATCACAAAGGAATTATTAAGATCATTAATGGGAAAGTTGCAAAACCGAGTTCGTGATCAGTTAGGTATGATCATAATTTTTTTTAAAAAATGATTGTACAGACTTTGCTAATGAACCAATCTCGCAAAATAAGCTTAACTGTATTTATTTTAGTGACGCTCTACTTCGAGTCCCGTTCAAGCGGAGCCACCAAGTGAGTAGTGTAAAAGACAAAAAAGGCTAGTTCAGTGTATTACCGCAGACGTAGCGCAAATGATGCCGCTATTTAAACATTACCGTAGTTGTGCAGTGGATTACACATTGAAATGTAGCAAGAGAAGCAGATTACTATTTACTGGGACGCATCAAGCGAACCAAACTCATAAGTTACTCGTGTCGCTCTAGGATGCAGTATTACTAAAAAGGAGCGAGCTCTCTTCCGCCAGCCCTAACATGTCTCAATCGATCCGCAAACATGACCTGCAACTCACCATGGCCAAAACCAAGTCAAAAACCACGTTCACTATCGCCGTCGTTGGCCGAGAAGGCGTTGGAAAGTCCCTTCTGATCGACAATCTGCTTATACTCCACGGACGAACGCATCCTGGAAACGTGCAACAAGCGTCCGGTGATGTGTTACAGTATCAACTGGCTGAAGACTTGTTTGTGACAAAACTTCCATCGATTGGACAAGCCAGTTGTCCCATCAAGGAGTTTTGCGATGCTTATCAGATAGGTGGGTATGACCTGGTCATACTGATTGTCGGCAACCGCTTTCGAGAACATGATCAGGAAATAATCCACATGGTCAGTAAGCCACCGCATCCACTGCCATTGATTGTCCTTAGCCACGCTGCACCTGCCACTAAGTCCATACTGACCAGTAGGAAGCCGAGCACCGGTGTGGATGGAGAAATTAATGCGTACTTAAACAGAAACTTGTATAGCAACGTCAACGCTTTCTTGCTCACGGCCGGCACAGAGCTGGCTAATCGCAGCAGTTGGGAACACGATGAGCAACTGTTTCTGGACAGGATGAATATGTATTATGAGCGCTTTCGTACAAACCAGGCTTGGTGAACTGAAAAAGCTGACCCAGCTTAAAAAAAGGTTTTGCCATTTAAAATAATACGCACCTGCGAACTTTCGATAACGTTTGAGAGTTCAGCGAATAGTGCACTTTGGTCATCTGTGCGGTAATGAATAGCTGGTGTTTATTCCTGTTCCAGTTTTGATAACGGTAGTTTGAAATTCGAAATTAGTAGTTAAGTATCTGAAGGACAAAGGGTCAAATGCAATCGTGTTTAACGTTAATATCACGGTGAGAGTCTGCTTGTTAGGTGTACAACTAGCGATTTGTTTTGTGCAGATATTGTACATGACAGTTTATTAGACAAATTACATCACAGTATTAGTATGAGTTCGCAAACGCTGCTCCGTCTCCTTGCAGCCTTGCTTAAACGAGTAAGTACTAATGTTTGTATTAACTTCGTTCATACAGCTTTGTTTTCCTCTTACAGAAGAATAAGACTGCATGTCAGATTTTTCGCGTACGAGACAGAATCAAATACTTGTGCTGAGACACAATCAAATACTTGTTTAATTTTTTTAACTGCAACTTAAATTCTTGTGGAAATTCCGTACGAAACACATCGGAAGTAACTGGGCGTTTTCGGGTAGGCGGCGCGGCGGCATATGCGAAATCGAAGGTGCAGGTGATGACCTCACCAGTTCGAGCTTCCGATATCCCCACTTCCACCCGACTGCCCCCATTTATTGCATTGAGTAACAGAACAGTTGCGAAAGCAATAACATCAAAGGCCACCATGTAGGGTGGGCGGGTGGTAAAAGAACCCACAAAGAAAGCTAAATCAGGGGACTGATAAAATAACAGCTAGTCAGCACGCGCGACTGATCAGAACAGAATGCACAAGGTAATCGGGCCGTGTGCACGGCCGGCGGCAAGTCACACGCGGTCCCAAGGCATGACAAAGGAAGTAGGCTGAACCAACGCGAAACAAATCAATACAGGGAATTTGCCACGAATTTAGCTTCACTTAGCTAGCTAACTGTCCTATAAACGAAAACATTTTTTGGGACTATCTAGTTCTAGATCTTTATTACCACGAACAAAACAAATTGCGTACACCAGTGGCGGTATCCCAGACAGAATCAACAAAAATCATTGCTATCATCGGAAAGCCCACGTTCTAAAACCCGGCCAGACAGTGTTCGTTTTTTAAAAAAATGCATTGGAGCGACCAAACAAATCACCTCAACAAGCCGGGTCTGCCATATAAACCTAGTTAAAGTACTTACATCCATACTTAAGAATAGTACGTCTGTACATAAGAAATTACGTTTAGAAACGCTGTTGCTACGTTTAGAAATATTAAGTATGAAAATAAACGACCTTAAAGAAGCCAGATATAAGGTCTTAGCCGGCAAATTGCACCTCCAGTTTTCGAACATAAGAAAATGCGCAAACGTAAAAGAACATAGAACATAGAACATTTCATTTAGAACATTTCGAGGAAACGTCGAAAATATTACGCTAATCAGAAAGTTTCGATAACAAATCGGTAAATCGATGACAAAAGTCATGAAAATGGATGACAAAAGTTCTGTTTTGAATGTTCCGTTCTTAGTAGAATGCAGCAGTACAAAATTAGTAATCACACTTTACAAATAATTACTGTACAGTACTCTAACCCGCTACGTTGTACGCGATGGGCGACGTTTGACGCTTTTCAGTCGCACAACTCAATACCTTTCATTACCCGGACTTTCGCTCCTGACCATTCGTCTGACGTTTTTTGGCAAGAAGTTTGGTCAAGCGGCGCCTCTTTTTTAAAACTCGTCAAAAAGCCCATAAAATAACTTTTTAGGGGTTTGTTTACACGTCACAGTTGTGTTGTAAGAATTGTTATAAGCAACTGGTGCTTGCCATTACTCCCCATTACACAGAAACGATGGCAGGAAGCGACCGTGCTAACAGCCTAACACTACTACCATTAATGCTACTTAGTGCACATTGCGCACGTCCCGTTAGGTGAATGAGTGACCAAACTACCACTGCTATTTGGTGCACACTGTCCGTTTGGTGAACGAGTGGCCAAACTACAACGGCTATCCTATGTACACTGCCCGTTATATAGACGAATGAGTTACTGGGACCTAGACAGTAACTGTTGCTTACATTTGGGAACGTAAGTTTTAGCTTCGGAAAATTTAGCAGTTTATCAATATACTAATCTAGACCGGCTGAGGACCACAAGAAATGCGGAGGCGCAGCCGACGTCATTTCTTGTACGCTTTATTTTGTTGTTATTTTTCTGCTGCATTCTAGTCTTGCAATTGGTCAACCACCTTTAAGAAAGTCGATAATACAAAAGGAGCTTCACAACTTTTAAGCACTCCGCCAAAACGGTTTCAAAAGCGTCAACCTTTTGTGAGCAGAGTTTACGTTACGAAGCTGGTTAACACGTCAGTGAAATTTTAAATGCTTAATGCTTTTTAAAGTGTTAGTGAAGGTTATTTGCCATTGATTTTGCGCCGCGCCGCGTCTCTTCGAGTAGCGCGGGGAAGCGGTACTGGATTTTGTGGCATTTGAAAACAGTTTGCATCCAGCAGAATAAATTTACTCATTGACATTACCTTATTGTAGAACCTCGCTACGCTCTCTGCCAGCAAATCCCGATATTACGAACGGTATTTAGAGCCAGCACGCTAAAAAAAAGTTGTGTCGCTCGGTCACTTCTGCAGTGTGTGTGTTGCATTTGCTGCGTTTTACGGACTTCGTATAATGTATAATTTTGAAAGCTCAAAACTTGTTCTGGAAAAGTCTAGTATTAATTGTTATAGCGGTAAACAGCTTGAAGAAATCAGTAGCATGTGGAAGCTGTGCATGCTGATTGTGGTAGTCTCGTGTGGTTAGACGGATGCTATCGGACGGCCAACGGCACCGCCAGTGCTGGTAACGCCGCCACCCACGCCGGGTCCAGGTAATTTGCTAAACACAACTGTGCCGAATAGCTTGTTGGCTGTGTACTGACTGCAATATTGTAATCAGACTTGATGTGCACCATCAACTGCGCCGCGTGATGGTTATGCTTGGCGAAGAATGGAGGAGCCAACTGTGGTCCCCAACCGCGAGGCTGCCAGTGCATTGGGTTTGGGTGAAGCAAGTGAGCTGCCCTTCTTCATCGCAGACACCTGGGCACCAAATTGGGCAAAAAACGTCACATTTTGAGCTACGGACACAGAAACTCTAAGATTATCAGTAGTACCGGTAACTGTTGGTGCGGAAGTTGTTGGGCAAACATTTTATAAGGAAATCATAACAGCTGCTTGTATTCCTCGGTATTCCTCGGCTGACGATAGAACGAAACCCTTTGTAAATAAATGACGGAAGCTTAAACTTGTTTCTCTGAACCTTTCTCGACACATCTTTCGGGAATAAATGTTCGGCTTTGGCCGTTAGCACAAGAAATAAAATTTAATACTGCACTTAATTAAGACCAGTACAGATAGAAACATCTTCGTACATAGTTTTACTGTAATCCACTCTAACTTTTTCAACAATGTATTATCATCCTTCGTCTGTGGATTTTCTTCGTTCACCTCGTTCTATGATTAAGTATAACGTTATTATATGTTATAATTAAGTATAATGTTAAGTACAGAATAATCTACGGGCTTGTTAAGTATAATGTGGTGCCACTACAAAGCTCTACTCGGTCGCCGTTTTGCCGTTTCTATGCTCTTTTCTATCGTCTATACAAATATGTGTCTTTTGTTCACGAACTGTTATTTCCGGTTGGAAAGTATGATTAATCTCGCCAAAGTTGCAGTGAGAAGCAGGTGGATGTATTTATTCACTCATTTACCGGAACCCAAGTCCCGCAACTGCATCGACTGCAACACACAGTCCAGTCCGTACGTAATATTCGGTAATAAGGAAGACCTTGTTGTTTGTCTTGAGAAAATGGCCGTAATTATTGGATGTATAACCACTCAGTTGAAATCGCCTCACAATTTGTTGCACAAACTAAAAAGAATAGTGCATGCCATTGCATACGATATCCGGCGTTCCTGCCATGACCTCTGGGAATACGAAGGTCATAATCTACCAAACAATCGCGTTCGGAAAAGCTGACGTCATAGATTCATTGAAATTCAATCGCAAACTGCAAAATAATCCAATTTTCGAACATTTGTTTACAGAATATAAAATCGTTGCTTTTACAATTATCTAATTAAAGGCATAATTATATGCGGAAAAAAACCGTAATAGCTCGCATTTCCTTCCCTTTTTTTATGTGGAAATATCAGTTAATTGAGCAAGTGATCAAAATATCATAATTTTCTTGCAAAATGTCATCGAACTAGGAAGTACACAGTAACATGTTTTGCTTATGGCGTCAGCGCCTGGAAAACAATGATGAACCAGCCATGCTTACAACGTTTTCAGTAGTGTGCATATCGCAGCATGATGTTAACAAACATCCAGCGAAATAACGTCACAGTATTATTTTTCTCGGCTTGTTAACCTTTTGCGCTGACCAAATGTCGGCTGTAATGACGACCATTTGATCCTACCAAACAGCGCGTCAACGCACACGGAGCAACAAAAACACAGTGGTCAGTTTTGGTAAAAAGGGTTTGACCTTAATTGTGCAACACTTCTTAACGACGTCGGCTGTGGCGCGAGAAAGCCGGCGTCACACTGTGACAGGTCATATCACGCTGCCGCCGGCAGCGGAATCCGGATGACAGCACTGCCAAACAATTATCCGGATGATTGGGGTGTGTGTCTTCCATGCAAAAACACCCGCTACAGATTCCGCACAATAACATTCATATACACACAAATTCCTGTAATCGGATACGCCGTGTCATTCTCAAGACACAGCTGTCAGTATCGGCATTTTTATAATTATAAATCAATTACGGAGAAGGAAAGAAAACCTTTCTGTTGGACGGCTGCATTGGTACTTAATAATTCACAGCTGACTGAAGAATAACATCATTCTATACTTTTTCCTTAACGTCAATTGAGACAGAATGTTACGCATAACGTGTGCTTCGATTCTATTGATTTTGCTGAACGGGTGTGCAAGTGCGGCGACGCTGCAGCGTCGGTTGCGCGTCAACATTGGCAGCGTGGGATTCTATAAGAATATCATTCCGGGATCTTTTCCCAACACCGGACCACCGATTGATATGGCGCTGGACGAAGTGAGGACGTTGTATGCGGATACGCTGCAGATCAATCATACGTTCATCTCCAACTGGTCACTGCTCAGCTGTGATCCGGAGCTGGTGGATACCGCTGACGATCTGATGGCGAATTTTTATTACCGAACCCGAGAGCAGGCGGATTTGACTGTCTTCATCAATCCCGGTAAGCCTGGGGTAACCTTTTAGAGAACGTGCTTTATTTACTTTTCTTTTACGTTTTTTCCACGCATACTTCAGTAAATATACGCGCAAATATTGCGATCATTACATAAATCAGTTTTTAAACCGGCACAGAAGTGTGTCTTAAGGATTTCTGGCTACAGTGCAGATAAAGTATATAAACTTTTTCTGAAAAACCGGTTTTTCTGTGACCAAAGTTTAAGTCGGTTTTACCTTTGAATTATTAGTCATTACCCACAAAATCATTTCCTGGCTTGGCGAAAACGCTCTATTTTCCATTGTACACTAATTCTGTTACTATACCAGAACATCAGGTGTAAATTTTTGATTATTTAACCACTACAATTAACGCACATTTGTTACCGTAAATTAACTCGCAGGAAAAAGTTCAGACACAGGCAGTCGTAAGAAAGCCAGATGCGATTTTTCGATGCAGATTAAATCTACGTGCGAGCCAACGCATTCCTGAGATTTGCTTTTTGATTTCCTGTTATTTCATTCTGTTTCTGTGGTAATTCGATTAAAAAAGGCTCATATTGCACGTTATAACCTGTGTGTAATTGATCGCAGCAAGAAAAACCCTAATCGCTCATCACACACGAAAAGATGACACGACTAATTCAACCTCTTCGTCTCGTTTCAGGATGTAATGAAATTGGTGCAAGCAGTAAACTGGCCGCGCAATGGAACGTCCTCCAAATGTCCACGTACGCATACCATAATTTGGAAAATGGAATATATACTACTAAAAACTGAAATATATAACGTTAAATATAAATACGCTGAATTACTGAGCACGTTATGGAAATGTTTGAACAAATAATTATTATAGTTATGACGACAATTTAATTGTAGAGCTTCTGATAACGGCTTTATAGCGGACCGGAAATTAAATCCTGTATGGATATCCTTGGCTACCGGCAGCTTCACTAATATTATCAGCGCTTACAAACAGCTGCTGCAGGACTATAAGTGGACCAATGTGTTTATGGTGTGGGAGAACACTTCAAACCCGATATTTCGCGGCCTCTCGGACGTCATGTCGAAAGCGCTGCGCGCCCAGCCGAAGATGCAGCCGGTCTACCGTTCCATGGCCATGAACGGCCAGAACGACACAAATCAACAACTACGGTCCTTGTTGGAAGAATTCAGGCAGACGAGTCGCGGTACGCACGGAACGGTTTTAGTCCAATTTTATTAACTATTACGCATAATAAATATATAATGGCGTTTGTTTGCTGTAGTCATGCTGTTTTTCGGGCATTCCGACTATCTTCGAAAAACACTGGTACGCCCCGCAACTTAATAGACTAATTGCGTTTTTCATAACAAATGCAATTAACTATCTGAATTATTTTCAGTTGTCTGCTTACTCAATGAACATGACAAGTGACGAATATGTAAGAAGCGCAATCGATTTTCAGTTACGCATTTTATAAGAATTAGTTATTCCGGCTCTTTCATATGTAATTTTTTCCAGGTCTATATTGGAGTACAACCTTTGTATCACTTTGGCTCTATTGGCAATTTTTCGTGGAGATTTAACGATGCAAATGATGCGGTACGTGATATCCCACAACAAAGCGTAATCCTGTAACAAAAACGTTTTGGTACTTTAGATTGCAAAGGAAGCTTACAGAAACGTGCTTCTACTCGGTGCCGAACACTTAGACAATCAGACCGAGGTCGATCTTGTCGATCCGGTAATGCGGGAATGGAGACGACAGTCATTATTAAAATGGAATTTCACATATAACGAACCGGTATGTTTTCTTGCTAAAATAATTTCTGTGTATATTTCTTCTTCACGTGTTTCCTTTTTGCAGTCACCATATTTACGCACCGGCTATGCCGCCATAACGATGTTAGCACAGGTTTGTGAACCTATGTTAATTCTAAGTTTCTGCCACCATCATCTTTGAATATTGTTCGGTGTTCCAAGAAAGAAACGTGACATCAGTCAAAATTCTATAAAGCAGACGAATTATTCAATTAATGCACAAAACACAACAATAAACGCGACATTTCAAGCGAGCGATTATCCGCTACATGACACCACCATACTTTTTCAGCAGCATGCGAGAAATGAGTGTAATTGTTGCAGGTGTTAAATAACACCTATACCACCAACCCGGACTTCGATTACCGCAACGGAACCGCTTTGGCCAATTTTTTCCTGGGGAAAGGCTTCGAAACAAAGGTCATGCGGGTGGCAATCGGAGAGCAGGGGAATATTCTGGTCAATCTTAGTCTCCGTTATCCTGACGCCGCAACCCACGAATTACGGGTATAATACTATAATGGACTGTGGCTGTTGAATGGATAATTTCCCATCGTTAGTATTCCGGAAGAAACGAGTTTTGAAGAATTTCCCGTGATTATAGGTGGTAAAGCAGTGGGATGGAGTGAGACAGCAGTATGTGCATGTGGCCAACATAACCTGGGGCAATGGACCGCCGTCGAACCGGCCGGTGTGTGGTTATATGGGTGACGATCCGGCTTGCTCTAATGCCGGTAAGGGCTTACAATGGACACCAGATCCCGCCTTTTTCCTTAATAAAAAAGAACATTATTAAAAGAAATAAGTCTCACATAATACAAAGCATCCAAATGGTTCATTTACGTTTACGGCATCCGAATGGTTCATTTACGTCATTCTGTTATCCAAGTGACAATCATGTGCGCGTACGTATGTGTAACAAGACACTGCATGACACGCGAAGCTTTCGTTTTAAAAACCGTACGGAGCTTTTAGATTGTTTATGTTCTTTGTTAGAAAATAAAACGGAGGATAGCAGTAGTTCACCATATTGTCATGAATCGTGTGCGACACTATGGCATTTTGCAGTTGATTTCGTGTGTTCTAATCCGATAAATATTGTTCCGTCGTTAAAGTATGCGAATATTGTAAATAGTGCCCATCTGGCTGCCTAAATCTGTTTTCACGAAAAAAAATTTGCAGAACGTTTTGGTATGTAGTATGTACGAGTATTTTCTGCAGGCGCCCAGAATGCGATAATTGGTGGCACAATCGGAGCGCTCGTGATCGTTTCCGCTGTGGCCGTAATTTTAACGATCTATATCATCAAGTGAGAATCCTGGCCTATTTCGTAGTAACAAATGCGTCCACGAACTGATTAAATAGGTCAAAGGAAACAAAGATGGCTTTGAATGATCGCGCTTGGGTCTTGGAAGAAAATGACTTGTTCATGACCGATTCAACAGCTACCTTCATGTCGCTACCGCACGGGGTCAGCGCCTACTACAGCATGGTTAGTCCCAAAGCGAATTCCTGAGAATGTAATATCTCTACAGTTTTCCTCTAACCGCCGATTTAATAATTTTAGATGGTTTCCCTGAAAAACAAATATAAGCGAAGGTGGAACGGACTGGAAGTGTGGATACAGGTTCTGCATGGTACCGCACTGGAACGCGGTGCTGCATACAAAGTCCTGTACGAATTCAATCTGCCCTTCCAAATGCTCATACGCGAGGTAAAATGCTGTAAATAATTAACGGTGTGCTCTGCACTTAAAGAACTAGCAGCAAACAAGTCAGCATTTTTATTTATGCTGTAAATTTGTTCAGATAAAAGAATGCTCACATCCCAACATGAACCGTTTCCTGGGACTGTACCAGAGCAACACCATGAAAGAGCTATTCTTTATTTACACCGTAACCGCATGGTCAGCGCGCGGCTCCATTGCAGACTTGATTGAATCACAGCAAGAGCTGGATTGGCTGTTTCGAGCGTCCTTTATCCAAAATCTGCTCAGTGTATGCAAATATTCGTAGTCTGATTTGGGCATACCTACATGACATAACCAAAACTGTAAATTTCTAGGCAATCAATTTTGTGCATTCAAGCGGAATTAAATCCCATGGTTCGCTGTCGGCCCATAAATGTCTTCTGGACCAGCACTTTACGCTGAAGTTATCTGGCTTCGGTTGTGATGCGATCCGCAAGCAAATCGAACAGATCACGAAAACGACTATTAACGAACACACTCCGAAACCACAAGTTACTGCATTAGATGCAAGCATGCCAGAACACGCACAAGTCGAGGATATGCTGCGAGTTGGAAAGGTCATCATGGAAATTCTGCACTGGCAGCACGCAGAAGACCACTTAGAAAAAATTGGTATGTAAACTATTAATATTAATAATTTTGCAGTGGATTGTATTGTGGGTTGATTTTTGGTCAGTTTTTTTTGGTTACTTGAACAAATCTCATGTTTTGATTGCAGATCCAATGGGAAGCCTTTCGAAGCATATATCTGGATTTCCACCGCCTATCAGCGGAATAGAAAATTTCCCAATGGGCGCTGCTGTTCGAGCTTTAGCACAATCCTGTCAGGACAACGACGTTTCCCGGCGACCAACCGCCAAGGCAGCTACACGAAAGCTGGATGATATTCTCTCCCGCACTGCCGATTTTTCCGGTGCGGTAGTCGACCGGATTCTGCGGCGATTAGAAGCGTATTCGGTGCGCCTGGAGAACGAAGTGCTGATCAAGACCAACCAATTGATTCACGAACGCGAACGCAGCGAACGCCTGTTGCACGAACTCTTACCTGGGTATGCAGAATAATGCAGTGACATGGTAACACCCATCGTTACTATTGCTGCATATAAAAAACAAGATATTTTTACAGTCCCATTGTGGATAAACTGCGCAGAGGCGAGCATGTTATGGCGGAAGAGTACGAGAGCATCAGTGTCTTCTTCAGCGATGTTGTCGGTTTTGCTGAAGTATTGGTCAAATCCACACCAATGGACACGCTGCAGATTCTGTCGCATATTTTCCGAGCACTGGACACGGCTGTGGCGGGTTACGATGTGTATAAAGTGGAGACCATCGGCGATGTATACATGGTACGCTTATTTCAAGTGCACACTTCGACTTCAAACTTTAAGAAAAGAATATTCTGCCCTAAATTATGCCAGCAACCAATTAAGAATTCCTCAGGTTGCTAGTGGTGTACCAGTTCATAACGGACATCGACATGCCAACGAGATTTGTCTGATGGCGTCCAAAATGCTGAAACAGTTCCGACGGTCAACAGTTCTTGGGAGGTTGTCGTTATATTTACGCGGCGGTGTTCACTCCGGTGAGTTGCATAATGTTTCAAGCTATAACTTGTTTTCTGATCTTGACAAAGCGCAGTACATAATTTTTTTTTTAGGGTCGTGTGCAGCTGGCGTCGTCGGACTCAATAGGCCGCGATACTGCCTGTATGTAGCACGATTATCGTGGCAATGTTAAATAAATGTTTAAGCGTATTTCCTTGTTTGATAGGTTCGGAGATACCGTTAACGTTGCCTCGCGTGTATGCGCCAATAGTGAAGCGGACAAGATCCAGCTGAGCCTGCCTACTGCGGAAATCCTGCGGGAGCACTTTCCCGAGATTCAGTTGGAGCCTCGCGGAGTGATACACCTGAAAGGTCGTGGCGAGATGCAAACGTTCTGGCTCCAGCAGAAAGCGGTGGAAATATAGTGCGCACTTCGTTATGGAAGTGTGCGGTGCAGATGATCGGTTGCAACGGTCGCGCCTAGGATGACAAATGCTACTCCGCAACGTATACTTATTGAAATCTGGCAAATGTTTTGCTGTAACAAGCGTGACTGAAAGAACTATTATTTCATTTGACCCTTTTCTGTATTTTGATCTACAAAGCACATAAATCAGGCAAACACCAAGAATAGCGCACACATTAACGATTTTTTTATTTCCTTTGCTGTAACCTAACGACGTAGGTTTAATTTGCTTATCAAGATGTTTAAAATATGTGTCGTCATTTGTTACTAGCCAGTCATCGAGAAATCCGTACATTCGAATAACCAAAACCGACAGATAAAGTAGTCAAAATTTGCAAATGCAAAGGTTTTTGCTCAAATGCAAAGGATTAGTCTTTTTTGTTTTTATCCTCGTCGTCGTCATCTTTACCCGATTTGATTCCCATGGTGGCAATATTATTTGATGCCGGAACTTTGGGATTTGTGTATTGTCGCTGGCCAGCTGAACGAGCACCTCTATAATTATGCTCCTTGGTAACATCCGAAACCACATATCTGCCCTCCTTAACGTCACAGATAACCCGCGTTTTGGCGTCCACTTCCAGGGCTATCTGCCCGGTATGCTGGCGATCCAGCGCGTGAGCATTGGTGCTTCCATACTTATGTTCTTTAGAATAACGTATGGCACTTCGATCGTCCTGCAGACGCGCCTGCTCTTTTGCTAAGATGTCCGGTGGTAAATCATTCTGGGCGGTTTTTATCATCTGCCCGATTTTCTTTTTTTCATCCGGTGTTAACTGTTCTCCCTCCACAGTCTTCCCGCTTAAAAGGTCGTCGTTTCGCCGCGTAGCAAATGCGTCGGTTTTCATAGAGACACTTTTCGCAGTCTCTGCCGTAACCGAAATTGTGGCCGCTGTGGCCGCCGTTGTCAGCAGTCTTTTGCGATCAATTTCTCCTGTTTCCGCCATCTGCAGACCGGCATCAGCCATGGTGGCTGTGGCAGTTTGTGCCCCGATTTTCACAGCTGTCTTGGCAACTCCGTTGGAAATGTTCTGCGCTGCGACACCGGCTAACTGTGCGCCGGCTCCTCCCACCATGCCCAATGAGGTGCCAATAAGCACAGATTTACCGACGGACTTTGCAGTCACTTCTTCGCCATCAATGGCGCGAGCCACCTCCCCGACCGCTCCGCCCACGGCACCTGATGTTGTCGCAGCGCCAATCTGCAATGCGCACGTTAATTATAAACTTAATGATTACAGTGAAGTTGTTCGAACTTTAATGAATGGTAGGATCGGAAGTAACGCCTGGAAAAATGAGCAGCTTTAGACAAACTGATCGGCAATATAATCAGTATGCAATAAATAGCGATTTTTGCTACGGTTGTTTACAATTTCAATTACACATGTAAAATGTGGAAAAGGTTAGCACATCACTCAAGTTAAGGTCAGGATAATCGTTATAAAGCAGACGCCAGACAAAAAACCGGTTGAACGGCGTTCAAAATTCACCTGAGCCACGGCTTTCACAGCCGTACTTGCTCCCTTGGCAGCAAGTGAGGCACCCGTGCTAAGACCACCTGACACAACACCGATGGTTGCTCCAACGGCTACCTCCTTTAACAGGTCGTCACCGCGCATCCTTTCGCCGGACATGGCCTTGGCAATCGGATTAGTTATGCACGATGCTCCGCCCCCTACCAGGGCGCCACCAATTAGGACCGCCGCCACTCCACCGGTTACTACGGTTAATCCGACTCCAGCTGCAGCAAAAAATGCAGCTACAGTAACTAGTAGCTGTGATTATGTCCTGTTGTTATTGCGCATTGCAGTCAGCGAGTGCTTAACTTATGAGTATATAAATGAGCTAGCTAGCTATTTTTTAGTTGCTTAAGCCAAACAATTTATCATTTCGTTAAATTTTACAATTTCATTTCATCATTTTACCATTAAAGTAGAAAAGTTCAAGAAATCTTCACTTGTAATCTTGAAATACACTGCTCACCTGCAACTGCACCTATGCCCAAGGCAGCGGATATGCAGGAAGCTGCGACGGTTTCGCCGGTATCCTGGCAGACGCACGAGCATTTTCCTGGATTGTCGCACAGTTTTCGATTTGCTCGTTTCCTCTGACATTTTTTAGCAGTGCAAGCAGCACATTTTGTCGGCTTATTCTTGTCGGTGAAGAAAGACCCAGGCATATTGGAAGTGTAACTGAAAAATTACAGATAGTTGGAAGTACGACCCCTTCAGCGTAATAAATTAATGGTCCACGAACACCGGTACAGGCGAACTCTGTATGTATCTAATTTCTCTTTTGTGGCTGATTGCCGGCGTCACGATACGTATGACAGCTTGATTATACCACAGCAATGAATCTATCACGCGACTTATGATAAATACACCGATACACACTGATCACAACCTTATCTGGTTTGCAAACAATGGTAAGTATCACATTGCGCCAGTGAACTTTGTTTCTATGGTTATAAATTCCGAAAAGAGAAACCCCAAACATGGCGTATATTTATGCAGGTACCCATTTCATTAGCGCCTAAACTTAGGGTGTTCAGTGTCATTTAAGTCATTTTTTATTTAATTCCCGTTGTCGCTGTTAGATACCGTAGTTATTGTAAAGTGACCACTCCGTACACACCCTTTCGTTACCTTTTACTCCGTACACAACCTTGTGCACTACCTTTCATTCCGTGCACAACCCTTTTCGGGCACCACCTTTCTCTCGGTAGACTACCTTTGACACTACCATTCACTCAATACACTACCGGGTACCAATCCACGGTACTTTCACTCGTTGCACTACCATACTTTTATATTTACTTAAAATACTTATACAAGGAGAGACCTACAAATTTGGGTCGAAAATTCGTTCAAAAACGGCACTGTCCAAACCCAGCAAAGGAAAACCGGCACATGGGCGCCTAGAATTATCTTCTCACGGAATTCGATTTTATAACTGCCGATGATGATGCAGCAATAACAGCTGTTGACGAAAAACGGCAGTTCCAGAAGTAACTTCGCTGTGAAAAAATTTAAAAAATAAATGGTAGTGCACAATGGTTGTGTACGGAGCCAAAGGTACATACCTAGTACTCAAAAAGACATTGTGCCGAATGAAAGGTTGCGCAAAAAGGTTGTGCACGTAATGAAAGGTAGTGCAAAAGGTTATGCACGGAGTAAAAGGTAGTGAAAGGGTGTGTACGGAGTTCTCACCTTAATGTAATGCTAAACAAGTGCAAATGCTAATCAAGTTAAAATACAAATGCCAATAAAGTTAAACGAAGAACAAACTGCAGTACTATCTTTATTTCAACAAAGAATACAGACATACAGACAGCCCCAATCGTTATGGTAAAAAAGATGTTGACAGTTTTTTTTAATTCTTTTAACCCCGGAAAACCGGGTGGATACACTGTTAGAGCAAACAAGCAGATCGTTTGTAGATAAGTGCACCAATCCAGTGCAAAAAATAATATTAGATTCAATTATGAGATCCATATAGTCTGTTCTCTAAGATGTTCATATTAGATTCAAATGTTTTCTGTGATTCAACCGCCTGTTTCGGCTGTCTATTGATGTTGTGCGATGTTTAATTTTTGAAATGTTGGTTTGATAAACCTTGTACTTTTTCTTATTATCAAATATCAGATATCTTGGTAAAGTAGTACAGCATGAGAGGCGCATATATAGATACTTTACGACACAAACAGGTGGATACTGGTAAACATACTCACTGAATTAACACGCTTCTGACTATAGCTGAAATTTCTGCAAGATTTCGCCGAATATGTATCGTGATGCCGGTATCTTGCAGCCGGCGAATGCGGTAAAGCTTTTCTTGCAGGAAATAAAATCAGATAAAGATGTCTGCCACTTAAGGAGGTATTAAAGGGCAATGCCAGCATGTGTCAGTACACTGAATACAGTAACTCAAAACATACGTACTAGGTTCATCTTCAGTAACTACCACAATGCTAGCCTCAGGCAATGCCGGCGACAGGTAGAAAATTCTTCGACTGCCTACAGAATGATCAGTTAGGGTTACAGAACTGCAACAGCTACCATGCTAGTCCGATAGTTACCGGGCATACGAATAACGAGTGTGAAGAAAATAAATGAATTCAGATTTTACTGGTTGTTGATTGGCACGGTTTTTACTATAGACCGCACGCACACTTTGCTTATAAACAACATCAAAAATGGCTCGTGTGGTGCAACGATCACTTGCTGCTTTACTCGTAAGTACCGAAGCATGCTTCGAAGAAAATCCATGCCGAACCGTAATCCTTTGACAATGAACAAACTGCAGATTATTTATTCCCAAAGGTGGGTGATATCGGCTATTTTTCTTTAGTTTCTGCCACTTTGGATTTCAGCACAGGCATCGACTCAGTGCCGGTGCTATCCCGGTGATTCATGTTGGCCTACCGATAACGAATGGACTGCTTTTAACTCTACTTTGGGAGGGAACCTCATTAAAACAGTACCAACAGGTAGGAAAAGGTATCAAATTGCGCGAACATTCTGTATCCGTTCTGCCCGATAGATTTTCCGACCCGGGCGCAGCTTTCCCATTGCGGGTCACTGAACACGGGACTTTCTCCTACCGGACGGCGCACACGTTGCTTTAAAGTGTGCACACTGAGCTTGAATTTTTCTGTATACCAGACTCTGTGTGCACACTGAGCTTGAATTTTTCTGTATACCAGACTCTGTGGTGCAAATCTATGGGCGGATATAATATTTTAACTAGATTTACGGATGTTTTTTATAGCGTATCCATGTTATGGCGACCGCTCTAGCAATGCCGAATGCCTCAACGTAAAGGCAAACTACAACAAAGAAGGATACCTGCGCAGTATTCCCGGCAGTATGCAGTACTTCAACTGGGAAGAATTTGACGACCTGCGTTGTTCACTGGAAGGCGCCCAGTCAGCCAATGCCAAGTGTTCCCAGGGACGAGTCCCGGCTTACGCCGTCGATGTACATACCGTCGACGATATCCGAAAGGCGCTACAGTTTGCCACTTCCCACAATATTCGTCTGGTCGTCAAGAGTACCGGACATGATTATTTAGGACGGAGTACTGCAGCCGGGGCGCTGATGGTCTGGATGAATAACTTTCAAGGAGAAGTCCAGACGAAAGAGCCTTACACACCAAACGGTTGTTATGCCAGCGGTCAGTCGGGTAATCCGGTTGTAATCGTTCCTGCCGGCAAAGTGTGGAAAGACGTTTATGACAAGGTTTGTAGCTCGAGAAAATTAAATTTGTTTGCGAAGTTCGCAGCTGTTCAACCGCAAGTTTAGGTCGGGTAGCCTGAACCGCGAAAGCGACAAAATATGTAATTAGGCAGTGTAGAGTAATTCCGAGGAATTACTAGGATTACGCATGGTGTGAACTGGTCAGTTTGTATTTGCTTAAGTTTGTAACTATGTACGGTATTAATAAAACTATGCTCTGTATGTCAGCAGAACAAGACTTTCGTAAATTCGATTTCTGCCAAATCCACCAGAACGGCAACTTCAACCAATCCATAACGTGTGCCGTAAATTTAATTTATAAACGATTAATCGGTAGATTGATGATCTTATGTACCGTAAAATGGCCATTTGTATATAATAAGCCTCGCTTGCAATTTATTTGCAAAGTAGCTGGGTATCCCGGTATAACCTGCGCATCCTCGAAACAATTGAGCGTTCTGTTAAGTTATTAATGGTTCTTCCAGATTGAAGAGGTTTACAACCAAACGCATTGGATTATCGGCGGAATGTGCCCGTATATCAGTGCCGCTGGCGGGTTCACCCTCGGCGGCGGGCACAGCATTCTGTCCCCAGTATTTGGACTGGCCGTAGACAACGTGCTGGAGTTAACAGTAGCAACCGCGGAAGGCCAACATTTAACCGCCAACGACTGCCAGAACAAAGACCTCTTCTGGGCAATGCGTGGTGGTGGTGGTGGTACATTTGGGGTCGTTACATCAATCACCTACAAGCTCTTTGCCGTGCCGTACGGATTTTGGGCGCACTCATTCGTGATCGTGAATGAAAACAGAACGGGAGAATTAACCGCCGCTCAATTGGAAATGGCTGTGTATAATTTCGGAAGTATTGCCCGGTCACTGGATTCGCTGGACTGGGGTGGCTATTTGATTTATAATCCAAAATTTGGAGCCAGCTTTTTGCTGCTGGAACCGGCGTCATCGGCTGCCCACACACCTACTAGTCTCGGAGAGTGGTTGCGAATTAATGTATTGGTTGACGAGCAGGCGAAGTCGGGATTTTATGTGCAGCCAATCGGCAACGCTTCATTCTCCCAACATTTTCCTAGTTTCAAAGTAAGGGAATTCACCGGTTAAATTGCCCCGCAAAAATCGTGTATTTGCAGTTGCAAAAGAATCTTCGCTTCGCGCACTCCCACTCACATTTTTGCATTATTTATTTTATGGCGCTCTGTTGCTGATCGTAAATAGCTTATACTAAATAGCATGAAAACCTTAGCCATTTGTGAGCGCAACAGCCGTTAAGACAGTTATCAGTGAAAATATTCCAGAAAGTTGAAACGCAATACGTACACCCAAAGGTTTATAATGGATCGAGCTCCTTCAAATTTTGTATAAACCGCACATAAGACTGTTCTGACGCCCGACCGCAAGTTCATATGCTCCTAAAATTTAGAATGGATTTTAAAAGACTCCAAAAAATATTTTAATTGTAAATCTTGTAACTGTAGTTTGCTCTACGGTAGAAACAATGCTGAAATTATATGCGTTTTCAGGAAAACGTGACCCACTTCGAGACTTCTACCCTAGTACCCCTAGCGCATTTTTTTTTCGTTTTGAAACTCTTTTCTTCCATAATTTGCCACCCTGATGCTGCGTATAAAACCGGTTTTCACGCTAATGCATGAAAATCATGCGTTTATACTAAATTAAATGTCATAAAGCAATATGTCATATTATTAAATGTCATATTATATTCATAAAGTAGAAAAGGGGTTCGAGAGTGCGCTAAAGCAACAATTTCCGTTCTATCAACATTCGACAATGCTGGTGCTAGCTTGCTAATTACTGCCACATTTCCCGTAAGTTATTGTGCAAAACATCTGTAGCTGACTTCGTTACAAATTTGTGTGTGCACAGGCCTGGAATGCATGGTCGCGCACAATTGGGATCTTGGAAGATTTCGACTCATCTGGATACCGCATGACGCTGGGCACACGCCTCATTCCCGTGTCCACCCTCAGTCAACCATGGCCGTTCGCCCAGTCCATGGTCGCCGGTATTTCCAAGAACACCTTAGACGCCGGCTTCACGCTTATTCGAGCGGCAGGTTCGGGATTGCGAGACTACGACCGGCAATCGTTGGAAACCTCAGTGAGTCCAGCGTGGCGCCAGGCCGCATGGCTGTCCATCTTATTCGCCACATGGAACGCGACAACTTCAACAACAGAGATCGCAGAAAAAGAAGCGGCACTCAACAGTGGACTGCAAGTGTGGCGCAACGCCTATCCCGATTCAGGCGTGTACCATAATGAAATTGGGCTGGGTGAGCCGTACTGGCAGAAAGCCTCGTGGGGTACGAATTACGAGAGACTGCTCTCAGTCAAACGGCAAATGGATCCAAATGAAGTGTTCCTCTGTGAAAAGTGCGTCGGTAGCGAAGGATGGGATTTATCGGGATTGCGCACCTGCCGGGTACGCTAATATCTCCAATCACAATTTTTTGTCATTAATTCATTGCATTTACCGATACATCTAAGGTCAAGATCGGTTGACTCTGAAGTTTTTTGTTATGCAAAACAATTGTTCAACCGACTAATCAAAGCTGTATTATGTGAACGCCTTGCCTTGTTCTTGATCGAAAACCCACAATCATTGTGGCAAAATATCGTGACTAATACCTTCATTACTGTCCGCCAAATTTATGAGGGCATACTAGCAAAACTTTAACATGAGCTGGACAAAAAACAATTACAGTATGTATTGCGGTATGTATTAGATTTAAATACGTTAATAATTAATGAGTATACCATTAATTAATTACTGTATTTATCCAAGTTACCGTATCCCTGCTTCAACGGCAGATTTTGAACGAAATACAATACATGTATCACTGATTAGGTCAAATTTGTATTTACGTTCCAAGGCCATTTCCCGACCGTTTGACACTCTGATCAGTTCGGGTTTAGCGTCATTAGAATCTTAAGTCAATCTGTAATTTTCTTTAAAAATGAAATCATCCCTAACGTAGTACAAAAGGTGAACTTTAAAAGTGACAATTTTTTTTTCGGGTTCGCGCAGCCGGCAACTGGGTAAAGTCTTAAGTGCACACAATCGGAACCGATGTAGGTGCTTATTGCTTACTAGGAAATGATTTACGGCCAACGGTATGTGCCATTAGAATGAGAATAAATTAATTACTGTAATATATTACTCATTCTTACACTAATACACACAAAAAGTATTCTGTAGCCATAACAATCACTTCCGGTAACAAGAAGGCAAGAGCTACTAGTAGAGTTTCATTCCTACAACAGACTGAACAGCCTCGTAACGGGGAATTAGTCGCAAAGGTCATCACCGATGAATCTTATTTTAAGTATGATCTGTATTTGTAGCATAGACGTAGAATGTTGTGTAAGTTTATCGTCGGTTTCCAGAAACAAAAAAAAAAACAAAATACGCTGTGGAAAGAGCTTTTGTGAAGACTGCAAAGGCCATTAAGCTACCTCTGCAGTGTACCTCTGTAGTTACTACAGGGTCTCTGTCGACTGGCAGAACCCCTAGCCAACAGCTGGGTGCATGTTCATCAACAGTACGGCGCTGTTATGTGAACGCGTTTCTGTTTCTTTTTAAATAAAATGGTTGAACAATCTTAAAAAGTTTGTTGCAGAGCCGTACAAAACAATGCTCCAGTTCTTGTTAAAATTGGTTTGAAAGGGGGATGCTGAAAACACATAGTGGAAATAATTATACAGCCCGGATGCTAATTAAACGAGCAGAATTCTAACTCGAATTAGAAAAATGCGATGTTAATAAAAGCAACAAATTCGTTAATTACATCCAGCATTGTCGGGAACCTCGTTAGGTTCAAACACCGCCAAAATTTTCTTATATACTTCGTATCGCTCGTACTGTCTCAAGGAAGTCCCACATCCGTCCCCGCCATGCACAATCTTATGAGACGCCCCAAACTGTCCTTGCTGCACCGCATCTTGTCCATGGACCTTATTCCCCCAAAACCATCCCGCGGTATCCCAGGCGGCCGCCTCCTCACTGACTAAATCGGGGTTCTTCACCAACCGATCATCCCCATACAGTCCCGTGGAAACGGTCTTGTAATTCGGGAATCCCCGCAACATTAGGTATCCGCGGCCATGGTAGCTCCGTTCTGGATGCTCAGGATCCTGCTCCGCCGGGGTGTAGGGCGGACCGTACTCTTCGGTGGTGGCTAAACCGTTGCTGCCGTGGAGGATGTTCGCCAGGAACATAGCCAGTTCCCGTTTGGATGCAATTTTGGCTTTCTGGGCCGCGCTGATAAAACTTTCGTAAAGGGCGTCCGACGGAGCGGCGTAACCGTAGGCATGGCTCAGCTGGCTCACCGCTTCCTGGAACTGGGCTTTGGTGATTAAGGCTCCGACTGCGGCCTGCATACTAACAGTGCACACCTGATTTCAAAGAACAATTTTCTTAGAAATGACTGATAAATGAAAGCGATTTTAAATGTGCGTGTGAGAAATTGTGTCCTAGACAGCAAGCTGCAGCCTAGCAGGACAATCAATGCAGGCAGTTGCAAGCCTTGGAGCGAAACGTAATAGTTGGCTTTGTACTCGTGTATGATTATGATTAACCGGTTTCATCATACGCTGTTGCCTACTGTCCCTTTATCAAAGCGCCGGTGTCGTCTTGTACCATACAATATAATGAATTCATAAAATAATACTTATTACTCGTACTTGCCATAACGAGAGCGCGACCGATAGCCTATTCTCACATCGCTTTTACGAGCGTCGCTCCATCCATTCGGTGCTCAGTGTACAATTGCACATTGTGTTATTATTATTACTTTTGTCAGCCAGCATTATAAAACTAAAATTTTGCAGGTTATTTAATTTCCCAAAATTAATTCCCATGTATAATCAATTATGATCCATTTCAATAGTTTCAAGAAAATGTACGCAGATCAGATACTACGATTTCGTTATTAATTTCGCTGTTAAAAAAACTAACTGTTTAGAGACGTACCGTTAGTAATGTCAACAATAACGCAGGCCTCAACATTCTACTCTGTACAATGCAGCACTCGCACACTGAAGATCTTTTAACAGCATGTATTGAGAACATACTAGTTCATCAAAACTGCAAGAAATTCTGCTGATAACCTTCTATAATTCAGCACTGTTGTATATCCTTCCCCACGTTTTATCACACCAGGGCGCTACTTAAAAGCACTATCTTTTTGAAGAATCGAACTCAGTAATCAGCCCAAACAATCAAAATGCGGCTTTATTACAAAGGTCAAGCTAATACACTTGCCATTCATCATCCACTCTGTACTGTAACAGTACGAGGAAATTTTTATATATGTATATACGTGTATTATGAGTATTATGAGTACCATGAGTTCATGAGTATTTTGCTGTGAAACTGTAAGACTGGAGCACTGCAGCAGTAAGTAAGGCGGCAAAAACATAACAACGAAATTTTAATTACAAACTATTTCGGAGTTGTAATGCAATATTCATCTACTTTTCTGGGTATTTGCCACATGCAGTGTACACACATACGATATACTTTATACAACAACGGCCACCTTGACTGTGCACTGTTGCTGTAGCCATATCTTAATAGATATAGGGGGAAATCAGTTGCATACGATACACTTCCTCTGTACTGCTCCAGTCATCCGTATGGGTTTCTACGTCATATGGCTGAACAGGGGTTTTAAACGCCACATTTATACCTGCGCCTTGATGCAGGTACATGTGCCGTGCAAATCTTCTCAATTTAATAATTTTAATAATGCAGACTGTAAATCTATCAAAATGTTAATATTGAACGAAACTTTTGCGATCAGGTATCAATCAAAATCCAAATTGTACTTAGTTGGTAACAAGTAGTAACATTATTTTGCACAATTATTGCAATTTCCACGGCAAGCGTATCTCGAAATGCGTATGAGTGATTACCTTCAGGCTGCCCAGTATTCCTGGAAAAATCTCTTTTCCGTTTAGGTTACATTAACATTTTCACGAAGACCTGATAGCTGAACGTTAAAGAAAAACGAATGCAAGCGACTGCCAGTGCGTACGTAGGCGTGACGCAGGTAGCACCGCCCAGTGTGGTACCGTGATTTTGCTCACTTTTTTGACAGTTTTCGAAGCTTCCACTCTTTCGATTTTCCTGCGAAAAATTGGCTTCCTCTGCGGAACTTCGGTTGCAAAATAAAGAATAAGTTACCTGAATCATTTTTATCGGTAAATGTGCCGTTTTGAAGGATTCTGCCTGCGCGATGCACAACAAAATGCAAATTCTGTTGTCATTGCAGTGACTGCAGCACTGTTGATTATCACTAGAGTACGCTTTGCACGGTATGTACCTGCATCAATGTGCAGGTATAAATGCAGTGCTTTAAAAACCCTGTTTAGCCATAACGTGGCAGTCCATACGGATGACTGGAGCAGTATCACTGTATCTTATGCAACTGATTTCCCCCTATATTAAGGTAGTCATGATTCGAGAAGGGTTCAATAACATTTCAGCGCCTCAACAGAATCAGACGGTTCAGGGACCAAAAAGTAGACGTTAGAAAAACGAACATCTGGAACAGTTTCTTCGGACGATCGTCACAGATGTTACCTACTGTAATTGTTATCTATCCTCTAATATTTTGATGCTAGGCTAACAACTCCCTAACTCTTCTTTGTCAATTATGTTTGCGCCATCGGAAGTAGCGACAGATTATCTTTTCCGGTCATTTCTGGCATATGATTTCAATACGATTCGTTACCGTTCAAGTTTTTCCGAACAAAAGCTTGGAATTAACAACAACGGCAGTCCAAATAACTTTACTTACCGTTACTGCTTGTTCGCATGCAGTTGTGAACAAGACAATGATTTCAGATACAATGCATTGTTTCGCTGTTTATCGGCGATTACTACATACAGCTTGACATCAGCAACCTCTACACATCAGCAACCTGTTCCTACAAAGTGCAATGCAATCCGCAACCAAAGGATGATTCAACATCCAAACGATAACGCAGGACATGATTGTAGCAGCAACGTTATTATGTTGTTCCATAATGATTATCTTGATTATTGACATTGACTGCTCACTGAAAATGGCCGCTGATAAGATCTTATCGGCATTTAGTTAAATGAACAACCAGTCGGATGATCAACTGAAATAATTGGTGCACGGAAATACAACTGCGGTAAAATTACTAAGTAATAACGCACATGATAATTGTCGGCACTTCCGTAATATTTCTTTACGTACGAACTACTACAGCCATCCTCGTGAAACGGAGAATGACTGCATTCTACCTACGACTTCTGATGGTGGTAGCGGCATTGTTTTTGATTGATTGCGGTATGTGGTGTCGAATAATAATTCTTTAACGTTAACGGCGAATTCCAAGATTTTCACTCTAACCGTGGTAAGGGGACTCATAAGAAAATAAGTACTTAATATTGTCGTATTGGAATGGCAATTTTGATGTCTGTTTGCACGCAAACCGTGGTTTTACCTGACGATATTTGTTAAGTTAATTATGGACAACAGGTGGCGTATTCTCCCTGAAATGTTACAAGAAAACGTTGTCTGCCAACGAAATGGTCGAAGAGATCTGCCCATCACTCAACGACACAAACTCTTGGAACAGCACTTTGAATGGAGGTCGTCCAGTGTGTTGGAAGACCACACCACCCAATCCGGATATCGAATGTACAGGTTTTCAGTTCTGCTTCTACATAGTTTTAACCGCGTATAACAACGTTGGAGCGGAAAAATAGTCACACCTTGTTTTCCCATTCATTGATTTTAGTCGTCGACTGAAATTAATGAATTTACAGTTGTATTCATGCAGTAGTTTGAAGTACCCTGTTGAATGTAAATGCTGTATTTAAATCTGAATAACTATTATGCGCTTCTCTTTTTCACAGCAATTACGAGGGGCTGCGGTGTTCGGGAAGGAAATATGGAGTGCGTGAAAAGTCTTTCTAATTATTCTTCGTTGTCTTTCGAGGAAATCTGCTACTGTGATGTTGATCTGTGCAATACGGCGTCCCCAATGTTCAGTGTCGGCGCTTCAGTGGGACCGGGAATTCTAGCGTTCATCATTAGCTACATTCTCTAGCTTTTCGTTGGACTACCGAACCCCAAAGAGTGATACGCATCACGGGGATCGATTTACGCTGGAGTCCAGTGACAATGGCTTACCTTTTTTCGATGTGATATTGTGCATAGCCGTATAATGTCGTACTGCTCAATTTGATGTGATTTATTTTCGAGTAGCCCGTTGTTATTTTCGACTGGGTAATTACCCAGTCGAAAAATAATAATAAGCATGCTCAGGAAATACGAATGGTATTATCATTTAAGTGAGTGGTAAGTACTTGTTCAACTTCTCATGGGCGTCATTTTCCGGATACCAGATCCAGGCCGCGTCGGGATGAGTTCGTAGCAGAACCGGCGCGTCAGCACGTATGTGTAAGAAAATATCTCCCGAATAAGCAAAATTTGCTTGGACCGGCTGGACGACCAACTATTGTGCTTCGACGAACTGATACTGCGTACAAACAAGGCAACCGTTTGAATAATGCAGCAAAACGCAAAAGCGAGTCCGCCGAGTCGGCATGCCGCAAGGGTGCATTCCCATTCCGCCGGCAACATTTTGAGAATCAGATCTATCTTTGCAAAACCTTACGATTGTGGCTATCGTAAAGCTTTCACAATTTACTGAGCAGCTTTTTCACCTTTATCTGGATACGATATTCAAAAGACTTTGTTTCAAGACAACTCTGTCGATAGCAAAGTTGGTAAATATGAAAGTTTTTGTTTTTTTGCGGATATCACGAAGTAATAAATAACCCAATACTTTGCTGAATTATCAAAACCGTTATGTATAGCCATTATGGGAAACAGTCTTATCGAGAGAGTGCCATTCGCAAATACGATAGTAAACATCGAAAAGTGATTAAAAAAGCATTAAAATCGTATCAAATTCTAGGTGTTTACCGATAAAAGTCAGCGTTTGTACAACAAAATAAGTTTATTCAGATAGCCCACCGAACCGGACGTAGCATCTTTTATCAACCTCCGCTTGTTTGACATGTCAACATTCTGCGGATCGGGCGCGTATGTGTATACAGTATTGTTGTATACAGTATTGTACCATACAATGACATTTTTGGAGCACACTTTATCTGAGCAAATTTTAACAACTTTGGCAGTTTTCTCGACCCAACTGGAACGATAACGAGTCACGGTGGTTTACCCAGATCCACCAGAATCCAAGTGTACAGTGGCCGCAGCTCGGAATGCAACACCGTATAATTGACATTCGACAAGCCATCGATCTCCATTCTCTGTGCGGCGTTTTTGGCTAGTTCATGACGTTTGGGATTGGTTGGATTGCTAGGATCTCTGTTGTGCTTAACCATGGTGTACCGGCCAATGTCGAAGGGCATTCTTCCGGGCTTCCCCAGCTTCGTCCGGACCCGCGCGCCCAAGTCATCGTCTTCAGAACCATAAAAAATTAAACGTTGTTTTACTTTTGATGGGGTCAATACCTATTAATTTTATAACATAGCATAATACTACTTTCGCCGACCCCTGTGTAATTCTACTCGTACATTGTGAACAATCTTACTAAAAGCGCTTTATTGAAAAGCGGATTTATTAGTTCTGTTGCACACAGCGCACTGGTTGAAATCTCAAGCGTACAATGCATGTTAGTGTTCCGATTTATTTTTCTTTCCGTTTTACTATCAACAAAAACGCTGTACACAATTTTCTAGTATAATGGCTTACCCCAGCCCCAGTAAACATTGGAGAAACCGTTGATTTGCTGGAAATGACGGCGAGCAAATGATACAACTCCACCAAAATAATTGCCGTAATACGGCTTGTACTGATTTTTATCCATCACACTGGCTAAAAGAGTCGGTATCGTGGGACAAAAGTATGAATTATGGTCGTTTTCCGGTAAGAGGTCTACGTCATGGAACACAAAACAACTGTAACCGGGAAATTTGTTGACCTCTAGGAACCCCGCGTTGAAAAGTTTGCCTAACAATTAAGAGCACAGAATCAAACCTTAACGTTAATAAAAGCCCAAAAGCTACTGGAACGGCCAACGGACATTAACGGGACTGTAGGGACACCTAAATGGGCCACTATGATTAAGTCTCATTGCCGATTACGGCATTTTGTTCAGCAAAGTTACACTCACATTGGATTTACTTCACACTGTTTTGACCCATACCATAAACGTTTTCCAACAATAAAAGTCATGGCATTATTGTTTCCTTTACCTCGGTTGAATGTTGTGTTCCCGGCTTGTTCCGCAACAAAAATGATGTAGTCTAGCTGCTGTCGTTGAAGAAACGGATGTAGATTGTTCAGCAAAATTTCTACAAATCGTAAATTATAAAATACCTGCAACTATCAAAGCGTTACTTCGATTATTGCAGTCAGTGCTCCGCTGAAAACAACCAATAACCTACGCAGATGTTCCGTGCGGTTCCGGTAGGCCACCACCACCGCCACTTTTATTCGACCTCGCTGGACACAGTGCTTCGGGCGATAGCTGCCGCCCTGTTTCACATGCGGATTCTCAGCCTCAATTTCCTCGTCGGATTTTATTTACTTCGAAATATTTCGTCGGCCCATCAATGTACTGGGTTTCGCCTCGCACACTGGTACGCTGCCGGTGGCGGTTATCATATCGCTGCCACCGTAGAACGCAATCAGTTTAACTGAGCGTTGGGTCAGTGAGTCAAAGAAACCACTTTCGTTGCAAAAAACGTCTTTCCTTATAATAATCACGGGAGCGGCGAAATTCGGACACTTTTGACGAGGTCCGTTTATGTACCACAAGTAGAAGACTGCCAGAAATAATGCGCAACACAACAGGAGCAAGGGGAGATTCTTACCAAAACCGGTGCGAAGAAGACAGGAAGAATTCCCATTAGACATAGTTCGCTGTATCGGTGTATCGTCAGTGACGCTTAGTTAACACATCACACAAAATGATCAGACCAGTGTTTTGTGCAAAAGTGACACACCCGTATACGTGGTGATAATTATTTGCTTTGAGAGCTTGAGCGACAGTCCCTAATGAAATAAACCGCAATGGTCTGAATTTCACACAAAAATACATTCATTTAAAACCTTGTTTCAAGGTGGTCCAGGAAAAATGTGATCATAATTTCGTAGTTTTAAAACCCAGTAGAAAAGTAGAAACGATCGATCAAAAAGTAATCGCTGTCACGCAGTCGTTCTATCAGATCCAATACACTTCTGTTGCTTGATGATGAGCAATCGAATTATCAGGCGCTTTCCTTGCGTGATTGCCGAAGACCGGGGTGCGAATGAAGATATTGTTACCAGGGCTGATTAGGTATGTGACCTAATACTAGTGTGATCAACCGGTAGTTCATCGATATTTGTAAAGCAGCAATCGGGTCAAAGGCAAGCTCGGTGTGAAGGCGAACAGATCGCATTAAGGAGCAGTGCTTGATAACAAAGTCACAAACATAATCTTTCTTTGAAAATTAATCTCGGTAACATTTTCATTGAGCACTCTCTTTGTCTCTGCAAAGATAACTGGCATGAATTAGGTTGCGTTTAGCACGAAATATGTACTCGTACACCGCGGCGGCGTAGTTTTCGCGTCTAAACAGACTATCTGAAGTCCGCTGCTGATAATATTCTCAGTCAAAGCATCAGCCGACTGAATAGTGAACAGAAATGTAAACATTTCCATAATATTTAAACCAAGAATGGTGTTGACATTTCCAAGCCACGTTAAATAGCGGCTCATTCATACAAGTGCGACGTTTGTGACATTTTTGAATGCGATTCGGGAAAATAGTTAGTTTTATCGCAAACTTGATAAGGTTGGAAACAGGACTTAACTTCCCTCCAGTGGATTTTGATCACGGTGAAACATTAAACAACATTCTGATCGCCATTTCTCTCCATACGGTGCATTACATAGATAACCGGGTACCTATACGCACGTAACATGGTAGTAATCAACGAGATTTGTAGTTTATCATAGACAAATAAAGTTTTGTCGTCCGTGAGAACGTAGGGATTGTCCGGTAATAAGTCTTATCTTTCTTGCGACAAACACAAATTTGTCCTACAACTTATGATTACTTATCGCTTTCTGTTTGTCTCAGTTTTGACTGTTCCATTGTTTTCAACGCATCTTAGGTTTCTTAGTTCCTTGATAAGAGACTTATAAGCATTGTGAGTGCAGGCTTATAATGCTGTCAAATTCTCTACGACGGCACTGCCGATCATCCATTTGTCGTACTTTGTCTCGCTCTTTAAATTTTATGTAACACAATTCTTGCTTTGGGCAAGCGATATAAATAACAATGGCTTCGATTATTTATAAATTCTGTATGCTTGCTGTAGTTGTACTCGGACTAAGTCTCAGTAAGTGCTGTCATTTGCTTTGCTTGTCAACATGCCGCCTTACCTTTCGCATTATGTATTGTATTGCTATCGTTTATGTATTGCTAAAACACAGAAAGAGGTGTCTTAAAGTGCTGCAAACTATGCGATCAGTTGCTGTAGTTCTGTTTGCCATACAATTAACCGTAGCACTTGCACCAGCCTAACCTTTAAAGCTGGAATAGGTCAAACTTTCTCGTTGACCTGCTACCACAAGCTGCAATACACCGATGAAGTCCAAGAGGCATGCGCCAATAACGAAACAATAATCGGTCCTCCAGATCAGTTCAATCTCAGTGTAGCGTACCGTCCAGCTTGCTACAAGGAAACAATCACCGGAAATGGCACAAGTACGTACAAGATTTAGAATTGTGCCGCCAGTGCACATTGCTGAGAGTGATATTTACGGCGCCCCTTTCAATTTGCAGCAATAATTCTGAAGGGCTGCGTAAACTGGGGCGCCGCAATGACATGCGGGCCTACTATAACAACCGATAGCGGCACAACCGGACAAGCCTGCTACTGCGATACGGATTACTGCAACGCGGCATCCAAGACACGCGGTGGTGGTACAGCGCTGGTGATGGGACTCGCTGCTTTTGGATTATACCAAGCTTTGTAATGGGTTCAGTGCGCACGGAAACTTATTAAGCAGGTTGCGGTATCAACGAAGGGGTACGATTGACGATAGAATTAACGACGGAGTACAATTAACGAACGTTTAAACGGCAGTACCCGTCGTTATTAACGAAACGAAGGGGGTATCGTTTCGTTAATAACGACGTTGAAATTTAGTAATGAACGACTGGGCCCATATAGACCATTGAGCACGAAGAGTGCGCAGGCGAGACAGTGTACCCAGTGAATTTCTGCCTGGGCATTCAGTCCTGAGTTGCCCACTCGACTCGAATTTTTCGAAAATCACAACAGTACTGCTCGAATGTTAGTGCTGCCAATGGTCTCTTTAAACTTTTCACTTATATGGCTTACTTTTTACTTTAACTTTCACAATTGTAAAAATTATTCCATATAATAAAATACAGTAATTCGAGTAGTTTACTATTGGAGTAGCAGTATACGGAGACTGTACTGAGGCCTCTGAGAAACGAAGTCCTGTATTCAAGAATGGAATAAGTGGATAACACTGCTTTAGAATAGTGTTTGCGTGAAAACGTTCATACACGTGTTAACGCCACTGTTAACCTTATGTTTTTCTACCACAAAAAATCTTTATTCTGTTACTTTCACGGTGCAACATGAAATCGTTTCGGTATCGATACAAAAAATTGAAAAATGACTGTCAAAACACAACAGTTCGCCACGCTAATATCTATCGCTGTTAATTGTTTAGTGCATAACGCAATCTCTTATGCGAATCACCGGAGCCTTAAATTAACAACGCCAAAACTGTCGTTAATTTTGCCGTTAATCGTCCGGCCGTGCAAAACGCAACCTACTTATTGTCGAAGTCTTTACTTTGTGATTTACAGTAATTGTAGGTCTGTAGCAAAAGTCAGTAGAAATGCGATAATTTATATTCATTGTATGAACAAGCCAGAGCAGAGACACATGAACTGTATTTGAAGATTCTGCTCCTTTGGCTTAACGCAATATTGTCACGGTTCATGGATGAAGTTTACGAAATTATTAAGACCGTATGCCGCGAACAGCTGCGTTAGCCTGCGTGCAGTACATACAGTACATGGATTTACACTACATGCATGCCGCTGCCTCGAAGCTACTCCATACGAATTTTCCTTCGTAACTTTTATCAGACTTGAACCTCGACAAAGCTAACAGTAAAAGACAATCGCTGCTTTCACTACAACATAAGAACAATTCTCACACCAGGTTACAAAACTACTGTTCCCAGTCTGTATCGATAAGATTGGGAATTTCCCACAGATAAATAATCAGAATGGCCTAGATGGACTACATTGACTGTAAATGAAAACAAAGCCGGTGAGTCGCGATGATTGCAGACGTTACAATCACTTAAATTGTACCGGCTCGCTTGCAATGCATGTACTAAAAATGGCGTTGGTTATATGGATACCGATACGGTTATATTATATGGATACCGGATCATATGCCTGGTTCAATTTGTTTTATACAGAGGGAGTGGGGAGGGAGTCGACATTGAGGACGTCGACATGGTGTCTCGAATTCACCTTCGGCGAATACGAATGTCTGTAACAGGTAATTAATGACCGTTCGCATTGATCTCCAAAAGAGCCTTTCTCCCTAAAGAATGAATAATGCTTGTTTTTTACGAAACTATCACTTTTTAATTCTTCCATCCTGGTTTTAGTAAACACTTAGTTTTAGTAAATATTGTGACGGTAATATAAAGATAAAAAAAGCGAAAGACTGTATGTGCTAACAAAATGGCATTAGTCTTTTCGTGAAACTTGCTGCTCCGCTCGCTTCGCTTTGCTCGCGCCATAGCTCCTCCGCCTTCGGTTTCAGTGGTTTCCTAATTTATATTACCATCAAACACCTAATTCGGGAACCTTATGATTTCCAGGAAAGATTTCAAGCACAGCCGTGGAATTAGCGGCATGACAGCTACAATTGGTCGTTAAAGAACCAGAGCTGGCTGTGCGGTCTATAATCTCGTTTAGAACAATTGTCGACGAGACGATAAAGGTCACAGTCTGTAACAGAACGACTGCTGTATGGATGTCATCAACCAAGTTTGGATACATCGACAAATAAAAAAGATGAATTATCACGCACCCCAGCGAGGAAACTGCGGGTAACATGGAATATATCCGCGCCGGAGAGCACTACTGGACGATCGCGAACCAGCGTTATAAAGTCGCCCATGAACGATTCCACCTAACCGCAATAAGCCAAGAAGTAGTATAACTGTGGTACAACAGTTTGTAATACTGTTCTTGCCAGATACTTCGGACTCTCATAAAATCTACTCCTAGGTGCGAAGGGCTCATAAAATCTGTTCCTGTGTACCTGAAGGGCAAATGCCTCGGAAGTGGGGTCCATCTGCTCCATTGCACTGTGCAACGCTGAACCAATAGCTTCACACTGAAACGAAAACCTTTTAAAGAAAATATTGGCTTGGCATATGGTATCATCCTCGTATTACGTACATTCCACAGAATTATATTCATAACATTGCTTCTATAATCATACATGGTAATTTTAAACGGGTTAAATAGCAGTTTGGGCTTTGGGCTGTCCCAGCACACGTTGGAACTTTTTGTCATTTTTGATTTGCCATAGCACAAGCAGTCAGCTGATGCGCGCATAAAGGCGGCCTTTTTGGCATGGCAGTGCATACAATATTGGTTGCATAAGGCACAAAATTGCAAAATTTTTTTAGAATGCACAGATTTTTTTGAATGCACAAAAATAAACATGCCTACAACAACGCCCAAATTACGGTGCCATTCCGGAGCCCTATTTCGGTACCTGGCACTGCACAGATACCGGTATTTCCATTAATCATTATCGCGTGACGTTTTAATTGATTTTTTTTGTATTAATATTGGCTTATTCAGTTAAGAAGCTTTTGAAGAATACATAAAATACAGTACTCTGTATGTACAGAAGTATGGTTTACTTTGGTACGAATAAATACTTTTGTACTCGATGGATGACTGCCAGATCAGCTGTTTGGGCACCCCAGGCATTACTGTCATGCAGCCGATGTATCCAGCCATCACAGCGATACTAATATAATTAACCAATACATCAAAGAGAAATGGCTCCACGTTGGCGGAAATGGCGGCAGCGAATCCACAGACTGCTAGCAAATCCAATCCGTAAATGAAAAACAGAACACGTCCGTATGCATTATTCAGACTCGAAGAACAATCCAGAACATCCAAATAACGTCGCTTCAACATTTTCAGCTCCGGGTAAGAAATTATTGTTATCGCCATGGTAATATTTTTGGGACGCTTTCCCTGTGCCTATTTCAGTAGTTTTTCCCGGACGGGTAAACAGCAGTGAATATCTTTTAACACTTCCTTAAAAATGCTTGCATACAGTAGTAACCTAATGTAGACCTGTTGTGACAAAAAATACGGAAAAGCGCTAAATAGCGCCCAAATGGTAATGTACAACCCCGCCGGAATACGTAAGGGCATAAACGCTTCATCAAACGCCATATTCCAACGTCGTTGATCGCGCTCGAGCCAGCTTAACCAGTCCACTACCTCAAAAGTCAGCACAGCGGCAAACGAAACAATCGCGAGCACCATAGACGACAATCTCCACCGGCGCATTTTACCCATTAAAACGTCATGTCTTGAATGGTGCTGCAGAAAATCCGCAGCGTGCCGTTGCAGGGCAATGTGATAGTGGTACTTATGCCAACAATCCAGCAGCACAACGAGCGCACGGATGCTTGTGCAAAAATTCGGCAGGTAGGCGAGAATGGTAAAAAACGGAGTGCTGTCTCTAGAAGTCCTATTCAGAATCATCCAAGCAATGCAAAAAACGTAGGTAGTAGCGCACAATGTACCACCTATTAAGAAAATGCTGACCATAGTCAAACTGTATAATTTCTTATACTGCTTTGATGGTCCCTTGTCATCCCATAAGAAGCCGAATAGCTTGAGACATCGATCTTGCTAAGCAAAAACTGTCGCAATTTCAGCCATAAAATCGCCTGATTTTTCCATGGCTATTAGCGCCAAAACCCGTTTCGCTGACCGCAAGCTTTTGTGTAATGGAATAATTAACGCAAAAGCATCTTCTCCAAAGTTCGGGTGTAGTGTTTACACAAAGCGGTATGGATGCCAAGTTGAAAATATGGAGTACGTACCCAAATAGAATGATATGCGCTCAGCCCATTTGCAGAAATCGTCAATAATCAGTACAAGTGTACAAACATTCTCGAACTTTTACGGAGAAAATGTCTCAATCGACCTTTTCAAAAATTACAAAGCTTAACAGTTTTTCTTCAGATCGTGGGAGCTCAATTAACCGTAGGTATATTGCGAGTAGGGCATGCGAATGATTTTTCGTAACTGTAAACCGTGTGGCATGTGGAGCGGGTAGGGAAACTTGGCTTTTAGTAATCTAAATTCATTAATCTCTTAACACATCAAGGAAAGAGATCGATGCTCCAAGTTCCAACTACGAAACCCGTAACGGCGCAACCTCTGAACAGATGAAACAAAAACTTAATAAAATAAACCCAGGCGGTCAGAATCAGCATCTTTAAAAATTCTGTCACATGGTTTTTGTGGTTAGTGATCATAAATCTACTGTAATTATTGAATAATTCGAGGGAGAAAAATACAATGAACGGCTTCGAAAGGTCCAGCACTTGTAAAAGCGCTCATACAATGCTCTGCCCTTAGTACTGACCATAGCCACTGACATCAGAACTATCGCGGTGAGTACAGCTACAGATACTGATGTTGTCCAAACTGTCAGTTAAAAACCGGATGAATTTCCCGTGAAAATTTGAGGAGCAGGTGTTGCACTGGCAAAGCGGCTGTCACAACTACAGTTCCAAATTGATAAATTAGTGTTGGTTTCTGTCCGATCTAAAATTTCGCTAAGCACAATTGTGGTTGAGATGATAAAGGTCACGGTCTGTAACATAACACATCATTTTGCCAGAGTTAGTTCAGGCACCAGTAATAACTAGTTTCACTACTTGCACTTTTATTCGATTTCTTATGTGGTAAATACGGTACTCTCAGTACCTACCCCTGCAAGAAAATTGCGGCAAACATGAAAAAGGTCTGCACCCTTAAATACTACAGGATGATCCCGAACCAGTGCTGCAAAGTTGCCCACATACGATTCCACCTATCGAAAACCGAGAAATGGAGCAAGTACATGTTTTCAGGTTCTCTATACGTTATTCTAATTTCAGTCCCCATATAATTCTAAATTCAAGCAGCCAGAAAGAACATTGTGTCTTACCTGAAAGACAGCCTTCTCAGAGCCGGTTTCCGTCTGGTCCAAAGCTTCATGTAACGCCAAACCGATCGCTTCGGACTACAACCATATAAAGCGGTTTTCGCTAATGCTCTACTACAGCTTTCTTTTTAACTCAACAGCTTTAGCCTTTAAGTTATATGTGATTTGTACGCATATATAGATATACTTTTACAGAAGGTTTCGTAACCCTGTATGGTGACCTCTTTGTGCACTCCAGCCATCAGTCCTAGGCAACCGATGTACCCAGCCATCACCATCACGTTAAAATAATTCACCAAGTACGCAAAAAGAAATGTTTCTCCATTGCCCACAATCGCAGCAATAAATCCACAAACTGCAAGCAAGTCCAGTCCGTAAATAGCAAACAGCGAATTGCCATATGCTGCATTCAGGTTTGCAGAACAGCGTAGAACATCCAGATAACGCTGCCTCAATACTTTCAGTTCCATGTAAGAAATTGTTGTTTTTGACTTGGCCACTTCCTTGCAGCGCTTTCCAAATGCTTGTTCGAACGATACTGTCTTGCTCCAACACGGTAAGCAGCACTGAATATCTTTTAAAATTTCTTTTAGTATCCGGGTATATAAAAGCAAACTGATATACACCTGCTGTGAGAGAAAATACGGAAAGGCGCTGAAAAGTGACCAGATAGTGATAAACAACCATGTCGGAATGCGTAAAGGCGGGAACGCTTGATCGAAGGTCATATCCCAGTGTCGCGGGTTACGATTCAACCAGCGCAGCCAGTCCACAATAACATAGGCCACCACAACGAAAAACGCTCCAACCCCGAGTACCACAGACATCTGCCTCCATCGGCGCATTTTGGTCACCAAAACATCTTGTCTTGAATGATGTCGAAGAAGATCCGCGGCCTGCAGCTGTAATTCGGCGTATCGGTTGCGTTGGCGCCAGCATTCCAATAGAACAAAGAGAGCCCTGATATTATTGAAGAAATATGGTAAAAACGAGAGCAAGATGAAAAATGGAGTATCAGCAATACTAGTGAATTTAACCTTGATGATCCAAATAAGATAAACTGCGTAGTTTGTCGCGCAAAACCAACCACCTATTAAGAAAAAGCTGACAACGCTAACACTGTATAGCTTTTTCCATGGATTTACAGATAATTGTTCACTTGTGCCGGATAAGAAGCCGAACAATCGTAGACAGCGTTCTTGAAAAGCAAAAATGGCAGCAACTTCCTTCTTATAATCGTGTAGTTTCTCCATGTCTTTGTGTTGTTAAAACTCTCTAACTGAATTTAGCGTCGAATACTTCATTTGAAGTACAAGTATGTTTAGTTGTGGCATGAAGCTACCTATGGACATTTCACCGTCACGTCCCACTGTTAGACCCAGCGAAAATAGCAACGATTGTTCAAACAAGTTTGCCGCGTGTTTGGAAAAATGACCAGAATAAACGATGTCAAACCATCGGGTATAGTGTTGTTATGTCAGCCGACGCGGCATTTCCGCGCTGAATTTCAACACCCATACGCTGCCACAAAAATTCTATTTACAAGCCAGAACAAATGCCTCATGCATACTTCATGGAGATTCTGCTTTCTAGATCTTTTTTAAACGTCAGAATATCACGCTGCGTAATAATGACTTTTTGATGATTACGTCCTTACGTCAAGGAAAATAGTCGTCTCAAGGCGGGCGACTTGTAATAACAAAACTGCAACATCGTAAAAAGCTACTTTAAAGGTGAATCCTACTACGAAAGAAATTTATTAGAGTTAAACCTTAGCAGTTGTTTGGAAAAGACATCATTTTGTTTGTTACAATAACAAAACTGTAAGTAGTTATATTCCAACCCCTGCCGATCACAGTAAACCGGGAATTTTTAGCAGCTGGAAAAGGAAAAACGACCTCTGTTATTGCTGGTTACAACTGAACCTGAACTCAAAACCGATGAAGCCGATGCCTGCAAACAGCATCAGCTCATCCTCTGCATGTACAGTACTAAATAGTGTTTGGTATACCACGCCGTCAGATGCGTCGAACTGGTTACATCGATGATGCAAGTAGTCGATCCTGTTTTATCATAAATCAGACTGACTAGAAAACTTGTGACTTTTGTGCGAAAGTTTCAGGGACTGCCGTGACATTAGCGCCCGGACAGCAACAGTTGATCATTAACGGACACATGGTGGTGGCTGTGCGGCCCATAATCTCGTTAAGAACAATTGTCGAGGAGACGATAAAGGTCACAGTCTGCAATACAACGGGTGGTTTGGCAGCGTCAGTAGCAAGAGTTAGGTTCAAATGTAGAAATACCAGATACATAAACACGCACCCCAGCTAAGAAATTACGGGTGACATGGAAGACATTTGCGCCGGTGAAGATG